CGATCTTGGAAAGTCTGCTATACTCGGGCAGCGAAGCTGACGGAGTTCACCGGTATAAAGGGAAGAAGGAATATGCACAGCTCATCAGAGCGCTTGCGGAAAAGTACACCCGTTTCATCGAACCGATCAGGGCCAGCCCTGAACTGATTTCGAGTCGGAGCACTTCCCCATTTACAGGCATGCTGTCCAGAAATGAGCAGAGCTCAACTGTCGCACAAATTCCCGATCCTCAACCTTGTCCTGCTCGAACGTCATGTCCTTCAGCTCCTCCAGGAGCCGCTGACACGAAGCAGGACTATCTTCCCAGGTTGCTGAATTGTATCGTCAGGATATCTGGCTGTCTCGGCTTTTATGCCATGGAGAGGAACGCAAACCAGGAACCCAAAGACGAGGAGTCCGAACACAAGGAATCCGAAGACGTCGATTATCTCAAGCTTGAACCTCAACAACGTGAAGAAATTATATCTAACACGCTCACCTTTCTGCAAAATGTCTGCGCACAAAGTTCGGCACTCCCAGTGTCGATGCAGGAGGATGTCTGGCGCATGTACTACGGGACTATGTGCCAGATGGTACACCTTCAGATGGGAAACTGGACGTCGCAAGCTTCTGGATCACAAAGGTCTCCCTCTGTGGGTCCGACCAATCAGCCAACAGATCCTGCCAATTCTGAAGCTACTGCTCGTCGGTCATCAGCCGAGGACCTCTCTCACAATCCAGAAACAGGCAATAGAAAGTCCACGTATGAACTCCCTCCACCGATCGACGGATTCATATATTCTGCCGAATCCCACACCTTTGAGTCATTGGCCAAGGATCTTATTTCTCTGGCAACGGCGGCGGCTGACCCCACAAATGCGCAGCGAGCCGATACAGTCATAATCATTCTTCGAGGGATCGCCTTCCTGAGTGAAGCACCAAGGGTTTTCGCTCCGCGTGACAAGTTGGTGGAGTGCTTACTACGCCTGAAAGCTACAGTGCATGACATTGTTCGTCAGCTGGGTGACAGCCTCGCTGCTGCCGCGTCTTCCCCTGAGTCGGTAACTGGTTCGTACTCGGAGGATCGTGATGTGCTTCAAGCAGCACATAAGACATTGGACGCTTTGACCAAGCTTTTCGGAGAGAACTCGACACCGGCTTCTGGAGGCGAAGCTGCAGGATCAGTGGGCCCGGGGGCCCGTGATAGGACTGCGACCGGGAGTGTCAATGTTTCTGACCCATCGTCTCCATCTGCTTCGTTGTCTTCATCTGCTTCGCCAAGACCGCTGCGTTCCGAGGATGACACGGCTGCTTCAGCAGCCAATTCTCCGCGAAACGAGACAACCACTGCCAGTGACCAGCCTGTCGTTTCCGATTTTTCATCAGCTTCATCTCCATCGCCTTCCAGCGAACCGAGACCAGCCATGCTCCATCACGACACAAGCCGTACGGCTGTGGAAACTCCACAGAACGGCTCAGTCACCCCGACGGTCCCTCCCGCGCCCGCGTTTTCGCCGAACGCTTCAGATAATGTCTGACGCGGAACACTTTACTCCGCGGAAGTACTCAGCCAGTTCGTTAGATGTTGAGGTATGCGCACAGTCCATTGCCCGGATGATCAGACATATTCACAACCGCAAACTGGCAGGTCCGGCTATGACGTGATATAGATGCTTTCTTGACCAGGGTTCTCCCTATGCTACGCTCGTTCCGACTGCGATGTGAGATATATGCCTCTTCTGACCGAATTCCCTCTATACTACGCTCGATTTCTTGTACTTTCCGGTCATTGATGTGGCTCAGACTACTTTGATGATCCGAAGCGTATCTCATATTGCCTGGAAAACGAAGGTCTTGTGATGGTTGCTGCAGTCTCTGGCCTGGTTGCCGCAATTACAGTCTAATCTATATATCATTGTGAATATCCGCACGCAAAGGTACAAAGTAACGAAATCCCGAGGACACACGGGTGTTCACAAAGGTACAACGTATTGAAATCCCGAAGACACAGAGTCCGCCAGATAGCATGGCTGAAATGGAAGCGAGAAAGTACAGGTGGAGATGGGGATATGGCCTATGCTACAGAAAAAGACATGACATACGGTGTGAGTGGTGTGAGCGACAACTGCGACGGACTCTACAACAGGAAGCTGGATCGCGTTCACTCATATATGACTAGTGGAATGTCGTCTCAACTTCTTCGGGGCAGGCGTATTCTGGGAGGGGTCACCCCGCGCAGGGTACATTGTTGGCGGGTTAATCGAAGACAGGATTTTCTTGAACAACAGTACAGCCTTTGGCTGGCTGCGCATGGCAACAGCGCTACTGCGCGACGTCGAGCGTGGGTGTGTCCGTGACGCGTCATGGTGCTTCCAGGAGCGAAATGAGGAAGGATCAACATGTTTGATGCTTCGAAATTGAGTCTACACTCACGACCATTGGATGGGACCTCCGTTTGGCGGTATCACGATGTACGTGTCTCCCGGACGCGGAGGAGGGAGGACGATCTCCTTTCTAGAATAGTCATACCGATAGGGATATGAACACTGCACAACGCTGTGCCCTTGCACAGGCGGAGGAATTGCGTGAGCGGGGGAGGGTACACCGAGGACCGGCTGCGGTACGGGTATCGGTGCTGGTGCTGGTGGTAGTGGCCGCCGAATGACCGGTGCAAAAGACGGGCGGGAGGATTGTACGACAGCGTACGTGAGCGTGCCGGCCTCGGGCGTAGCCGCTCAGGTACGACAGCACCGCCTGGATATCCAAAATGTCTAGGGTCTACGGGCGGCGGCATTGACGGCTGAGGTGGCGCGCTCCGCGGCGCCAATGAGACATTGCTCGAAAATCGGCTTGTCGATCGCTGTGGCGACTCTCGCGAGGGAGTGCGACGCTCCGCCACGGGTATGCGCAGTGGCTGTAGTTGCGGCGGTGCGTGCGTGCTGATGCTGCCTTCAACGGGTGCGCATCCGAGCAGACGGAAGGTGCTTTGGACGGTGCGGGCATTGCAGGCATGAAAGGATTTGGCGTGCTGGGAGGCGCGCACGTACTACTGAGTCTGGGAGGAGGCAGCCGCCCATTCACGTGATCGTGACGCGTCCCACGTTCATTCAGATTTCGCATCAATTGGATTGTTATATATCGTTGAGATCTGGGGCCCTCTATCATCTGTAGCTGCTCAATCATACCAAGGGACTCGGGATAGACTAATCCGAGTGATAGACAACACGGCTTCATGATTCAAAGTCGCCAGCCCGGTTTTTAGTGCCACGAGCGCGTGTACCAGTGCAACCGCGCAAATGCCTTAATTCAGATGTCTGTCGAGTAACAAGTGCGTACGTATCAATTTCTCTGAAGCAGTCTAGCGAAGCATGGTTCTCATAATTACTCTGTCATCCGTAGGTTTGTTCGCTCCACGCGAATGCGCGAGATCCTGGGGCGTATATGCATGGAGGCGAATATGCCACTTGCCGTTTCTGCTATGCTTTGCCGCCGTCGTTCACTCAGCAAGGACTTCCACCGTGATCCCTCGTCCAACTCACAGTTGGTGTGTGTCACAAACATATCATTATATGCTCTCATTGTGCTTCCCAGGAATGCTGTACGCTGTGTAGACACTTTATCGATGGACGCGTGGCCATCGCGACCTTGGCGGTTTGGTCAGGGCTGGCTTTGTCCTTGTCTGCCTTCGTCGCGAGATCCGCCTTCTTTCTGCGACACTCATTTTTCCGTATGCCTCTTCTTCTTGCATGTCGCGGCAGCGTACATGCATCTGACATTCTTCGCGTCATTCTTGCTTGTTGACTTTGACTTCGTCTTGCCAGCCCTCGCGACAGCGCGACTTGTGTGTCAGGCTTCTGACGGAATTTCTCGAGTCCATTAGGACCTGGCAGAAGACGGTTTCGTCGAGAGCTTGTCTTGGGATGAGATCAAAGTCGTGCAAAGTACGGAGTATGAAAGGGGAAGCGAGGTGACCACAGCAACCACGACCAGCGAGTCTTCAAGAGGCTGACCCAATGATGACGGGATGTACACCTTCTGGCGCATCGCATTGAGCTGCGCTTGAGAGGCGCTTTGTCGGATAGTCTGCCGCGGAAAAGGTCAGCGATCAGGTAAGCGATTGTTTGCTTACCCTTGCCCTCGTAACACTCACGAAACTTATCTCAGGCCTCCTTGCCACTGACCGTGCATTGAGAGGTTCATCCTTCAACGTGAGAGTCATCTGAGCGTGAGCCTCCTTGTTGCGTTGAAACCAGTCTGACCGTAATGGGTCCGATTTGCCAGGGTCCACTTCTGAGCCATCGACAAGCGGCCAGAGTCCGCGAATGTCGAGTACCCTCTTGAAGTGGAACTTCCACGTCTGAATATTGAATCCATTGTCTTCGAGGAAGGGCACGTCGTAGAGGCGGTTGGGCCCGAAATTACACTGGAGCGGCGGATAGATCGACACGATGGTGCGGCGTGCAGCGGATGTGCGCGAGAAGCGAGCGAAGAGGCGTTGGCAAGCAGTAAGTCCCTTCTTGGCTTAGCGTGAGTGGCCGGGACTCACAATCTTTTGAAGGGTTACGGCGCTCGCGTGTGTATCAGAAGAACTGTAAGATACAAGGCCTCTCCGGAAGGACGCGAAGCCTCTCTTGGTGAGCGACTCGCATCCCAGCTTTTATACTATGCAGCTACCTGAAGATGTAACGTAGCAAGGTTTTATTTTTCGCCAGTGTTCGATAGCCACGTGTCTAACCACACCACTTGTCATCCTTCCGTCACTCGATGTACCCCAGAAACTGATTCTTCCCAACAATGTGCTGCTCTGAGAAGTACCAGACAAGTGCTGATCATATCTTTAGGTGCTGATGCCTGTATATGACCACTGTCTTGGATGTGCCGCAAGATGTGAAGATATTCCTAAGCCGCCTGCTTATCTCAAAGGTAAAGTTATGTTGGAAAACATTGCGCAAGCGGCCTTCAGGAGCAGGCGCGCGAGTCGGTCCACTTGTGTGATGAACGTCTGCTCCTTTGCATGGGATCCCGCCGGGAAGTGGTGTGGAGGAGATACGAGACGGTACCGTAATTTTCGCGTTGGTTCTCATTTTTGTAATGATTCTTTTATTTCACTTTCTGCACAAGGACGATGATAGGCATAAAGATACTCGCATCCGTCGACTCTATCAGCGTCCGACGACGCGGGGTGAATGGGTGAGAGGACGAGGAGGTGTAGATGATCGCGCGTCTGACGCGGCAGACTGCGGCTCGTAAATACGATTCCCCGCACAAAACCGAACTCACCGAGATGTATACAGCGCTCCCGATGTAAAATGTTTGGACACACCGGAAACGACGTCTGTTGCCGATGGCGCGGCGCCATAGACTTTCTTTTTCAGACGTCGTCCGTATTGTTACCATATTAGGTGCCTCCGAGTTTGGTTGCTTCCTTGTTTTTCACTGTCTCCACGCTTACAATCGTATCCCTGTCTCTTAATGTAGATCCGACGTCCTCCTGCCTATGAATGCGGCAAGCTTTCTCCCTTGGGCTTTACCTGCGCTCTCGGATTAGCGCGGCGTCTTCGGATAGGCGAAGCGAACAAGCCTTTTTTTATTGAGTTCTTCCTTCTACACACCGATATCAACGTCCACAATCCACCGAATGCATCTTCACGTCAAGGCTGTCGGGCGTCACGCACTTAGCCCCTCCTCAGTGGACAGGCGACGGTCCTTACCATCGGTAAGTGTGAAACAAGCATGTCGCTGGCGGCGTGTAAGGCGGGATTGTGCCTGGCAACCTGTCATCCGATAGCGCCCTTCCGATGTATATATGAACACCCGTGCATTGCGGATGAAAAGCATCTGTGGTCCCTTGGGCGGGTTATTAGGTAGCTACGCACACTGAACAGTTTGATCCTTTGCTAATGGCAAGCTCGAACTGATTCTCCAGATTCGAACACTCTTCCTCTTGCAACTACAGGGTGTTGCGTTTGGCCAGGGCTACTGGTAGATTGTTTCGATATGAGCGTGCCGACCAATCCTCCAGGGAACACTTCCGAGCTCGTTGTACGTACCACTGGAACATGTAGATTCTCGATCTTATGGCGCACTAGCCGCGTCAAATCCATCCCACAAACACGACGCTGTTTGGAAACCTACCCAAGGACCAATCTGAGCAACTGGTGAGCTCTACGCGAAATATTACTGGACTGACTGTTCTTCTAACTTGTGATGTAAATCAGGCATCCACCGAGACCGAGAACACTTCCGAGGTATTCGAAATCTTCTCATTCTCTGAGAGACAAGAGTTTGGCTCAACTCCCTTGATAGCGCGGCATCAGTTGTCAGACTTGGAAAACGTTTGTGGAGCAAGCAGCCAAGGATGAAGGCGACTTTATTCAAGCACGTAACTCTGATCTAGAAAGTTTGCTACTTTTCGTAAGTTCTCTTGATGGCAGCTCATGACACTCTGGCTCATTCATCCTCGCCAGGCTACCTTATTTTCTGCGGTATTAACCGCTTTTGTCATCGAATCCTACAAGAAGCTGCAAACGCATCCCGGTGCGGAGACCGTAGAGGTGCTCCGGCAAATCCTAGCTGCAATTCAAAATAATAGCGGCGCCATTGACACTACACCATCGTTATCCGCTTCGCGCGTATTCAAACCCACACCCTCTGCACTTCGCGTAAACGGCTTCTGGTTTGCGAGTTTGGTCATCAGCGTATCGACCGCCTTCCTAGCGATACTTGCCAAACAATGGCTGCTCGGTGTGACGGAATCGTTATCTCCAGATCTTGAGATGCGAGCAAGACAACACCAACATCGATTAGGAAACATGGAGAAGTGGAAAATGTCGGTAGTGCTCGCTGTGATCCCCGTTCTCTTACACCTTTCATTATTGCTGTTCTTCGCCGGCCTCATCGACTTCCTATGGTCCATCAACTTCTCCATCGCGATAGTGTCCGCGGGTCTGGCTGGAGTCACTGTCCTGTTCTACTTCGCGACGCACCTCACTTCTATCATCTGGCTTTCATCGCCATATAGAACATCTTTAACCTCACTCGGCCTTGCGTTGTTTGACATGATTCGAATTGTTCTGTATCGCGCCATCTCGAACCCCCTGCCAGTGATTGGCCCCATAATCCTCCTTCTTCTGGACAACCTGTTGCGCATCATCTCGCATGTTCTCCGTGTCATCTCGAAGAATCAAGAATTCAGCGAGAGATTGCTTGACCTGTTCCGGCCACTGTATGCGGCTTTGGACGCAGAACCGAGTCGAAAAAAGCGTCAAGGTTCTGTCACGACCAAACTCGCATCCCTTACGGCACCAAGGATCTCCGAGGAGGACTATATTCGAGGACATCATGCGTCTCTCGATGCGAACATTCTCACTGCTCTAATTAGTCGACCTCCACGATGGCAGAATTATTCCCAAACAAGCACTTTAGCCATCGACGTTTTTCGATTCGAACACTTGCTGGAATACAGGACATTGTTTCTGGGAGCCGGCGCAGCCTCCTTTCTATCACGATACATCCGCTCGAGCACAGTCGCAGGCCCAAACGAAGCTCAAGCTGGGATGCTGGTGAAGCAGTGGGACATTCTCTGCCGCTTGATCACCGAGTCTCGGGTGGAAGAGGAGGAAGACATACCTTTGCCTGATGATATAGACTGGGATGAAATTGAGGCTTGTTATGGAGCATCTCGTTCTTTTGGGTCTTCAGGGCTCTGCGTCGGAGATGCACCCTTGATAGATACAGACAATCTTCATCTCTTCTCAACAATGTTGAGACTTCAGGTCTTGATATCACGATCGAATCTGTACGAGGAGAGAGTCGGGGCCTTCATCCCCAAATTCTACCAACGCTTGGAGAACCTAGAGGCGAGTCACCTCGAATCGAATACTGGAGCCCTTTTGTCTGTGGTCAACACCACGATCTTCATCTCCTTGAAATGGGTATGGAAATCTGCCAACTCTAGTGACGAGGAGGATATTTGAATGAGACTGCAACATACCTCTCGAGGATTGGAAGTGTTGTCTGCTATTCTATCGAGCAGACTCACTATGCCATTTCCTATCAAGCGTCAGATTTGTTGGGCGACCTACTTCTTATCCGATCCGGAGCGTTACTGCTCCTTTTATCCCCTCGTGCCGACTATACGTAGTGTCAACAAACTCTCCGGGCGACTCAGCAGCCTCATCTCGTCGGATAGCAGCAGCGTCGTCCTCTACAGCACTCTCACGATCTTGGAAAGTCTGCTATACTCGGGCAGCGAAGCTGACGGAGTTCACCGGTATAAAGGGAAGAAGGAATATGCACAGCTCATCAGAGCGCTTACGGAAAAGTACATCCGTTTCATCGAAACGATCAGGGCCAGCCCTGAACTGATTTCGAGGCCGTCCAGAAATGAGCAGAGCTCAACTGTCCCACAAGTTCCCGATCCCCAACTTGGTCCTGCTCAAATGTCATGTCCTTCAGCTCCTCCAGGAGCCACTGACATGAAGCAGGAGGACTATCTTCCCAGGTTGCTGAATCGTATCGTCAGGATATCTGGCTGTCTCAGTTTTTATGCTATGGAGGGATACACAGACGAGGAATCCGAAGACGCCGATCATCCTAGGCTTGAACGTCAAGAAATTATATCTAGCACGCTCACTTTTCTGCAGAGTGTCTGCGCACAGATTCCAAAACTTTCAGTGTCGACGCAGGAGGATGTCTGGCGCATGTACTATGGGACTATGCGCCAGATGGTACACCTTCAGATGAGAAACTGGACGTTGACATCTTCTAAACGGCGAATGTCTACCGTTGAAGATCCGTCGACAGATGACGCAAAGCCCACACATGAACTCCCTCCTCCGATCGACGGATTCACACGTCCTGATAAATCTGTCACCTTTGGGTCGATGGCCGAGGATCTTGTTTCTTCTCTAGAAAAAGCGGCGGCTCACCTCAAAGATGCTAGGGGAGCCGATACAGTCATAATCATTCTTCGAGGGATCGCCTTCCTGAGTAAAGCACCAAGAGTGTTCGCTCCGCGTGACAAGTTGATGAAGGGCTTACTACGCCCGAAGGCTACAGCGTATGACATTGTTGGTGCGCTGACAGACAAGCTCGCTGCTGCCGCGTCTTCCCCTGAGTCGGTAACTGGTTCTCACTGGAAGGATCGTGATGTGCTTCAAGCAGCAACGGAGGCATTGAATGCTTTGACCGAGCTTCTCAAAGAGAATTCGACGCCGGCTTCTGGAGGCGAAACTGCAGGATCAGCCGGCCGTGGGGCCCATGATATGACCGCGGCGAATAGTGTTAAACACTTTGATCGGCGATTTCCAAATTTTATTGCGCGGTTTCGTAACATACCAAGGATGTCGAATTCCAAGTCTGACACCGTTGTTGCATCGCGTGCCAAGTCTGACACCACTGGTACAGCAGCCAATTCTCCGCGAGACGAGACACCTACTGCGAGAAATCAGCCTGTCCTTCCCGATCCTTTATCAGCTCCATCTCCATCGTCGTCTAGCGAGCTGAGACCAGCCATCCCCCATCACGACACAAGTCGTACAGCTGTGGAAACTCCACAGAGCGACTCAGTCACCCCGAAGGTCGCTTTCGCGCCCACGTCTACGCCGGATGTTTCAAATGGTCTGACGCAGAACACTGTGCTTCGCGGAAGTATTTAGCCAATTCGTTAGATGTTGAGGTATGTGCATAGTCCGTCGCCCGGATGTTCAGACGTATTCACGACTGCAAATAGGTCCCGCTATGACGTGATATATACACTTTCTTGACCAGGTTCTCCCTATGCTACGCTCGTCCGACTGTGATGTGATATAGATGCCTCTTCTGACCGAATTACCTCTATACTACGCTCGATTTCTTATACTTACTAATCGTTCAATATAACTCAGACTACTTTAATAATCCGAAGCATATCTCAAATTGCCTGGAAAACGAAGATTTTGTGATGGTTGCTGCAGTCTGTGGCCCGGTTGCTGTGTCAAAGTCTCATCTATATATTATTGTGAACACCCGCACGTAAAGGTACAAAGTAACGAAATCCCGAAGACACACAGGTGTTCACAAAGGTACAACGTATTGAAATCCCGAAGACACAGAGTCCGCCAGATAGCATGGCTGAAATGGAAGCGAGAAAGTACAGGTGGGGAGATGGCCTATGCTACAGAAAGACATGACATACGGTGCGAGTGGTGTGAGCGGCAACTGCGACGGACTCTACAATACGAAGCTGGATCGCGTTCACTCATATATGGCTAGTGGAATGTCGTCTCAACTTCTTCGGGGGAGGCACATTCACATTCCGGGAGAGGTCACCCCGCGCAGGGTAGACTGTTGGCGGGCTTATCGAGGATAGGATTTTCTTGAACAACGGTACAGCCTTTGGCTGGCTGCGCATGGCAACAGCGCTACTGCGCGACGTCGAGCGCGAGTGCGTCCGTGGCCCGTCATGGCGCTTCCAGGAATAAAACGAGGAAGGATCAACATTTTTGATGCTTCGAAATGGGGTCTACACTCACGACCATCTGGATGGGACCTCCGTTTGGCGGTATCACGATGTACGTGTCTCCCGGACGCGGAGGAGGGAGGACGATCTCCTTTCTAGCATAGTCATACCGATACGGGTATGAACGCTGCACAACGCTGTGCCCTTGCACAGGCGGAGGTATTGCATGAATGGGAGAGGGTACACCGAGGACCGGCTGCGGTACGGGTATCGGTGCTGGTGGTGGTGGTAGTGGCCGCCGAATGACCGGTGCAAAAGACGGGGCGGGAGGATTGTACGACAGCGTGCGTGAGCGTGCCGGCCTCGGGCGTAGCCGCTCAGGCACCACAGCACCGCCTGGATATCCAAACTGTCTAGGATCTACGGGCGGCGGCATTGACGGCTGAGGTGGCGCGCTCCGCGGCGCCAATGAGGCATTGCTCGAATACCGGCTTGTCGATCTTTGTGGCGACTCTCGCGAGGGAGTGCGACGCTCCGCCACGGGTATGCGCAGTGGCTGTAGTTGCGGCTGGTGGGCGCGTGCTGGTGCTGCCCTCAACGGGTCCGCATCCGCGCAGGCCGACGGTGCTTCCGACGGCGTCGCAGGGGTGAACGGGTTGGCATACTGGGAGGCCTGCACCGGCTGTTTGGATACCCAGTTCTGGATCCTGTTCTGTGTCGCCAAATACCGTTCGTAGGCAGCGGGCGAGTAGTCGTACTCGGTCATCGTGCGAGAGGAATTAACTGGCTTTTGTCAATGAAGCGGCGTCTACCGGGACAATGGCCGATTCGGAAGCAAAGGAATATGAGGAAGTAGAACGGTCCCAGTGATGAGGGAGGTTGGCATAAGCGCAGGATGGGGAGGAGAGGGAGTATAAGTACCCGTTCCGCAGGAGGACGACGGAGGAGGACGGGGGAGGAGACGATGCCTCGAGGTCGCCACATCGCATTGCTGGTGTTCTCGGAGCGTTGCCTTTCCAGGCAGGTCTCCGTCAATTGACGGCACGTGACCTTCGGAACTAAACCGGAATCAAATCTCTCGCGCTGACTCCCTCACTGTTCAGAACATTCAGCGCTCAGGCTCTGCGTTCTTTGTTCCGGCTTGCATCGTCGGAGGGTAGAATTCTCATCACCTCACAGCCCTCGGGGATTTTTTTAGGTCGAGATCGCGCAAGCCGCAGCAGAACAATTGCTGCGCGCGTTAAACACCCTCCTACATACCGATGCCGCTTTCCTATCCATATGCCATTGAACGCTCTTTTGCACAATGAGAAACCGGAAGACGCTCACTGGGTAGTACACTGACTACAGCGTTGACCAAAGGCATCGGAAGTGTTCCGTCCTGCCTGGGCCCACGCGCCGAACAGCACTGCTCTGAGCCCAGATAGGATAAGTCGCGGTACATTTATAGCCATACTCACGTCCGCTGTACGTCAACTCCTGTGAGTCGGGAGCCGCATGTACGTCCATCGAGCTGCAACGCCTAGCCCCCATCGCGCGGTGGGCGTCGCACAGCCCGTACGTCATGAATCTCTCGAGTCTCGTTCGTTCCTTGAGAGACGGCCTCGCTGGATAGACCCTGTCACCGCGCGTCTACCGACACCTACCGACGCCACGCTGCCGCAGCAGGGTTCGGGGCAGGTTCTGTTCTCCCACAGCCTGCCATGTATTGCATGAACGATAAAAACAACCGTGTGCGATCGTTTATTATATTATTGCGCAGGCGAGGCATCGCGTCCCGGTCGCTCAGTGTTCCGTGCACAGGTATCCGAGGCTGTGACTCCTCAGGCCTCAGCTGCTGGACGTTTTGGAGGCGAGCAGTTTGCTAGCAGTTCATATGAGATCGAGGGGCAATGCTATCCGCAACCCAGATTGGCAAAGAGCATGCAACTGCGAGCCTGTGTGGCTCTGAGATTTGCGGATGTGCGAGCTTGACCAAGCGGTGCCGCCAGGTGTGTCAGTTGTTGGATTTGCCAAGCACTATGAAGCATATTAGTTCTCCGATCGTCCTCGGCAACCAGCTGTCTGACTCGTAATGTGTCCAAGATGTAAAATAAACTCTTATCTCGTTCTTTTTCACGCTTCCCAGAGTGTTCCGAGCGCATTTTAGCCAGGATCATAGTACCGTATATACCTGGTTCATTTATCGCATACCCACCTTGTTCTCGCAGAACGGTCATCGAATGCATGGAATCATAAGCGTCAATTGCAACTTTTATCAAGGATTAGAAGCTGATGCAATACAAACGTTAGCGCAACGACCGTTCCGATACCCTACCCACCAATAAGATAACTGAACCCACCAGACTAGAAGACGTTCCACTCCCAATACAAGTCTTACTTGTGACCAACCAGTGGCACTGTCTCCTCCATTACCAGCTTCTTCTCGAAGGTTTCTCCGTCACGCCACTATGGACGAGTACTGAGAAGATGAATTGCGCGCTAAGGAATGGCGAGTCTTGTGAGCTCATTGTCGCCCGTTGAAACAGAGATCAGGATCCAGCGTCCGAGGGTGCGCTTCTTGCGGTGAAGAGTAGGTTGACGGAATGTCTTTTCTGACTGAGACCTTTGTGATGGAGGTCACGCCCAGAAAGATTTATCTGGACAGCTACTAGCGCATCCTGCGCAAAGCAGCTGCAGTCCTTGACAAGAAATAAGGCGAAATCAGTGCTGCTGCTCCTCGCAACGGAACGCGTAGTCGGAGGTGGTGCGTAAGGCGTAGAGAAAGGCTTTTGGGAATAATTCGAAACTGGGGAAAGTAAGGAACTCGTCGTGTAGTGGATTTTGTTTTCGTGCGATGCGCGGACCTAGGTCTTTCGAAGGTCCATCCAGCTCTGGACTGCCTACTCCTGACTTCCTCGCATCAGGACCACCCAAATTGTTTTCAGTTCCATGTCCTATATTGCGACCTTACCAAGCTTATTCTTCCTAGAGTCGATGTATTGTTGACCCTCTGAAGTCCCTGTCCGACAAACTGTCCCATACGCCAGATCAGGGATGTCTAATCTATAAACGGTGTTCTCCTCGACGTGCTCGCATATGTCTGGGAGTATTTGCAGCGGTATGGCGACGATGTGCTCGAAGACAGTCCTTAGCAAGCCGACATCATCTTCGCGATAGTAGAACGCAAGGGCCCCGGATATCCTTACGATTCGCTGAAGGAAGCTCAGCAAGAAGTTCTCTCGGATCTTCGAGTTCGCGCTTGCGGTACGCCTTGCAGGTTCTGCAGGTATCCGTCAGCGAGCACTTCTGGTGCATGAGTGCTGCGTCGCAAACGTGATGGCCTCCAGCAGGTTCGTCTTCGTCCGCGATTGCAACTAGAGACGTATTTTGCAAGTGATAACTTGGAGTTGATAGGCGCCGGCTCGCGTGCGCGAATTTACTGAGAACATGGGAGATATGTTATGCATTACTGAGTAGTCCAATAGAGGTCCGGCGCTGAAGAATAGTACCATGACTCATCCACCCCATCATCCCGTTGGTCGAGCTTGTACAGATGTGTGTACCTAAACGATAAGATTTGTTGACAAATACAAGCTGCTCATATGAACTGTGCCAGCGACCGGCACAACACGACCGGATCACAAAGGACTCTTCGCCTTTAGTAGACCACTTTGTCGTCGAGATCGAAAGGTCCCTCTGCAGGAACTTGAATGACATCACGGGCATGTCTCGCGCACTCGCCGAATCTCCTATTTGACACCAGAGGCGCAGTGAGTTCCGCAATTAGGTGTGACTGCTGTCGCAATTTTGCCAGAATGGAGAAATTAAGATCGTCAGAGCGCGGGCCGCCTGAGATCCGTGATAACAATGTAATCATAGATAAGATGGTCCTGAGTGCTTCTGGAGGGTCCTTCAAACTTGATGTCGCCTGCAACGCGGAGACAAACGCATCTGGAAGACTCTCTGGAGGAAAACTGGTCAAGTCATATTCCTCGTGTGCGATGTACAAACCGCGTATGGAGCTGCTTGAGCCCTTCAGCTCATTGTCCTTTCGCATTACGCTGGCCGTCGAGGCAATCGACTGTTTCTCCGCAGGAAGTTCTGCAGGCTCATTTGGCCGAGACCAGGACGGGGACTGATTGCGCGTCTCCTGCATGCTCTGCGGCACTGCTATCCGGCAAGCACTCCCGTACGCAATCCGAAGTATGTCCCGTCTATCAGAGGAAGGAAAGTCTTCAATGTGCTTGCAGATGCATAGTAATAATTCCAGTGTAACGAGAGTTATGCAGTCCAGGTCGACCTTCGGTACATTGCAGTCGTTGAAGATGAGGTATCCTGATATCCGGACAATGCGCTGTAGGAGCTTCAAAACCATGTCCTCAAAGTTCAAACCTGGAATGACGACAGGCAGATCTTTGGAATCATGGGAGAATCCAGCTCGAAGGTCATCCACAAACAAGGGATACTTCTGAACCAAAACCTGTATTAGCTCGGCAATGTCACCTCCATCGCCCTGGCTCGGCACCGAGAAATTCGATTGAGAATACAACGACGCTTCTAGTAGGGCCAATACGGCAAATGCCACGGATGGTAGCCTCAATCTGGGAGTCATCAACTCCGCGAGGGCTTTTGCAAACGTAGCAGTCGTGCTGACAATCGGGATGAGCAACCCGATAGAAGCGAGTGACTTGGGCTGGGAGAGGAGCCACATTCCATAGCTTAGCTGACGCTTGACGCGATCATCCATATCTGGTCTGTGTACCGCGATAGCGGCGAGTACCTCCAAAGCACGAGCATTGAGCTTCATTGCTTGCTGACCATCAAATCCGAAAGGTGTCTCCACGGGTATCTTGGCAGTGTAGATTATCGTGTTGATTACATTCACGAGATGCATAGTCGTGAGTTCGGATATGTCGTTCGTGCTCTCCAAGCGGTCGTAGAAAGCCTTCACCGCATCGTCTACTTCGTTCTGGTAGTAAGAGAAGTTCGCATACCGAAGCCTGAGTATTATTGCATGGAACGGCAGGTATTCCGTATCCCGTAGCATGTCGTCAGAGATGTGGATTTCATAAGATTGGCTGCCCGCCCTCACGTCGATATGAATGGGGATACCCTGCACTTGTATAATCGTATGCGAATCGGATTCGTCCGCTTCGGTCAGCAACTTCATCAATGCTTCTGCTTGCCGTAGTGCATCATCTTGTGTCTGCGATGAGATTTGTTGAAAGTTTCCTTCATAGAGCGAGTGGAGCTCATCCATTAGAAGAGAGGTCGCACCGGAATCGATGAGGAGGATTCGATATGAAAGTAGTGCATCGCAACGTGCTAATTCTTGTGCGAGCGCGCTGCGTCTAATCGGATAGCGAGATGACGCCTGTATCATGCGAGCGAGGATGTGAACATCAAGCCGGCCAGCATTGCGAGAAATGTATCGATTCTCTTGGACATCCCCTATAAGTAATGAAGTTATATGCCGGTCCCAGGACCGTCTGATCCCCATTCTCCACTTCGTGAGGCGGTTCTTGATCTTCATCGTGGAGCTTAGGATCTCCACGAGCGTGCGGATATCCTCTGTCCACGATTCGGAGACAAATGGTGCAATGAGGTAGAAAAACCCGCGGTAAAGGGAGAAGGCTGCGAAGAGCAGCACGACTAGCAGCGGAGCGCCTACAGCGGCAACAACTTCGCGTAGTACGGTTGCAAAGGCTGCCAGGAGCACTGATGTCACTGATGATTTGTACGGAGAGGGAGGGCATACAAGGGACAGAATGTGGATCGCAAAGTAAATCGTCACAGTGATTCCGACGAAGCAAAGGGAAACAACGGCGACTGTGACATTGACGGACCATAGGCACTCGATAAGGCCGGCGAAGAATAGTAAGAGGGATACGTGCAGAAGGATAGGCAGCGAGGATGGTACTGGAGTGAGCTTCCATTTCTCGATATTCTCGTAGCGATATTGATGTTGCCGACCTTTCATCGGGAGCGTAGGTGCGAATGTCTTGTCCAAATGAAGCAACCACTGCTTTGCGAGGATGGCTAGGAACGCAGCTGACAGGCTGATGACCAAACTCGCGAACCAAAGCGCATTGACGCGCACTGCGGAGGATGTAGGCTGGAAGTCGGACACATCCGTTGAGACACCTGAGGTACCAACGGTGCCTTGGATTGATTGCAGAGTCCCGAGTATCTGTTGCAGCACTTCAACCGTCTCTGAACCTGTGTCTACCTGCAACTCTTGATATGACTCGACGACAAACGCGGTCAAGACCGCGGAAAACAGCGCTGCCTGAAACACTCATGAGCGCAATCACACGCAGCGATAGGAGAGGAGACGTACGAATAGCAGTAATGTGTCCATTTCCGTATTCCAAGCCTTAATATACCGATCCTGTTCTTTTGATGCTTCCTCAATAAACGCTTGCCACGTATCATCAGTAAGGCGTGCATTCTTATATCTTGTGAGGCATCGATCATGTATAAGAAAATGTGTCCTACGTACCGACATTTCTGTAGGTTGGTCAACTATAGGGCCTGGCGTAATATACGTCGGGGGCTTTTGCGTCACCCCCATGTCCTACGAGGCCACGCAGGCGAAGCGCGGAAAACAGAACGATGAGGAGATGACTCAAATCTGACCAAGTCACTGCACATACCGGTTGCATGACGGGTGGATAGGCTCAATGATACTGATGATTAGAGGCGACTGCGTCCACGGGCAGGATTTGACCGTTATGCCCGTTGAGAAACGAGACACGTAAGATCCACACCGAATGCAGAAGGCGATAGAGCAGCATCCGTGGCTAGCACTCAATTTAAGTGAGAGACAAATCGGCTATCGCGCCGCAAAAAAAAGGGTCAGACCACAGGCAACTACCGTTTTGATCAGTGATGAGCAATCTTTCTACGAGCGCGGGTCACATTGTGATGAGCGCGCGGCATTGTTCACGTCCTCTGAAGCCCGGGAGGAGCCCGCCCGCACTCGACGAATTTCGTTAAATGCGTGCGCGAGTATAGACACGCGGGTCTTTCAGCGCGACTTTTTTCATCTGAAACTGCATCGAGGTACTCAATAAATCCGACACACTGACGTAACCGGCAACTACATAGTACGTGCAAAAGTTTCATCAGCACATTCCTTGTGTCTCCTGTCCGAGCCACCTTTCCGGGACATATCTTGCCATAGTATTGACGGCGACAATCCTGAGTTCGGAACCGCTTGGGCAAGGACATGGAGGTGACGGACTGAAAAGGTGATGCCAAAGTACACCAAATGGGCCCGACAACCCGCAATAATTGCGAGAAGATATTGAAAACGAGAGTACATGATATGCGATCAAATGACCATAAGAGTCGAAGAAAGCTGTCAGGCGCCGTCTTTGGTCAATGCTCAGTGTCGGTGGGATATGCAGCAAAAATGAAACGCACTGCCTCAGATTTCCATCTTTTCATCGTCCACGTCACTTTCGTTTTCTTCACCAGCCGGCATTCCCGCGTTTGTATCCATCTTGCTGGATCCGGATTTTAGTTTCACGTCTTCCACGCTTGTTGCTGATGCTTCCATCCGGCCGACGCTTTCCTTCAATGACATCCACACTCTCCGCGCGCCCTTCTCCGCAAGTTCCTTGGCATGAGCTAGCTCAGAGTCATCGAACGGCGTATGTGTGGTGTAGTTGGTCCACAGGAGAGAGCAAGGCGGCAGTTCGTCTATAGATGCTACAGGGAGCACAGAAGAGAACAAGAATGCAAAACATCCCCCACCGGAGAGGCGGGATAGTTCAGATTCTGACGGATCGAGCACTAGCGTGGTTCCAGAGGCAGAAGGCAAACGCCCGACCGAGACTGCACAAACCACCCCTTTCATCGAAACAGAGCCCGCGTTGATCAACGCCGCGCTGCTTGCATTTATGAGACTCGCGACCAAGCTGGCGTACCAGCCTTTACCAACACTTCCCATGCCGCTGCCGCTCTCGGTCCCACACAGCGCCTGTCCTACGAGTTGCACCAATGTCCGTGGATAATGCGTCAGAAACAGTGCCGGCATCAATATTGACTTCAGTGTGGCAGAGATTGCTTTGGAATCGGTACCCGATATGGAAGCAAGAGGGCGGATATGAATGTCGAGAGTAGCTTGTGAGGGCAGTTCGAAGTTTGGTCTGACTTCAATAGGGCCGGATACGGATGTTAGCGACTTGGTCTCACCTATTCATATAAGCAATGAATGAGCGCTGGGCATTCATGCTGGAAAGAAAGATTCCGCGCACCAAACCCGAACCTGGCTGAGCCATCTACTCTGTCCAGCCCTTCATAAGCGATACTGATCGTCCGTAACTCATCTACTGCTCGTCCGTCTGTCCGCAACGACATTCTTGTAACCAAAGATGATTTTGGGCTCCAAATGGCAAATATTTCAGTGTGGAAAGCGATTGTTTCGGCTGGTCTGAGTCAGGATCAGAATCTCAAAGGCCCCAGCCAGAGATACCGCAATTTTAGCGCCTGGACCATAATTTTGGCCAAAGACGCGAGTCTGAGCGTAAGCATCGCCACTGCACAAGAAGAGCAAGATTGAGTCCAAAAGCAAGAGAGAACACACAGCCTGTTGGACCAGTGGAGGAGACGGAGGAATGGTACGACGCAAGGCTGGAAGGGGAGGAGAAGAGCCAGAGGCAAAGAGGCGCGAGCTGGAGAGGAACAGGTGGAGAACACGGGTGGGGTACGGTTCAAGGGTGCGTGCGTGAGTTACTTGAGAGGCAGTCTCGTGCTGATGGGCTGCAGGCTGCGGGAAGGTGAAGTATGTTGATCCAGAGATACGTGCTTGGAGAGGCGAATGAAGGCTGCGCGTTCATCGGGTCTCTCTTTGGTGCATTTGAGGCATCTTGGTGACATTGATCTATACTTGATACCACACTGTCTGTACCATACTGGAGCACTGATATAACATCTGCTGTCTCGCAGATACATGCTCGATTCGGTCATGCCTCGCGGATTGGCTCTTCGGAACATGCTCCCACCTTCGCTCAAAATAATCTCTTTTCTGATCCGCTCATCGTAGTGCAGCATTATCTCCTTGAACGAGTTTGCCGCAAATAAAGCACGGTGCTGACAAGAAGGCTTCCGTGTACGAGGTTACCGAGGTCTTTGACAAACCGAACTACAACGCAGAGGTGATAGTTAAGGATCGTTCGCGTGCGGAAGTCCTGCCAAAGTTGCGATGGCTTTCAGACGAAGAGATGACCATCCCTGCGGGAAAGCTCAGGGAGCAGGACGTGTGAGTGTCTTGTTATCTATCTCATCATTGAGTACTTGGCTGCTAACACTTCTCTTTCTATGTGAGACGCATCCCCGCTACGATGGGATATCATACAATTGAAGGCCGGGATGTATCTCAAGCAGATCAATACTACGCGACAATGCCATAGGAGCAGTTCTTGCATCCATTCTACTCCAAGGCTCGTTCTAGTGGATCACGGTCAGATTGAATGTTAGCTGTCTATATCTGATTCCTGCACGATCGACACTAGTAACTTTCGGTTTACCGGCCTGCAGTGGCGGAGAAATGAGTCGGGCATGTTATCCGGACAACGGAAGAAGCTCGACTCGAGCTATTTTTATCGGTATTAGTTGGAGCGCTCTGATTACTTTTGATACTCTATGTGGACATCAAAGTGAGCGGCGCCTTCTCGTCTCCTGCCTGCACCTACGTGCATTCCAGATAGGTTTCTATGCAGCGACCTAGTACCAATGGTGCCACATCAGACCCTGGTGACCCTGTGGTCACCATAATCTTTGCGAGACTGTTGAACGTGTCACAGCCTCAAGGCAGTGCGGTATTTGATCAGCCTGACAGTTGCAGAAATCCATTGCACCGCAACCGAGGCTATTGGAGAGACTTGGAGCCTGTTAACAGGAAATGCTGGGACATGTAAGATGAGAAGTCGGGCTGAACGGCATGGCTGTTCGAGAGAGCTGTACATGTCAATGCATCAATTACGTCGCTATGCTGTGTGTGCTGTACGTCCATTTATTTCCCGGTAACAGACAGAGAGCATAGGAGCTCAAATTTGTATGATACTAGGACAGTGCTACGTAGCCTGCACCCTAGTGCACAATGGAGTTATGCGATGATCAGAGTGTTACAGAAAGGCTGTGTGAGCGAGCGTCAGCCGAAGCGTTCATCACGTATATAAAAGCGTTCCACATCCCCAATTCACCGCAGGACCATCCACCCCATTCCGACTATTCCCTCTCATCGACATCCTCTGTATCGTTGTCATTCTCCATGTCGACAGCCCGCGTCTCACGCACATCGGAATCACTGGTGAGCAGCTGCAATCGTGTACTCGGACATTTGCTCATACAACAACACAAGCTGTCTGATCCTGTCATGGCCGCTCCAGTAGATGCCAATGCTGCGGCGCAGGTCAAAGGCCCTGACCCTCGCCTTCCGCCCGAGATCTGCGAGCGCATCATCGACCATCTCAATCCACTGGAAATGTGGCCTGAAGGTGAAAGACAGACTCTATTGGACTGCGCCCTCGTTTGCCAAGGGTGGTACACCAAGAGCCGCGTGGACTTTTTCGAGGAGCCCAGGATCCACACTCGGGAACAGGCGATCACCTGTGTAAGGTCAGTGATGCGGATTCCTCTCCTCGCTGCCCATGTGCGATGCTTGACAATCGGAATTTGGTCTTCAGAGTTGGTTACTACAGGTCCGGAGTTGGCATCGATTCTCACGATGCTGGCAGGGAAACTTCCAAAGCTGTCCTCGCTCAGCTTCGAGTACTGCTCTATGCACCATTTAGCATTTTGGAGCTTGCACGAATTCAGTCATATCACATCATTGTCACTATGGAATGTGACCTTGCCATCGGCGAGCCCCTTCTTTCAGGTCATCTGTTCATTTCCTCGTCTGAAGACCTTTTATTGCTACAAGCTGCACTGGTGCAAATTAAGGTCCATGGCTCCGCTGCCTGAATGCCATCGCATGCCTTTGAGGACAGTGACTGCTCTCCATTATGATCTATCATGCTTGGAAGACATTGGGCATACCCTTCTCAGTCCGCTGGATCAAGCAATCCTCAAAACACTCAACCTAGTACGACCTACAGTCTCTGCAGCAACTCTTGCTTTTACTCAAGACGTGCTAAATGTAGCCAGCATGAGACTCGAGGAGGCAATAATCCTTTTTCAGGCACGGGAGAAAGATGCTTCTCGCATTTACTTTCCTCTCCAAATTATCCCGGACGTGCAGCATCCACGAACCCACCCCCCCCCCCCCCCCCCCCCCCCACACACACACACACACACGCTCGGCCAAATCCTATCCTATCTACACAATATCCAGGCATCATCCCGAGCATCGTGCTCTCATCTAATCTCCTCGTTCGCTGTCGCCATGCCATCACCGTGATCATGGACACGGCATGTCGTTGCCACGGTTGTGACTATGGCCTGTTGCATACTCCCTATCCTATTTGTCGACAATCACAGTTATGCCTCGTCCACGGTCATCATGACATCCCTTGTTCCCGTAATCGTCATCTTCGCAAAAACTCCTCTTGACGCTCACCCCGCGTCACTGAAATATTCTCGAACGTCCAGCGGTTCCCATTCCAGTTTTGTATACTCAGTGCTGGATGTAACTACTGCACCAAAGATATGATCCCGTGTATATTTTCCTCGTCTCGCTTGATCTGTACCTACGTCTTTACTATGCGTTTTCGTTCTTATAGAACTACAAATGCAGACCGGAGGTTTCAGCGATCGGCCGGGCAGAAGTCAGTCGCGCGCTTGTAAGAAAAGTGAAATGTGGCATTCGCACAGAAACCAGATACATAGAAGATTTCTTCGACGAAGACCGAACAAGAACAGAGACAGAGACAGAGATCAAGATTACAGACAGTAAGACGACCACACCAACGAGAGGGGGAAACCGAGAGACCGAGACTCCAGTGATGAGCGAGGAGATCGGAACCATATGATGAGAAATGAGACCGAGACGATACATATCCTAGGAAAGGCGAGACATAGCATATGGCCAAAAGGGAGGACATCGAGCCGTTGAGAAAAATGCTTGCGTACAACACTCACCGAAGTGGAAATGGGAATGTATTGTTCCGGAACCGATGCGTCCGATGACGTCTTGCGTGTCGTCTATATGAGTTATCGACGACGATGAAAGTGTGCTCGTGTAGGTGTATGATGGTGAAGGGAGCAGAAGTCGGCGAGGGTAGGGAGGCGCATAAACCGGTAACGCTTACCTCCTGTGGGGGTCCTTCTTGTTGTTTCCTGTGATGTCCGGAGGAAGCTAAATGAAAGTGAGTATTAGAAACAGTAGAATCATTGAAAGCACGTACAGTCCGACGATCGCCTCAGGTCGGCTCGCAGATGCACTTAAGATGAACGATGCTGCCAAATTATCGCGATGACCTGGGAACCACTCGCGTCGTCCATTCTCCTCTCATCTCAGACGGCGAGCTTCGAAGCCCCACCAACTTGCAGTCGTGACCGACGTTGGCATGGCATCGTAAACGAAGACCGGATCGTGACAGAGCATGCTGCGCGGACGATACGCGAGCTGATAAAGAAGCGAGAGCGCGTCCAGATCATCATCACAGACTGGAGTGCGCATACTAAATGTAGTCGGTAATGCAACGCTGGGCTATACGACTGACGTGAGCAAACCGCGTTCCGAAGGCAAAGAAGATCTGTGAACGCAGCGGTAAGGCAAAGGCTGCATTATGTTAACCAGTGATACCTTCTCGGGGCAACTCCGACTTGCCCGTGGGTCGAGATTCCAGTAATGCGTAGGAAGTTGAGCACAGCACCAGCTCCGGAGAGGATGGTGGCAGATGCGAAGTCGACCCTTTCACGAACAAGCTGGGAATACACAACCTCGAACAATCCGTATGCGTACCTACTTGCTGTCAAGCCCAAGGATGAATGTGCAGAAGATGATCACGCACTGGAATTTTAACAATATGGGATCGCAGATCCGATGCAGGACGAGGTCGAGAGCAAGGACTAACTGAAGATGCTTGAGAAGCCAGACATGGATCCTTTGACTGAGAGAGTCCACGATGAGCGAGTGCTCTGCTCTAAGGCGCAGTCGCAGGAGCCAGCAGGCACGCTGATATTGTCCTTGTAACGAGTTTACATGACGAACGTAGCTTCCGCCACGGACCCAATATAGATCACCTGACTCCGGATTCAGGTGTGGCGGCCTGTGGCCACAACTCGGTCTCATCATCGTACACTTTCTCTTTTCTCTCAATCTACTCAGATGTAGAGTCAAGTTAGATAATTTTCCAGGTCAAATCTACTTAAAGCTCTGGGCGGCATGTTCTTTTATGGATATTCTTCGCTGATCCTCTCGGATGAACAGCGGCATGGTGTGTGGCACGGCCTCTCTTCTTGACCATACTCGTATGGCTGGTTATCACTTCATAAATGCGGTCTGATTGGTTATTACTTTTGATAATGTTGATTCCATGTTTTTCTCTTTTACTTCTGGTATGTATCGAACATTTCGATGTCGATTATCACAAATGGCTCGCTCAATTCCTGGTCTAGAGTGATTCTCCTATTCCTTTCATTTTATTTTCTTATATTGACGTGATGCATACAGACATCTTGAAATGGAAGAATGAATCGGTTGTAATGATCAAGTCCACATAGGGGTCCTGCTGTGGCTGATGATTGTTGCCATTGTTCTCCCGATGGCAATACTATAGCGCTCTGACGTGGTGCGGGCTGCTGTCTAAGGGTTGAACTCGCTTCCGAACATTCGCCCCGCTTATATCTCCGCCCTGACGCAGGTTTCACGTTTTCCCTCCCTCCTACGACGCCTTCACCGACATCCCATCACGAGAGCCTTATTCAAGCACAAATCATGAGTCTTGACTGAGCTTGACTGCTGTATCGGCCGCGGCCATGCTTCATCAGGTTTCCTTTTTCCCTTCTAGGTGAGTGTCTCTGCGTGCATATATCTATGATTCGGCCTGCCATGGCACGATCATAAACTCTTAATGGTGTGTTCTGTGAGCTATAATTGGCTTAAGCAAAATCATGGGCAGTTCAAAACTCACGTTTTGGGTCTTTGGACATGTGCACATTTTCCCTATCTGCGCGCCGGATATTCGTATGCGTACTATACGAGCGTAATCCTTCTGATTCGTTCATCTGGTTTCCAACCTTGTGTCGCTCACGTTGCTGACGGGCTGAGGCAGTACGACATTCCAAGCTTTCTATGTCAACACGTGGTCGATACAATCTCCGTGCTGGCTCAAAATCAACAACATTTATCGTTCCATATAGGGTTCTATCCGCGTCAATCCACTTCGCTACTTGACCGAGGCTTACATGTGCGTAATGCAATTTAGCAAACGGATATGATGGTTCTGGCTTGCCACGTAACAGTAAGTCTAAATGCTCAATTCATGCCATTCTGAGGTCACCCCGTTGCGCAGAACCACAATGCGGCACAGCTCTAGAACGTCCATCTTCGCTCCCGAACCCGAGACTCACTGCGATGAATCACGTTTCATCGCGAGCGCTGATCCTGTCGACCACACAAGTTCATGCGTGCAGTAGCTCAACGAACCCATGGCCACTCCTCGTAGTCGTCTTCGTAGTCGACGATTCTCCACTCACCAGTCGCAGGAATATTCTCTCTTTATGTTACGACAAGCATATCGATGATTGCTCATTCTGCCTACAGGACGTGTGCTGTTCTCGCGAAGCAGCGATATATTATGACTGGTTGTAAGCGGGCGACGAAAGCGCTCTGACAGCCTCCCCTTCTTGCATCCACTGTTAGTACATGCTTATGCGCCCTCCAAAACAGTCAGCGAAGGTTGTGTCGGATATTTGTCCACGTGAGTAACGTCTTCTAGCTCTCATGATTGCCTTTCCTCAGGTGTAAAATATCGCCTTTCGCGGCCACGAGGTCCGTTTGTCCTTCATCATCATTACAGCGCATTCATCATGCAGCGTTGCACGATTTTCACTCAGTGAAGTCCGGCGGATTCCAAGTGAAGTGTCAGCAGTACATCAGGTGTGCCTTATTTTTCCTTTCGTGTCATGATCCGCCATCAGCAGGAGTCTCACCTACTTCTGGCAATCCTTGTTCATAAAGTCGACTTGAAGATCGTGGCTCCTTGCTCCGCTGAACGGTAAATTGCCGCACTACTGCTCGACGAAAGAGCTGCTGACAGAGAAATAAGAGCGAATGGAAGTTTTGGAGTCATCATACATCATTCTAGGCTGTCGCGAAACGAACGATAGCCGCGGATGCCTTGTTCCCTCGGCGCATATCTGCGACGCCTCGTTGCGTTGCGGTGGACCCACAACCGCCTCGTTTCAGGCACGGCATCCCGCTCATTTATACAGGCGCAGCATATCACTCCGCAGGTTTCATCTGCCCTCAGTACGTTATCCGCTCGTCTCCCTCAATGCCAGTTGTTCCACACTAAAGTGATTTGTTCATTACAACGCCAATTCCAGATGGAAGATATCACGCGCCAGCATCCATAGTCATTGCGAGGATGGGCATCCGTGAAGGGAAGTCATTTATCGTCCGGCTTCCCTAATGTTCCGTTGTCGATTGATTGAAGATCTGCGGGGTGTTTATCCTCATCTCCCTACTAGGCTAGGCCATGGTAAGCATTCTGCAGCGCATTACCACGCGCAGGCGCTTGCTTATCACTATTCGATGTTCTTTCGTGATGAATTGCAGCGTCTTACCGCCACTTCATCCACCTTCGTTGCTGCAGAACGACCCAAGACGCTATACCGAACGCCATGACAGCATGAGCGTCATCATTTCTACGCTGATCATCCGTATTTGTGCTCTCTGATTCTCCTCATATCACCGTTCCAATGCTACCGAAGTCTCAGTTGCAATTCCGCATTTTAATTGGTCTGATGGTAGAGAACGGCTAGACGATTCAATTCTAGAAGTGAACGCCTTCGCATATTCTGTCGGTCAGTCGGCGTCTGAGCGTTGCTAACACGCTGGAGTTCTCCCGTTTTCTCCGCTCAGGCTGGTGGCCCTGCGCGCCATGTTTCGAATCCACCCGACTTCTCGACTGGCCAGTGGCACCCTTTCGCAGGCGCGCTCACGCGGATTGCCCATCAAGAGTCTATATGGATGTGGAGAGCGAGACGAGCGCGTTAACTCTGCTCACATCATACCTTGGGTCACTTTCGGGAATTCCAAACTACTTCTCGTGAGACCATCTGGACTGCTATGCCTTGTATTCTATTTGACGACGATGGCCAATAGCACAGAGTACGTCGCTTCTAGTTTGCTTGGATGCTGACGTAACATGCAACTCTAGAGTAGGCGGGTCCTCCAATGACGCTTTTTCTTATCTGGACTGTATAGGAATTGCCATCGCCGGAATCTGATTCTCGACTACAACGACCCTGACGGCACAACGACGGAGATCTTTCCATGTGCCATATGGCGCAGCGGACATTAAACGTGCGTTCACGCGATTACTCAACGAGACGTGGCATCAGAAACATCTAACGATTACATCCATTCCAAACCAAAGGTATGTACAAAATTTAAGCCAAAGCTCGGAAATAATCTCAAGGTTAGTATGTGCGAGAACCGTCTGTGTGAATGATTACACAAAAATGCCCTGACGCTGTCGGGGCAGCACATTATCGATACACTAATGCAGAATAACGATACAGAAAAGACCGACCGTGCTCGCATTTTGCGCGACACTCGACTAGCTTATGGAGCCTGAAGACGGAGAGGATTAGAGGAGCCCCATTCTTCACATCACGAAAGACGGCATAGGCGGCAAAAACGATGGTGAGAACTCTCCATCCACAGGGCTGAGCGCCGACCTGTCATACAGCGCTGACATTCCTTCCTTCGAAGCTCCGATGCTCGTAGCGCTGAACTGCATGTCGATACCGGAGATTTGAGCGTATCCAGGGTGGCAGCCATTTGCAATGTTGACATCGTGGGTATAGAAGTCGTAGGACTGCGATGAGAACTGGTCGAGCATCGATGGCATGTCACCAGTGAGCATGGCAAAGGGCGACTCGCAAACACTTGGTGCCGTCGGGAACGACTGCGGCGTGCTGGGGATGCTGGAGACCGGCGAGGGAGAAGATGCCCAGGTATCCAAAAGCGTAGTGTTGATGGAGAGACAGGTAGGATCGAACGCGTCATCCTGTGGCGCGTATGCGAGGTGAGGTGCAGGTGAGAAGACGTGAAGTGAAGTTTGGTAAGATACGAAAGGATCGCAGGTGTCGACTGCTGCAGGTGAGCATGTGTTAAAAGAGAATGTATCAAAGTTCTGCGCTTTCTACATTAGCGATCGCTCACATTCTCAAAGCGAGTACTCACAATTGTAGAATCAGGGAGCGAATATGTTTCAACTTGAGACACAGCAGAGAGAGGTGAGGCAGGAGAACTGCACTTCGACTCGGCGTCACTCTCGCAAAGCGATGATCCGTATGCCTCCGAAGGCGCTGGAGAAGGTGTCCGCGGCTGCGAAGTGGACGCCCGAACCTTGCTCTTGAGCGACGAGGGCGCTGGCGACGACGCGAAGAACATCGGCTTCGTATGCTCTGTGTCCGGTACAGGTGCAGACGATGATCGCCGAAATGTCCGCGCAGTGATAGGAGTCTCGAAGCGAGTCACGATCTCTGGTACGTGGTGGCGATCGAACTCCTGGATGGCGACATCGAGCTCTGCACCCTTCTTGCCCTCGACGAGAAGCTCGGCAATCTTGGCACAACGCTTCATGTCCTTCGGGCCCACCTCTCTAACCTTCCTCTTCTCTGTCCCGCCTTTGCCCTTCGTGTGTAGAGGTCTAAACGCGTACTCTGGCCACTTGCGCTTGTGTTCCTCAAGCGCAGCCTTGGCCTTGGCATGCCAGATCTGCCTCTCCTCGTGGGGCAGGCTCTGCCAGGTCAGTCCGATGATCTTCGACAGCGTGCTATGATTAGTCTCCACTTCCGAAGAGACGTGCTGGTTCTTGATGAAGGACGATCGGAAGAGTATGAACGCGTTCGGAGGGCGCGGAATGTGGTTTTCGGGCTTCTTCCTCGAATGCGTCGTTCGTTTGCTCGGTGCAGGCGTATCAGCAGTGGAAGGGAATAGTATCGACTCTGCGATGGACTCGACTGGCGATGGAGGATCATTGAAGGTCCCTGGAGTGATATTGGGAGCGAATGCAATGCTTTGAGGCGTCGATGTGTCCAAAGGTGGAGTCCAGGTCAATGAAGCATCTGTCGCGATTGCGTTCAGTCTCTGCTAGTACTTCGGAATCATCAGTACTCGCATACCCTCTATCACCTTGCGCTTCGAAGCTCGCGTCCGTTCTGCTGGCATTTTGCGCTGATCGATCTGGGAATGAAGCCAATAAAGAGCGGACCCAAGGAGGAGTGGTCAACCACAGAGCCACGGATTTGATAGAGAGAGTGGCAGGAAGGTATCGCAAAATGGCACTGGTGGGCGATTACATACGTCTTATACAAGCCTTCTTTGCATGGGTGTGAGAATCGCTGGGAACTCCGATACTCTAGGTTCAGAGCAGGAGCGGTATTTTCGTTTGGGGCTGCTGGCCTGTGAGCCGGTCGGCTGATAAGAGCGATTAGGGAAGGGTTGTTCCGAGCGGAGGGATGCTCCCTGATTCGGTAGAGCGTGAACATATTTCCCAAAATTCGAGACTTGCTCTATGCAATTACGTGCAATCCGATATGACCGTGACCGGAGCGTTCCTGGCCATGGACCTCCCGCGACTGCACGCAGATATATTATTTGGAAGAACCTCTACTACCGACGGTGCGACGTTCTGTTACGTCTGAGGAACACACAACACATACTCATGAGGAAATTCGTATGCAACTTATCAAAAGTAGGTTAGCACGCGATTCTGATCGCGGGTACAATCAGGCATCACCGCCGAAATTGGGCTTTCTTGTCAGCTCGTGGAAGCCAGATCTGACCTTTTACTGAGTGCGAGCAGCGGCTAGCCGCTGAAACGCGCGTGTTGCACCCCAAATTGCAGTCGGAGGCAAGCCCGCTGACTGTCGTCACCAGTTCGTCCAGTTGGCAAGAGATCCAGGTACGGGCGCAACGCCGCATCAGGTAAAGCATCGTCTGCGATGACTGCACTATCACGGAAGTAGATGCAGCTGAACAACATCTTCCTGTCTTGGGATCGTCTTCAACTCAATACTCGCACTCTAAACCTCCTTAGGTCGCCATGGATATGAGTGATGCCTAACGATCGCCATTAATCTTGCTGTAGATCTGCTTCCGTGCTGCCTGTGCAGCGGGTGACCGACCATTTGGACGAGCCTGGAAAGAGAAAGAAGACAGACGGCGTTGCGTTGCCAAGTGAGCGCCAGAGAATCAAACAAAGGCTGTTCATTCAGAACTACGCCATGGTGGGTCGGCGGACGCGCAGCCAGGCCTAACATAACCTTCGACATGCAGAACAGAAAGCCGTCCATGAGCGGGACATGCACTCTCTAATGGCAACGTCCGCAGTGGTGTTTAGGTAGCTGCGTAACACGAGGCGAGACGGAACAAGTGGGATGCTGGGGCAGTGCGCGACGCGATTCGTAGGAAAACGAAGTTCTCGACCGGGCCGCCTCACTTCGTACCCGCGACGGGTTCGCGAGAAAGAAGATCTTGAAATCAAGGGCAATTCAGTCCAATACGCGACAAGACGGACCCCGCTTCTTATGCACTATTCGCCGCATGTAGTTGATTGTAGTCTGCGCCACACTTGCGTCCCCGTGATGTGCCTCGCGCCTAACGCAGGCGACACCCTCTTCGGACGAAGCACAACTCGGAAAACAGCCAGAATACGTATGCTCCCCGCCATTTCGCACGCGCGCCTTGATCCCAGCCAACGTGTGCAGCGAATCCATTCTCTTCCATGTCCGACTCGCACGAAGTCATCGCTGAGCATCATATGACGGTATTCCCCTGTCATGCCGTACCACTTTATCAGTAGCATGACCAGATACGGCGTCTAGGAAGCAATCTTTGATGGATGCGACCTACCAGACGGATTGCATCGGCCATGACCGACAGTCGGACCCTATCAGGAAGTCAAGCGACCCTGTCAGACCAGGACAGGCCCGCAAGCTCCGAGCACCGACTTCGTAAAGCAGGCGGCAGTACGGGAAGAGCGTTATCTGCACACATGAAGCCATCGCTCCACTGCAACGTGTAGACCGATGCACGCCACGTGTTGGGCGTGGCGGGGGGTGGACATTTTGTTAAAGCCGAAGGATTGCATAGCCCTTTGTTCGTGAGTCTATGACGGGTCCGTGCGGTGCCCTAGTTTTCATCCCATAGCATCAGCGACAGAGCAGTAGAGCAGGAAATAGCCCACCGAGCAGCCAAGAGGAGATGTCGACCCTGAGCGTGTCGTCCCGTGCGTGCGCCATGCCAGTGTTTCATTAAAGTTGAGAAGAGCCTATACCATTCTAATGTGTAATTGCGGCGTGGTTGGAACTCAGACGCTTGCGGGATCTTCACCGAAGTAGACTAGAAGTGCGCCCAATCCAAGCATCTCTTGAGAACCACCGAAAGGATGTTAAGGATGTCCTAAACGTGCGCGACGATACCAACGGACTGTTCCATCCATCGATTTCACGGCCGTTGCTGAAGTGGTTGACCACAAATGAAACAGCTTGTGCTGATGTTACTCCATTCTGACAAAGGTCGGGAGCGCATGAAGTCTAGATCCTCCGTCGGCCAAGCATCAGCACGAGAGAGTTCTTCGGGCTCGTCGGCAATGCCTTTCGCAGCGAGAAGCAGCACGGAGATGAGCCAAACCTTCTATGAGAAAGATCTATTAGCATCGACAGGTACGCTGTTCGATCACCATTTCCATTCCTTGATCCGCTCCGTTTGAGAGAGGGTCGACATTTGAGGTAGAAAGGTTCCAGTAGCCAAGCTCGATTTGTGCAAGTGTGCTATCAAGATGAGCATCAACGGAGTCTCGTATCCCTGGGGACACTGAATAAAACAAGAAACTCACTGGCTTCCAAAATAATGTTCGATACGTGCCATTGTTTTACGAACAGAATATTTAAGCGAGACAACGCAATCCACTGTAGCGTATGTCCGTCTGGAGACCAGACCGTGGTCTATGAGTCGGCAAATGTCTGCTAACTCAATGTCATAATCTGGATATTCAGCCATCTAAGATGCTGACTAGACATCCTTGGTTAAGCGCGCCATGTCTCAGGCTTATGCCCTCCAGGCTGAACCCGTCAGTGACAGTCGGTGAAACACATCGCAACATGCAAGTGCCAAGGGAGTCTGCACAGCATCGATGGCAGGGTACGTGTGGCAGTGAAGACACAGAATGAAGCAAATCCACGCTGTATGCGCAAGGTGTCACTGCCTTTCTCATTCATCAAACTCACCACTAGCGATCGGCGATAATGCACCGAGAAATTCGAGAATGACTTCGGCAAGACGTGCACGTAGCACGTGGAGAGCGCTGTTGCCTGGACTCTTACTATTGTCATTAGATACTTCAACGCGAGACATGTGTCCATGTATCCAAGGCCCTTTGCTGGCCTCTCTAATCATATAGCGGTCGGAAGAGATCCGCCTTACGTGACCAACAGTAGACCATATTGCATGAGTGACCAAATAACAGATCATGAGGTTTTCCGCACCTTTGATGTTTATGGGCCTCACGCCGTCCACAACACCGTTCGTCTGCGATTGCACCGCTACATAGCAGCCATTTTCATCATTATGGAAATCATACAACCGGCGACAGGACTTACATCCAATTACGAACGCAATGGCTCGACGGCCTGCTTAATTGTGCCTCTCTTGGGCTGCTACTCATCGCACATGTTTTCCATAGACGTTTGTGAGACGGGACGGTGCATGAGGTCGTATAAGAATGGCTACGTAGAGTCTGGTAGCATGCACGACGACGAGCGGGCATTCAATATATCTGAGAGCGTTGACAAACTGTCAGGACAGATTGGTCAGACGGGACGGAAGCATTGAGTTGGAGCAACAAGGGTGAATCACCTGCAACGAGAGAGCCAACGATAGGCTAGAGGATGGTATTACGTCTGGTCATGCACGGTATACCAGGGCATATGAGAACACTGCGGAATATTTTGCCAGCAGGCAGGTTTTGCACACGTCGTAGGCATCCTTTCACACGTAGCTACTCCTGCATTGTACGAGCTCGAAACACGACGTCCGGAACAATCTTGAACGTGATTCATCCCGATATCAAGTGCCGTATGCATTGCGGGTTGTATAAATGGCTGTCTGCTGATTAGAGAACTGGACGCCGCTGCGAGAGGGTAAGATGACGTGATCTTCTGAGGAAAATCGAGTCGCCGGATTCTTGAACACCAGAGAGATATGCCTGTATGCAGTTAAAAACGATGGTGATTCGCCGGAGTCCTATGTTGTGGCACATCCAGAGGACCACATCAATTGCGTCGAGAACAGGATTTGCCTGACTTCTGAGCATCACTCTGGTCCGAGAGAGTAAGAAAGTGCATACACGTACGCAGCATTCATTTCACAGATGGTGCATACATACATCCCCAAAGTCGTCCCGTCAGAATATCCGCTCCATAGTATGCAACTTGCTCAATCGTTCTCAGAGCACTGCCAAAGAAATGGAATGCCGCCCCGGCTACCTCGAGGTTCAGGAAGACTGAATTCAGCATAGCATTTGGACATCATCTCGAAGCATGAGGCGAGAGATGGTGAGGTGCAGGGTCGGTGTGGACACGCGGCGACACAGCTGAAAACCCGCCGTCGACGAAGCGTGGGAATATTTCGGCATCAAAGGATCGGATTCCATCACGTGGCAGACAAACTGGTACTGAACTCTTCCCATTCTGGGTCACGAACACGAAATGGATAAATTGGACACGACGATCTCTAGTGCACTCTATATGGTCTACACGTCTATACGAAACAAGAAAGAAAAACATTGCGCCGTTGCAGAAGCCCATTTATGCGATGAATTTGATGTTCTTCCAGTACTTCACCCATGCTCTCGCGTCTTCCTCCCCAAGAGGACGCAGCTTCGCGATCGTCGGGCTGACGCTCTCGACCTTCTCCGTGTGGAAGAGAGGCAGACCACCTACTTCGATCTCGGTGACGTGGGACTCCCGTGCGTCGCGCTCCATGGCTGAGAGGCTGCGGAAGTACTCGAGCAACTTGATTCCAGGCTGGAGGAGATACGCCACGTTAGAACCGCTGCTATCACCGGACGGGCGGTAGAACTCACAATCGTTTCGAGATCGTCGGCGGACGCGCCGCCCTCAGCGACACCCTCGATTTTCTTGACCCAATCGTCCAAGGAGATGAACGGCAGGCTACGCCCAAGCTCAGCGTTAACGCCGCTGAGTGACTCGCGCCACGATACAGGACGTGGGTGCACGATGTCGACCAGATCGGGCTCTGCAGAGCTGAACATCACGTCGACGGCAGCACTGGCAACGCAATCCATCGGAACCCATGAAACCAGCTATATTTTAACGGCTGTCAGGTCAACGAAATACGCAACGCTCCGCATTACGTACCCCGTCCAGGTCGGGAAGAGCATCAAGCGCAATACTTGTCTTGACGATGTTCGGCACCCACTCGTTCTTGTTCCACGCTCCGCTCCTCGACGAGCCGCTAATCTGACCGATACGCAGAGATGTTGTGCGCAAACCGGCAGCTCGGGCATTCGCGAGGACCTGTAAGGACGGGGTATTAGTCATTCAGAGAGCCGCAATACATTTCTGCAGCACATACCATCTCGACAGTATACTTGGACATCCCATAGCCGGAGGACCTCGCGGGGATTTCCGCGTTGCCGAGAGGCTTTTCCGGTACAGGGCCACGGCCCTGAGCAGCCCGCCAGCCTCCAGCGACGGAGACAGAAGACGTGAAGAGGTAGTAGCTGTCTGGGACGAGTGCGAGGAGGCGAACGGCGTTTGCGATGTGCGTCTCGAACGAGGCGAGCGTCAGGTTGAAGTCGACCCTCCAGGCGTTGTGGATGATATGAGTAACAGAAGCAGAAAGCTGGTAACAATGTTTTTAAGTTGACGAAACAGGGATGCACAGCATAATACGTACCTCAGCGAGAACGCTCTGCGCCAAACCGATGTCCTCGCGCCCAAAGTCACCCGACAGGTATACCACGTTAGGCTTGCTCAACAGCTCGGTTTTCAAGCCAGCTGACTCGAAGGCAGCACGCTGACGAGTGGGAAGGTCAGAGCCACGGTTAAGCGCATAGATGCGCTTGACACGGCTGTCGGACAGAAGCAGCTCCAAAATATGGGCTCCCAATGACCCTGTCGTTCCCGAAAGTAGTACCACCAATCCGTCCTTCGCCTTGTTGCTGCGCGAGGTAGGAGCAGGCGGCAGCTTCGCCGTGTACTTCGCGATCATCAAATCAATCTCCTCCGCAGGAGAATGGGTAGCAACTGTGGCGCCCGGACGAACGAGCTTCGCCACGGCTGCGGCAAGTGCGACGAGGGTCGGGTGCTGGAAGATGAAGTTCGGCGAGACATGCTGAGCCGCCGAGTTGACCGCAGGGTCGGAAGACTCGCGAAGAGCACCGATGATACGGTTGCGCAGGAAGGTCGAGCTCAAACTGGGAGCTTGTGTTAGCAACAGGCCGAGAAATTATTATGAGCTCACATACCTGTCGAAGCCTTGCTCGAAGAGATCGCGCTCAGGTTTCGGCATCTTGTCACCGTTGATGGCGGCCGCATGCAGAGCCAGCCATGCTTGGATGTCTTTCACATTCCACGATGGAGGTGGTGCGACACCATGCGAGTCCCTACTCTCCTCAATTGTCTTGTAGCTGATCGGAGGCACAGTAAGTGGAATGTCTCCCAGAGTCAGCTGTTACTTACAGCGCCTCGATTTCGTCCTTATACATCTCGAGAGTCTTCTTGCGCTGGATTGTTCCTTTTGCTGCACGAATGAATGGCCGGGCAGGGTCGGCAACGATAATCATCTCCTTGAAGATACGCGCAAACGTGGGCGCAGTCTGGTTGGACTCTTCAATCTGCGGCCTGCATTGAATCACACGTAAGAAAGACGAAGAGAAGAAAAACGTTTGTAGAACGGCGTACCAGATAACGTTGCGGAACTTGATGACTGCACTCTCATCACCAGCAGGGATCGCGAACTCCGGCTTGAGCTCGATAAGAACGCCCACTTGCTGCTTACCGCGACCGAACATGAGAGCTCCCGTAACCATAGGATGAGCATCGATGTGCTTCTCCTGAGGGATCGGAACCGCCTTCTCGCCTGTTCATATCTTAGCTCTCTTGCAACAGATAACAGAAACGATGAGGTAACTCACCAGATCCCAAAACAATGACGTCGTCAGTGCGTCCGACGCTGTGAATGACCATTTAGCAACGGAACGTAAAGCTGAGACAGAGAATTACGTACACACGCCAGAGGCCACGCTTAGTTGGGTGCGGCTCGAAGAGGTCAGACGTCGAATATCCACGCTCGCCGTTGGGCAAGTTGTTGACACTGGGCTGGTGCGTTGGGCACGCCTACACAAGTCACGCGTCAGCATTGCCATGCATCAGACTGCAGTCTATGATTAATGACATACCAAGAACTGCAACTCATAAGTCCCATCACCCTGGGGAATCCAACGCGGCTTGGCGTCCGAAGGGATAGCCATCCACTGCCAGTCATGACGAGTCTTGCCGATCGGGCTTGGAGCATCGACATCATCGTCGTAGATGCACGTCAAGGTGCCAAACTCGGTAGCACCGTAGCAGGAGAAGAGTCGCACACCGTTGGCCACCAACTTATCTCCAGTCGCCGAGGCAAGTGGGCCACCTGCGAAGATCTACTAGCCGCTCAGCTTTTACATGCATCATTGTAGAAGGACAGTATCCATACCAGGGAGTCGAGAGTAGCCAGATACTTCATGTCCTCCTCGTTGTGCGCCCACGCCTAGAGTTTCTGTTAGAAACAACTCGCCGGACAATATGCGAATACTGACCTCAACAAATGCGGGCACGCTCTCAATCGCAGTGCAACCGGTCTTACGCGCCGTGTCGATGGTGTTCTGCGGGGTGGGGACCACCGGAGGCGCCGACTGGAGCGCGCGAGGAGGAAAAAGACTCGTAGGCTGCCCGGACACAAGCGGCGCGTAGAGCTGCGAGCACAAACCCATGACATGGAATCCGGGCAGCGCCATGCAGCCCCATCGGATGGCCCGCTTGCGAGACTCGATGATCAGCGGCATGAGGCACCATTGGATGATCGTAGTGTGCGTGTGAGGAATCGGCTTCGGGTGGCCAGTCGACCCGGAGGAATGTAAGTACAGCAAAATGTCATCCGGCTGGACATGCTTAGTCGCAGCCGGGTAGGCGTCGGGAGCAGGGGCCGGCGGGTCAAAGGACGACGACAGGGCCGGGAAGATGTCGCCGAACGGCGGCAGTTCATCTATGTGAACCTCAAAGCCCGGCGTGACGGTCTTGCGGATCCCGTCAAGGAGAGGCGCGAACGTGGGCTGAGAGACGATACGGTGGCAGCCGGTGCTCTCCAGCAAGTTCGCTACGGCAACTGCAGAGTTGCGAGGAGACATCGGGAAAGGCACAAAGCCTGCACGAGCGAGACCAGCGATGAGAGCGTGGTACAGGGCTGAGTCGCAGTTGGCCAGGATGGCAACTAGAGCGCCGTCGGGGCCAGTGCGCCCAGGGCGGAAAGAATGCGCGATGCGATGGGTGGCATGGGCAAAGTCTACGAACGAGATGGTCGAAAGCTTGTCAGAATCAAGGTCGGGGAAGGGGAAGACATAGATGGGGTCGTGAGGGTTGTGTTCCGCATGCCAGTCGACGAAGCCAGGGAACAGAGGGACAGAGCCGTCTAGAGGAGGAAGCGATTGTGGAGACATTGTGAGAGGGATGAGAATGGCGATGGAGGGGTGGTCAGGGAAGAGTGAGGGGCTGCAGGATCGACAAGCCGCCGCCAGATGCGATATTTATATGTCATGGCTCGCCATGCATCTTGCTGCGTGAGAAAGGCGGCTCTGACAAAAATCGAGGGGTTTGTTGAGTTGATTGGCGGTCATCGGTCTACACTCACCCGACGATCTCACAGCGGAGTCCGACGTTTTCCACCTCCAACTCCTGGCCAGAACGCTTTGCCTTGTGGGTAGCCTGCCGTAATGCAAAACGGCCTGCCGGCACAATAAAGGGAAGGAGAAGCACTCCTCCATTCGTCATTCCTGTGACGCTTATCTCATACCCTGTTCAATTATTGAATACCTAGCGGGTGCGACCCGTGACAGAAGCGCTTGAGAATATAATCCGATGACCGCCGTCGAGTCTATGGACCAGCAGTTAGCGGAGGGTACGGTCACTCCTTAGGATGCTACAATCGCATCAGCTTGAGAAGCACTCACCCTGGCGTTTCCACCTTCGCCTCGTGGCCCTGCCGCCACCTTTTCAGGGTACGCGTGCTCATCGTGTTCCATAGCTGTGACAGCCGAAAAGAATGGTTCCATAACATCACGTCCATGGGCCAGAGAAGGAAGGTGAAGGGACGAAGGGCGGTGTCTTGTCGATGAGGGTTGAAGCGAAGTAAACCGAACGACCGAAATTGACCATGGCAATTTCCGGTAAAGTGATCGAAATTTCCTTTTTGCAATGTTGATTCGCGCCACGTGGAGATTTGATCCGCTCCTGCTCCGAAGCCGGATTCGACGGGTGCCTGTTGTCCGAGTCCGCTAATGAACATGGCGGCGCTGACCACCTACGGGCTCCCGATATGCTTCAATTGCGTAGCCATTTCGACCGACTATCTCTCCTCTCATCCTAGGAGCATATCGGTGCGAAGTCAAACTTGCCTCGCAACCCTCAATCACCCCTGCCACGGTTCGGCGGGTTGTCTAGAGCACTCCGGAATGACGATAGAAGTTTAGAACATGATGTACACCGCTTTCCCAGAAGTTTCTCTTCGATAATGGTCACAATATCAAGGGGCATGCATCTGGACTGCGACGGATCTGACACGACTTATATTCACGGCAGCGTCGTGCAGCGGCTATGAATATTCAAAGGGCCGAAGATTTAATGCCTCCGTGGACGATTGATCGCGACACTCAAAACGTCCGTATCACCGCTCGAGACGAGATAAGTCAACTTCTATCGAGTCTGTACTTCTCTCGCAAATTAGAACAGCTTCTCCTCCGGGATGAACGTAGCCGTGCTAACCGAGAAGAGGCTACCTGCAACACTGTTGCTAGAGCCTTCATTTTGTTGTCACTCTGCTTCCACTTCACCTTCGGAAGGCTATTCGTCGGTACTCATGTTGCCGGAAGTTACGTGGCGAGCTATTTCATTACCTGCCCTGCTCTTTTTCTCTATGCACTCGTCAGTCATACCGAACATTGTCCCTTGTTGGACAGCCCTGCGTCACTGCGGAGGGAATTGACGGTGGATGAGCTGCCGGTAACCGGTTCATCGTCCTGCATATTAATTCGCGTGCTCGGTTAACGTCAGGCGGTGACGTGATATCTGGACAGCACATTTCCGTGAACTTCTCGTTCGAGTTTTTTTTTGCGTGATACGAGACATGGACCCTCCCTTTAGATATTGCGGCCGCATGATCGAGGTCTGGTCTATCTTTTACATTTCTCATCTTATTTCCAATCGGACCCACCTGAATCGGGAGTGTTTAGACAATGGGCCGTCGGTGCTGATGGGACCCCCTTTCTCGAGTGGCTCCGGCATTCAAGCTCACATAACCGACGGCTCTCCGTCTATCCAGATACGCCAGCGAATGTCCGAGCCTGTGCGCCGTCGTTTGGAGTGATTTTGGCCGTATGCTCTTGAAATGCCTTTCGTCGGCAAGTACGGCTGATGATGAAAATGTACAACTGCTTCGGAATTCCGCGTGTTGCACGTTCGTGCGACCCAGGCGGGCGAGATAGCTGTGCCCTACAAGCGTGCTGTTCGATCAACGCGGACGTTAACTCAACTCAGTACCGACAGCCACGCACCTTCTGCATCGGCATCGGCGGAGATGTTATTAATGTCGTCTGGTCGTCAGTCCGGCACAAAGAAACCCGGAAGACGGAACTCTTGGCTATAGCAAATATACGTTACATCCGGTGATTCGTTTGTGTTATCTCGCAGAAGCCGGAATGCTTTATGTCACCATGATGTCCACTTGAAGCCCACCGTACAGAAGAAGCCACGTCTTCGCTGTAAGACAATTTTGCGGCTAAGATTTTTCTGTTAAACCATTGAGCACGTTCTTGAGGCCACATGAAAGATATACTTAATCGCTAGCTTATGAAATGTGGCAGCCTGTAGCCTGCACAAGTGCCGGCAACGGTTACTAGTATCAATGGCGGCCTGTGACTAAGTTAGTGCGCGTGCCACAGTCGTTGAGGATCCGATCGGGCTGCCCAAGCCACATCGGTTCATGATCGTATCGTTCATCGTCTCCGAGTCCCGACCTTCAAATTCACATCAAAATCAAATCGCCCTTCTTCGTCAGCAATTTAAGCAACATAACCTTACAACAGGCACTCCATCGATGGCCACTCCTTCACTCAACCACGCCTAAGGGACGATCAACAAGTATAATGTGTGATACACTAAGTTATAGAAATCGCGACAGCTCAGAGCAACGAACACTAGAGGGTACAATGATACATTAGGAGTCAACGTCCATCCTGATACTCTCACCCTCGTCTGGTGTTGCTGTATCGATGTTTGGAAGATTGCGTTTGCGGCTACTATTGCCCGAATCAAGAGCTGTGCTCGAAGCTAAGCCATCTTTAGCCCCTGCTGGCTGAGCAGCGACGGGGGCAACCGGTTGTGGCTGATCAGGCTGCCCTGGTAGTGCCACGTGGACTCGGGCATCGGGAGATTTGGATAATGAACGGGCTTGACGTATGGAACGAGGAGAAGAATTGAAGTAGCCGCATTTAGGGCAGACGTATTCTGTTCCAAGTGGCAGCATAGGTGCATCACCGTCAAGGACAGCAGCGCGAGCATCTAAAGCAAGACTCACGAGTATCTTCCCACTGGCTCTCTTTCACGAGACCGTTGTGTGCGAAGCATTTCTGACAGATGAGGGCGTATCGTGACGCCGCCGTGCTCACAGAGCCATCATCGTCACCTAATATCGCATCTGCGAGCTTGTCGAACCACTGCTTCCTCAGTGGAGGCAGCGGATACTGCGGAAGTGCTACGATGATCAACGTCAATCATGAATTTCGAATGATAAGACTGAACCTGCGTACGTGATAGATGCTGTTGTAACTGAGACGATACCGGAGGATTAGGCTTCCTGACCTGCGGCTCGCGTTGAGGAGAGGGGGGTATGCGCTGCTGGGGCATTCGAGGACGTATGGGGGAGCTGGCGCCTCCTATACTCGATCCATCGTCATAACGCTCGAGTAGATTGCGTGTAGAGTAGTAATTCGTCTTGTTCTTAATTTCTTCAATTTTGTCCCGCTGCTGCTTCCGCAATGTCACCAGCGCCTTTTCTAATCAGGGCGGCAAAGTTAGACTGCGTTGAATCACGTTAGAGACGCATCAAACAAATGCTACAGTGTCTATGTGCTGCCCTCGAGAGCCACATGATAAGCGTCTCAGTAAGCCGTTCGGTCTCAGGCCGTCTGCCCTGGAGAGCTGCAGGTGAAGCTATCTAAGGCTGGCAGCTGGATGACAGACGAAACATCTGCAGCTCGTACATCATCGGTACGAGACACTTGCTAAGTAGCATTTGCCTATATCTCCATTTGGCTAGGCATGCAATAGACAAAGGACGTACCTTCCTTGTCGCCTATACGAGTATACCATATCTGCACGATGCGACGTGTGAACAGTATTCTAATGGTGACATTCCTTCATGTGAGTGGCACGAAAAGCACGGGTGGCGTAATAGACTCACAAGATTGGCCCGAGGAATACGGGCACACCCTTCGCCGTCCGCTCAAAACTACTATTCCGGTTGTGGCCGCTCACGTTAGGGAGAAGGCCTGCATACCACAGCCCACTCCACGATGCCCACAGGGCAACGGCCACCAACGAGAAGTAGAGGGTGGAACGACGCTCGCGCAAGCGGATTTCCGACAGGCGCGTCTGTCGCTTTTGTATGTCAAGTGCGAGAGATGCTAGCACTTGTTCGTAATCCTCCGGTTTGCTCTTGTCGCCCCGTGAACACCAAGGTGTGACGCCATAGGGATATAGCATACCTTCTTGAACCAGCCAAAGAACGAGACCATGTCCTGAATCTGAAGATAACTAAGCAAGAGAACGAAGCAGATTCAGTGACCGACAGCACGAAACTAGCAGAAGAGAGGTAAAGTAAGGCGTCGCTTCAGGAGTTGTTGACTCTGGGGCGACAGCTGGCGACTTTGGCTCATACCGACGTGTTGCGTGGGATAACGCACGTGACTCAATTGAATATTGAATACTGGGGATTGAGCTGCCGACGACGACGACAACGTCCACTTGGCCTCTTCAGCTCCGATTCCTGACTCACCGAACCCACTGTGCACGTCGACAAGGCTGACATGAACCGCTCGTGCCATCATCGCTCTTCATCAGGCTTGGTGCCATTGGGAGTTTTTGTGTCAGGAAACATGGAAGATTTGCGGGTCAGTTACGAATGAGCATGGTTCCAATATCCTGTACGGAGCGGTCGAAGCGACCATCAACCCACATCTTTCAGGTTTTATTTGCCGCGGCCGCTAGAATCAAGCATAGACCATGTTCGTCTATGGCCAAGCTGACGCTGGTGTCCAGGCTCCGACCATCTCTGATTCACTGCTCATGCTATCATGAGCGCACGCATCGCCTCACTGTTGTTCGGTCCTCAGGCCATCCGACCGAGATGAGAGGGAATCTAAACTGTACCAAGTTTCGTGTATGCACTTTGGTCATTTGGAGGACGGCCATTGTAACCGGCCGTGTTACTCGTAACTTCAACAATGTTTACTCCTGTGGAGACTTCCTGTGCATCTCGAAGCTTTCGCACAGCTGTGCGGATCCTATTCGCGAAGTCGACCAGCTGACTGTCATTACACTTCTCATTCGCCAGTGGACTATTCGCTTCCTCCGGACAAACTGTGAGATTGCAAGTATATCTTTCATCCGTCATTGAAGCACATGCATAACCTGAGTGCGAGGGGCTCTTCCGATACACACAATCTGGCCGGGCCGAGAACTCGGTTTGCTGCAGTTGCCATCTATCTGTGCACACAGGTTTCCTCGTCCGGTAGTCCGAACTACTCGCACCAGACTACGATCATAATTCTATCGCTCAGTCGCGACAGCTCGTGGTACACGCTAACACCAAATGCTATCTGAAGTGCCGACCTTTCGCACTTGCCATGGCTGTCATACCTCGGCCAGTGGCGTAACTCGCCGAAGCAAGCAATACCGCGGTGGCTTGGAAGGCACAGACGGATATGTTCTAGTCCAATCCCGGCATAGTTTTCGCGGCAGCTGAATCTCCCGTGTTCCATCATAGATTGATGGAAGTGGAAGTATTCTCCGCTATAGGCCGTTTCAGTGATCTCATTCAGGGTACGCGCCTCGCGACCCAGCACTCAGTATAAATGCTCAACCAATGGATGAGGCGGCGGCACTCTATCATCTGAGGTTCCGCGCTCTCTATTCCCTCCCACCAACATGGCATTACTCGTCAAGGCGTTCCTCATTCTCAGTGCAGCATTCAGCGCACACACCGCCTTGACTCCACCGACGCCCCCTCCGAAGAAAGATGAAATCCGGAAGGACGTCTCCTTAGGGGAGAGATTCTTTGGTAGAATCATCCGGTCAATCACTGGTCTTAACAAGGTGGGCAGCAGGCACTCTGTTGACTAATACTCCAAACCGCTGACAGGCGCCATAGAACCTGATTTGGGTCATGGCGTTATGCGAGACAGCGGTGATACTTGCGTGCGAGAATCCCTCGCACCCTCTCGCGAGGCGTGTTCTAAACCTCCTCATCTTCGCTCCCGACTCGTCGATCGACAAGATCGGGATCAGCCCTGTCTTCCTGGTCGGTTGGACGTTGGCCATCTTCAGTGGATACTTCCGCATCCAGTGCTTCCGCGCACTCGGCCGCCTGTTCACGTATGAAATCACGCTACGCGACAACCATCAGCTGATCACCAGCGGGCCATACTCCATCGTCCGCCACCCTGCATATACGAGCCTCATGCTCGGATTCCTCGGTATCGCGCTCTGCCACGGCAGCAGCGGCTCATGGTTTATGGAGTGCGGTCTCTTCAATACCCTCGGGGGAAAGCTCCTCGGCTACGGTTACTTGGTATCGATGGTGTATGGCTTTGTCAGCATGACACTGAGGACGCCGCTGGAGGATGAGCTGCTGAAGAAGGAATTCGGGGCGCAATGGGTGCAGTGGTCGCAGAGGGTGCCATACCGGTTGCTTCCTGGCATTTACTGAATAATGCGGGTCTGTAATTTACTGGTACATTCCTATAGTTGTAGCGAATACCTGTAATACCTATTGAATGGCCGGCTATGCGACGGCGGAGTTTGCGGGCTGTCCGCTGTTCCAACTCTACGCGCGATAGTGTTGTAGGGCCGTGTGGGGGTTCTTGATCTGCATATCTGCTTTACGGAAGGATTTTTTCCAACTGGAGTATAACGGGCCCCGGCTGCGCGATGCGGAGAGTTCTGAGTCGCTTGATGACTGCTTCGTCTACCGACGAGATGGTGCAGTGGTACAGTTTAACCACACAAGCTAGAAGCAGGGCCCAGGCAAGAATAGTACGTCGGCGCAGTGGTATGCCACTAATGTCTTGAAGACGCGAGCTCCGTGCTTCTTTATAATCCTCAGCTTGGCGAAATTGAACGAAAGCAGACTCGTCAGGTCATGATGATGAGCTTGTTAGATACGCGAGGCATCGTTATGCCTCCATGTGTTGTATTTCGATTTCAAAATGGACGGGAGAACTCATTTTGACGGGCTTCTTCTTCACATGCAGGTCTTCTCAGTGCGGACGAAGCCACGATGCAAGATGTCGGACTGAATGTGTCGATGATCTGTTCAAAGAGACTTCAACCACATCCTGTTCATCAAGCACAGCTCGATCATACTCAAATAGACCAGTCTCACGATGCCCGCTGCCAACATCAGCTCGGACTACATGTGTCGATGCTTGGCATTCCAACCAAGGAGACTTCACCCACATCCTGTTCATTAGGCACAGCACTCAAATAGACCAGTCCCACGACGCGGGCTGACAATGTCAGCGTGAGTACCGCGTCACTAGGAAGACGGGTAAAGGCTGAGATACCGGCTGCAGTCCCGCAGAGTTGCGTTGCGTGCTTCGCCGGAAGTGAGATGACACTTGCGGCGGCGCAATGCCCTGGTAGACGACCCTCGTCCTAACGACAAGGCCATCAAAGCCTGTCGCGTACCTTATAACAGCAATAATGTCCGGCGCAAAAGAGCTAGAGCCAGCAGGACACCGTAGCCGTGCGCCTAGAGTCCAGTAATATATCACTCGTTTTCGAATGCCGTTGATGCTGCCGTCATGTCTCCTCATGCTGAAGATGCCGAGTCGTTGCAAGGACCCTGAGTGGCATACGTAACAATTCATTAAAACCTTGCACGCTTCGCGAAGATGATATTCAGGTCAGGTTGCACGCTCATGATCAGCTATTCGCGCATTCAGGTATTTGGGTTCTCAGCCTGTCCATACCGCGTGAACCTGAAGCTAAAACGCTCGACCGCAGGCCGCCCGCGAAGGCGCGGTGGAATCCGCATGTACATGATCTACCCATGTCGAGCGATACTTGACTGCATGTCGTGCGGGGTCTAGAGCGCCCGGGTCTTGGGTCCGCGAGCGTCCATCAGTAAAAGTAGTGTAGGAATCCGGCCGCTACGGAGCAATACGTTGCTCTCGATTGTTTGTCAGCACACAGTCACCTACAGGTCAGGCGAGTTGCTTGAACGGCAGATGTCTAAGGATCTCACGTGAGACCTACAGCTCAGATGTGTCATGTTGCCATTCAGTTACCCGTCGTTGATCCGACCGTTCAACGGAGCGCCCCTGTCGACACGAACTTCACGGTCAACGTTGTCGTGGCGTCGGCATTACGAATGAATGACCTTACTTAAAGACAAGTGATATTGAGAAGCGTCTAAGTTGTCCATAATCACTGAGTACTGAAATATAAGAAGTTGAAAATGGTTGACTTGCAATGTGTTTTGCTTAGTAGGCCTCCAGATGGAATAACAGAACTTACTGACTGAAGGGGCCCTCAGCCTGCTCAACTTGGGGTTACATGGCGTGAATTGTATGGGTGTCTGCTTTTCATTCGTGACTATTCTCACGTGTTGTCCTCCTCGGCCTGGATAGATTAGCGGAATCATAGGGTTCAGATTACTTACTGCAACTAAGGAATTTGGGCTCTTTGATGGCGGGGTTCATTGAAACCGAGCGGTTGAGTGGTCGTCATGCGTTATGTTGAACGCATAGCGAGGAAATTTGCCACCGAATCCGGTATCCAATCGGCGTCTATGCATGGATCCGAACGCGGCCACGTGACCTCCCGCGGCGATCCTCAATCGCGTCGATCACAAAGCGCACTGTCAACCCCCTTCAAACAGATCGCCGGTCAGCGCTGGTCAGCCTTCATATCTCCCATGACGAGCGCCACCCTTGATGACGTAGTCACACTCTTTCAGCCACCAAGGACGACGGTATATAAGCTCGAGTGGCAAGCCTCGCACCTTCAACTGACCTTTTCCTCCTTTTCATCGCCTCTCTGCACGCCAGAACGACGGTCCTGGATGATATGATAGCGTATTTTTGACCATAATAGAGAAGTGCTAAGGTCGGCATGAATGTCAGCCGAAAGCAGGCGCCATCGTGAGGTGCGCACTTCGCACCGCTATGTTGATATTTGACCACAAGCTGACCGCGCATATATCAATCGAATTGCGAATGGCCATCTCAGCTCCTGCTGAATTTCTCTATCTTTTTTATGTTCATGAACATCAACACTAGGTCGCCAGGCCATGTTCGCAAGCATCGTAATGCGCATATAATCAATGCTGCAGTCGCATGCAGCACAAGGTACGCAATTTTATTTTTTGGATAGCTTCCTGAAAAGCTTAAGATGACTCGTTAACGGAGTTCTACACTTGGAAGGCCAATGATTTCGCCTCCTGCATGCGCTAAGCACATGGGTTAGAACCTCAAATGGGTGCGCGCCAGAATATTAATAGGATAAACTGCGGGGAGATACATGCGGTTGGCTCAACGTCGCATCATGCAGCATAGATGATCGACCCAAGAAGAATACATTGCATCACTACTTCCACTAGAGCCGTGCATGCATCCTTCTGTATCGTCAACACTGGTTCCGGAACTCTGATATGGTTTGCGCATGCCGAGATTCCAGTTTTTGTAGCTCCTATCAGAAGATCATGTACACGTCGGACACGATCTGCAACCCCCTTCTTAGCGCCAATCCCCATTATGATTTCCAGAAGACTGTCTCGGTAGTCGCTCGCGTACCCAGGCCACGGGAGAAGAACGGTTGCTTGACCGGTAAGCCGTGAGCCTGCATATATTTAGCCGCTGATATATGGGGATGAAAGGATCTCAACGCTTACCGAGACTACGTCCATGGAATTGTTCATTCACTCTGATGGCCAATGTCTGTGAAACTCGCTTGTATCCTCATTACGCGGCAAATACGCGTACTCTACGACCGGCGACGACATGGAACCCATCAGACGCATTCAAGGCTAATCTACCAGCCTCTCGATAGGTGACAAAGGCAGCTACCTGATCAAGGAAGGTTTTGTGAGGATTATTATGGATCATTCCCCTTCAGGCTGGCAATGTGGACCACGAAAGCAGACCCCACACTCTGACCGCGCGTCTTTTATGTCTTCATTCCCATTGCTGCAATTCTTTCTGTTCCTCTCGCAAAGCTCGACAACTACATCAACGACCATGCATGCCACAGCATTTGTCACTAGAGTCTGACCACTCTTTGTGGCCAATGCGCGTTCCTAGTTGTGTGGTTCATAGGGTTCAGATTTCTCCAGCAACCGGCACCGATACCGGGCACCTGACACCTTGGCGGACCGGACAGCGTATCCGAAATTCATCGCTACGTGAAGGCCACATAGACGCTAGTAAGGCTATTTTTAATTCGTTTTCCGTTCGACTGAACGGTCAAGGGGATATGATACCACGGTAGTGGCACGTATGTTGCTATGACTATCGGGGAGATGCTAGGAGCAGTCTTTATGACAAAGAATCCACTGGCAAAATCAAACGGATCCTCGAAGAATGAACATTAGACAGTTTCCCAGTAAATTGTCACAGCCAAGGTCCATACAGTTCAAGCAAGCCTACAGAGACACAACACAAGACTAATCCAGATAACCAAATGCTTTCCATGTGCGCTTGGGTAAAAATGCGTAAATTTCCGATGCGATGAATGATAAGCGCTGATAGCAGAAGATGACTGTGATGTAGCTCGTATGGTACAGATGAATGTGAGTATGACGTTTCGCAATGAGCACAACACAAAGCAAGGCCGAAAGCACAGAGAGCAGAATTTACAGTTTCTTGATCTTCATCTCCCACATACCGTCCTTCCCCTTCACTAGGCCTTCCATGATCACACGGTCCATCAGGAAGTCCACTCGCAGGACGCCTTTCTTGCGTTCTTCATCGTCCGCACATCGCTCCACCCAAGCATAGGCAATCCGCTCCCGCAGGGCCTCATCCATCTCGCTGTTCCAGTAATCGGCGTGCGTTATGGGTGTCATCATCGACTGGTAGATCGCGCCGAACAACTCGTGCAGCGTCACTCCGGCCGGGTTGCTGCTGTTCACATCGATATACCATGGGTAGTGCGGATTGTACAACCGCACTATCGGGACCGGTGGCTCGCATGCAAAACGCGTCAAATCCCATTCGTTTACGCGTCGGTCAAGCGTGCGGAATCGCAGCGTTGACGGGCTCAACCGCAGATCGAGGTGCATTGGCGGCGTTGAGCTCAAATGCCGCAGGTACGGATGTAGCTTGGGCATTTTTGGCGCATCTAATGACGTGTCAGCTTCCCAACATCATGAGCGCCAAATTGGGATGCGTACTGCCACCAGGCATAGTAACAGACCGGGCTCTTCCCACGAGAGAGCCCAGAGAAGCTCCCAAGCTCAGCGATTTAGACATGCTGAAGTCAACCCTCCAGTCGCGCGGTGGCCTTTTCGCGCTCTCTCCGCCAAAGGAGCGCATGGAACGAGAGCGCGACACGCCAGAATTGGAGGAGAGCGGGCTGGGCGTCGAATTTGAAAGTGGGCTAAGAGGACGCGAAGACGACCGCGAGGAATGCCAACCGCTCTCCTCTGGCTTTCCAAAGTAGTCGGATTGTTGGCGATCTGGGGTATCGTCCGACATTGCATCTCGTTGCCACCAATCGGCCCCTCTGGACATTGTCGGATTCACGGGCGCAGGCTGTGCTCCTGGTGCCGCGAAATAGGGAGGCATTGAGGCCCATTGTGAGGAAGGATGAGGCAGCCATTGCGAAGGGGACATCGACTGTGAAGGAGGGTATGGGCTCCACGTCACACCGTTATCTGCGCGTTGATTGCCCCAGGGCGACATTGGCGGCATTTGCGCCCCAGGTGCGTATACGAACGGGGCATCGACGTATTGAGGATGAACAGCATGAGGAGGAGGCGATGACGGTTCTCGCGAAGCAGTATCTGACGCAGGTCGGTCCACGAGAGGCGGCATATCGGCCAGGTCAGCCATCGTGAGGTAGCGGGCGGAGATGAAGGTGAAGAACAAGAGGTGACGAGAGCCGAACACGAGGCGGACGCGCGGCAATGAGGCACGCAATGAAGGTTTTCCGCATCTGGCAGTTGCAGAACATGATGCTAACAACCGTCTGCAGGTGGCTGTGACCTACAGCCACCAGCGGCAAGACCAAAGCCGGAGAAACGCCGAAGCATACCGCTCTGTGTGAGACGAGTTGAGCAGCTATGATTCATGCATGCCCAACTCTTTGTAAAATCGCGTTCAATCAAATACTTTGCTTCCGCGCATCGTGCCACAAGTACGTATCCCGTTATGGACAAGGCTGGATTGGGCGTCGATCTGAAAGCATCGCGGAGGCATCGTGTCATCCATGGCCAGGATCTCAGTCAACATGCTAGATTGCAACGATCTTCCAGGCGCGTAGTTGAATGGCCCCGTCCATGCAACGTGAACGCTGCTTGTAAAACGAACGCAAATAGTTACTGGCTTCACAACTACTCCATGACAGCCAGCAGCATTTTCCGTTCATTTTATTAGGTCCGACGCTAAGGACGCCCTAAAAATGCAATCCGCCGATTGCCTATCCTAGGCTGAAAAAAAAAAACGGCGCAAGCCAGTTAACCATTGAACGGGCGCTTGCGTCTAGAAGCCGAAAGCATTAGGTCTATAGGCTAGTGTGACATGTGGCGTGTCGGATGTGTGCACTTGTAGAGCCTCCGACAATGGGATGCGAAGCGGCTATAGAAAGTGCATGCACAAAGCCAGTTAACTCGGGGCCTGATTATCATTGGTGGGGAAAGGGGAGAGGGCTGTACTTTCATTACGGTTGCAGAGAACGCGTAGGAGAAGCTGAGAGCCCTCCGCGCAAAGGTGCAAAATCCGTGACAGATCGAGGAGACGAAGTAAAGCCGATTTTGTCCAACGATGGTACGGCAGGTACCAAGTGTCGTCCGAAAGTGTCAACAAAACCGCGAACTCAGGTGTTTCGAGTGCTGTTCAAGGAGAGCAATCAAGCTCTTTCCGCATGTATTCCAGCCATAGAACCGAATGTGTTTTGACCGAGGAAGCTTCACGTCCTAACCGCGACGAATTTGAACGACTGAGTAGAATGCACTTGACAGTGTTACTTGCATACGCAGAAAACGGCACGAGGATGGGATGTGTCCGATAACCGGTTGGGAAGAGAAACGAATGCGGTGATAGGATATCGACTCCTGGATTGTACCAAATCTTTTATATGACTTGAGCACGCTCCTTCTTGTCGACTACTGCTTGAAAATCCATCCTGTACGTCGTCGAAGCCCGGCTGTTGCGCGGCGAACCAGTAATATTAGAACCCGCCATTTCTTGGCATGTCAGCGTCCTAAAGAAGCAGTAGTGGCCCATCTTCAATGCACAGCATGTACACTGTACGACTTCACACGATTGCGGAGGCCAGTGTGACCCGAAGAATGTGGTGGGAAATCCGAATGAATGCGTTTTCCTGCGAACCATCTTTAGAACCAGTCGCGCACCACGAGGCAAGCCCGTATAAAGTCCAACATTATAGAAATACGGACAAAGACAAGATTCGCGGACTGTGGATTGAAATGTGCATGAACTGCCGGATGAATGCGCCAGGGCGAGTGTCAGAGCAACCTTGGGCCGATTAGCGATTCTTTTGGATCGAGCGGACCGGACTTGCACCTAGTACCTTTTGTGATGAAGGCACGTACTGTATGTATGAAACCCGTTGACGAGCTTTGATGAAGGGTGAGAGGAACGACATGACTCGTGGCTCCGCCACTGCGGCTGCTTGATGCGAACGACTCCGATTTGAACGCATACGTCGAACCTGCGTGATTGAGGAGAGACCTTTGATCCAGTCGAAACAAGAACCACGTCCTCCCGGCCATCTTGCAAATCTTTCGGTAGTGCTGATGCTGACCTGGAACCTTGAACGGATTTCGGTCTCATCGCCGTGAACCAATCGAAGACGATGAATTTGATCCTGAAATGGGTGCATGCCGTTCCACGTGCGGGTCGAGACGACCAGATGGATTGCTTCCAGACCACCTGAGACCTACCGCGCTTGAGCGACCGCGAAATACATGCCTGAGGGACCGAATATTGAGCCGCCGATGGAGCCAATCGTATGTCCATTCACGGACCGTCCATGAGAACCAACGACATGGCCCATGGTGGTGTGAACCATTGGACGGTTGCAACCACGATCCGCGGCGAGCGCGACCATGTCTTATTAAGAGACTCCACGTGACCGCATCCAAAGCCATTCACGAAGAACCACGAATGCTCGGAAATAGTGGATCTTGACTGCCAGCTGCCGCAACGACCCACACCAGGCGGCGCCACGCAATAGAGGAGAAACTCTTGTCAGCAGAGCTTGAGGATGGGATCCCGCATCAGGGGAAGATATCATCATCCTATTGGAATCGAGCATTTGCAACTGTCTTGCTGGTATGGAAATGATTTCACGTTCTAGGATGATAAGACAAGGCCGAGACTTTGAGCGACTGATTTGAAACTCCACCGAAAAGCAAATCCGAGACCGCGAACGAGAAAGCGTACGGCAGGGAAAAGAAGTTGGCATTTGCTTTGCTTGTTCCTTCTTCTTCTGCACCCTGAAAACACCCGCCCAGGAATCCTCGTCGTCTCCGTTGATCGCTGGATGAGCAGTGCGGCAGCAGACGAGCATGTGGGTTATCACTATCGCACTAGCGAAAAGGCATTCTTCCATAGAAACACGTTGACCGCCTATCGAATGAAGATGGATACGCTAGTATCAATATAGTCTCCATCTGACCTTTAACGAAGCTTCTGGAGAAAATGCAAGCAGTCGTCGCCGTGCGTATACATCTTGATAGCCGTCGTCCGGATAAGAGCGGAGGAAAATAAGTTCCAAAGCAGCCAATGGGAGAGTTCGTAACACGAACGTTGACTGGCGAAACCTAAAGAGCGAAGCGGGGATGCGACCGTCGTAGCATGACACAATACATTATTGACTTGGCTATGCCACCGGATTCAACGGCTGACAAAGGAATATGTCGTAAAAACGCCTAGGGCCATCAACTTGACCAATTACAAAGCGACCACTCCCGAAAAGTAGATGTTGGAGACTGTAAGCGATGCTCGAGCATAATTAAAGCGCGAAGTGGGTGGATATACAACGAGTACACTTACAGTATATCCCGTCAGCGGTAAATGAAGATGCATTGCAAGTGCATGAACGCGGACGGTGACAGCTTGAAAGGCTGGAAGGCGCATTGACAACCAGGAGGAGGTGCACTCGATATATGCGCAAGTTGGTCGCGTCCGCATTTTCGAGAAAGGATGACTCGCCTCCACAGAGAAAGTCCGGGAGCTGGCCTGGAGTCGTACTGCACCGCTGGTCGACGATGGCGAAGACGAGGAAGGTTGACTGTGGAAGCGCCCACGCTACTCACCCACGTGGTGAATCGCATTGACGTCATCGATTCACCAGGAACTCGCTTTGCATTGCGCCGTCTCTGACGGAAAGCAAAACGAAAGGGACTTCGAAACGAAATTTGGTATCTAAATCAAACGGTACGTAGGCGTAATCCCAAGAGATGACCATATCGTTGTTTCTCTATTCCTGGAATTGTCGTTGAACCTCGACCAGAAATATAAGGGTGACTGGCTGAACGACCAACGAATAGAGAGGAAATACGTTTGCGCATTTATGGGATTATAAATCTATAAATCTCGAACTGTGGAGGACGTATGATGTTGATCGGCGAACCGCGTGTAGTGTAATTATATGGTCAAATGAGGATGAACGTCAGGATACACCGTTGGCACATTTGGGTCCCAATTATTGTTCGGTATATATGAATCCTGTGATTGACTAGGATGATCGTAGGGGTTCCCACGGATGCGTAAGGGCATAGTCGTACGCATCAGCTGTGGACATGGTTCACCGTGACACATTCGAGCACCGGAGGGGAATCCTGTTGAGTCGACCATTTCACGACATAGATTGAATATACCATGTGGACATTGCACGGGCTAGGAGAGCACCGAGAAAGTTGACTGACACTTGCAAGCCATGTGTTTGGCATCGACGAGGATCATACACGCCATGATCCAAAACTCCGCACGCCTTTAGTAGAACTTGGATCGTGCATTGGCAATGACGATCTGGAAAGAACGTGTTGAGCGAGTGGGGCGCACGTACGTCGAAGATAACAACCATGATTTTTGTATACAACGAGAATCCGATAGGACGAATAGTGTTGAGCGACGTCTTTGACCAGCCGCGGAACGCACACTAAAGGCTATTTGAGCAAATCTGCTTGACCTGTACCGCCATCGAAGCCATCCGTTCTTCAGACGACTGCTGCGAAATCTTGCACGTCAAGCGCAAGAAACTTGAGTTAACCGCAGAGTGTTCTCCTCATCCAAAGAGGATAAGAGCATCAGAGCGGACCACACATCCCCGTAGGAGCCAAGAGTTGAAAAGGCCGACGCGTCACCTCAGGCCCAAGAAATCCCTCGGAATGGAAGTTGATTTTCGCGTTCCAACATTAGTAGAGCCTCATCATTCGATCGTTTTGCTTTTCATGCGGCCACTAGCGAGTGGAACAAGCGCCGACGTGCAATTACATTCTTGAAGGGACATAACGCCATAGAATACCTGGGAAATGCACCGAGACACAGATCGATTCAACTATTGCCGTAAGGATAACCCTTGCTCCAAGCGAGACTGCCGTTTGCTTCGCGACGACCACAAGGTAGAACTCGTATTGAAAGCCTTGAGCGTAATTCCGCGATTTATGGAAGCTATTCATGTTAATGTGTGAAATCTTGAACCTCACAGATGTTCAATCTGAGCCGACGGCCACGGAAATTAAAGACATTGCAGCACCATTCCCCTGACGACGACAGTGTGATGACGAAAATGTAACCATCACCAAATCACTCCATGGCGTCCGAGTTCACCGCCAACCCGCCTGGTCTGCACAAGACCTTTGAACCGTGCACATGTTGGGAACCTTGGACCGAGAATCCGTGTCGCCGCCCTACGAAGGTTTGCCCGAAAATTTGCCCGGAAGGTTGCCCGAAGCCTTGAACCGTGAAAACGTTCTACCGTTCGCATGATAATGACCAAAAAAATGGTCCCGTTGAGTGCACCAGGGAGTGGGAATCCAGCATTCGCGGGAACTTTGACCATCCGTGCTTGGGGCCAACCATGCGCTCGGACCCGTTTGTTCAGCCATTCGTATTACGACGACCATAAGGCGATTCCTGTTTTCTTCCGGACGGAAGAATGTTCCCATAAAGAAGGGTATCCGCGTCCGCAAACAACTATCCATGGTTCTTCAGTCATGCGCAACCGAAGCAACCGGTTGTAACCAAAGCTCGATCTAGAAGCCGTCGCACTATCATGCCTTCCGACCGGAACAGAATCTATATTGTCGACTTCCGAAGCCTGTCCAGAGAACTCCAGCGAAATGTTCGACCATGTGCCTTGAAGGATGGCGACCGACGCATTCACGTCGATGAACAATTGACCAAGAGCAGTGTCTGAGTGAACTTGAACTCTCCACTTTATCGCCAAGGTCTTGAGGCACCATTTGGGAAGTTCGACCCCTCCACGACAAAACGACCACAAGAGAAGGTACGTCTATCTGCCGAAACCCTCTTCCATATTCCCGCCGCTCGCGCTTTGAACTAATTTCCCGCTTGTGTTTGCGCCTTGAAAAAATGTGGTCTGCTCATTTCTTCGGATAACGACAATGTACGAAAAGATCCCATCTCGACATCTCATAAAACCCTCCTCTACGAAGTTCAATTGACGGTCGACCGTTCACCAAAAGATGACTGCTGAAAGACCCGCATATGTGATAGTTAACGATAAGCCTTGGAACGGTGTCCAATCCAGGTATCCAGCCCGTACGTAAGGAGAACGTTGATGTGCAAGTGTTTGGACCATTGCCTAACGCTAGGATATTGATGTCCCGAGACCCCACTGGTGTAAAATGACCAGGATAATTGATGCCTGAAGTAGCACTTGAAAGCGAACATTGTTCGGACCTGCGAAACAGTTGATAACTACGAAATCTTGCACCATCTTCACAGCCAAACTTCACATTAATGGAGAAACGACCGCAAGGAAATCCATGATTGGCAGCCGCGAAGCCTAGCGTAGAACTTGAACTTGAACCGAAAGTGTTTGACCAATCGTTGCCGTTATGTTAGGAGGGACGAGCCAAGGAAGGAACCCTCGCCCATGACTTTGCTCGAAAGGATTTAGCAATGACCATCTCGACCTCCTATAAAATCTTGCCCGCGAACTCCATTGAACCGTTCGACCATACGCCCGAAAATGACTGCCCGAAGCGCCGCGCCTAAGGGGAAAAAACTTGACCATAAGCCTTGAATCGCCGGTCCGATCCGAGTACCTATAGAATAATGTTGAAGTGCACGTTCAAATTGTACCATCGCCTGACAGCGAGATATTGACGTCCCGCAACGATTCGCCTGATAACTTGATAATGATCACAAAGATTGTCATCCACGGCCCACATATGTTCGTCCAGACTTAAGAAGAACGCTCGACGTATCATTCCAAAGCAACTTTTGTTCACACGTGCAGACTTCACCACAAAAGTTTGAACCGCCTTCGAAAACCGACGATCTTCACGTCAATAGGAAGCTATTTGCTCTTGAACCGGCCAGATGACGTTTGATAGCTCGCGAGCCCTGGCGCAAAACTTGTACTGAAAGTGTTTGATCACCTGTTGTCGCTGCATATGAGGTAGCATTCACACCCTCGACTTCGCCCAAAAACGTTTTGACAATGTGATAGGGAGCGGCCGTCTATTCTTGAGTCATGCGACAGTAGTAGCCGGCTGCACCGAGAGGCCTGATCTTGGAGCCGTTCCGCCATCGTGTCTCGCAACCGGGAGAGAGTCCATATTGCCGATTCTTCTTCAGAACCTTGTAAGAGGTCGACGACCGAAGGAAAACCCCATCTCACATTCCAATGACCATTATCGGCGACCAAGGCGGATGATCCGTGTCGTTGAATTGATCGATCAAGAGTAGCGCTCGAATCGTGTTCACGAAAATTCCAGTTTCGCACGTCGGGTCTTGAGCTACGATTTGCAAAATTCGCCCGTCCATCCGACAATGACCATAAGCGAGGTACGTCCAACGCCTCTTCCAGAAAACCCACGATCACCGCCGCTCGCGCGTGTTGAAGAAAAATTCCCGATTACGTTCGCTCTTTGCAGTGTTGTCCCAAGCCTTGATGTTCGCCCGTTCCCATGTTGCCATAACGAAAACTATCTCGACTTCGTGTAAGGCCTTGTCCGCGAACTCTGTAGACGTCCAACCGTTCGCCCTAAGATGATTCCCGAGACTCGCCGCCTAAGCGAAAACCTTGACGATAAACTTTGGACCACCGGTCCCGCAGGAGGTATCCATATGATGAAGTTGAAGTGCACATTATTGAATCATCGCCTAACGCCTAATGACAAGACGTTGACGTCCCGCAACCATTCGCCTGATAACGACCAAGGAGATTGGTGTCCGCGGCCCACATACGTTTGTCCAGACTTGAAGAGAACGCTCCACATATCACTCCGGAGTTCCAGTGTTGTTTACACCTGCGAAGACTTCACCACGAAACTTTGAACCGCCTTGAAAACCGATCTTCGTATCAAGAGGAAGCCATTTCGGATGGACCAGGAAAAGGTCCACGTTTCATAGGTCGCGAACTCTGGCGCAGAACTTGTATTGAGTGTTTGATCAACTGTTGTCGCCCGTGCATAGGAGGGAATAGCCAAATAATCCACGTCCGCGACTTCACCCGAAACGTTTTGACAATTTGAGAATGACCAGAGGGACCGTCCATGTTCAGCGATTATTAACGTACTCACCCTTGACGTCCAGCGAGACTTCCGCAACCTCACCAGTGAGCCCGCTTTCGAGATGTCAACTTGACAACGACTGTTCACCTTCAGCGGTTATTGACGCGATTCACCTTGAACTCTTCAACAGCTGTTGAGGCGTTCCTTGTCGTCCAACGAAACTTGGAAACGTTGTTAATGAGCCCGAAGAGGGAAGATCCGCCGTCCGCTTGCACCTGCGATCGACCGCCGGCCATTGAGGATGACCTGAACTAGTGCGAACGTCCACAGCGAGGCTTGCCATGCGAGTGTAGCCGGGTTGACGTACGACAGAACGTTGATTATTCACCGACGCCCAGATGGAAGGGATAATACGCATCCGCGAGAGTCGACCGCTTGCTAACTGACGACACCTGAGGTAGTCCAAGCGAGGCTTGCGATGCGAGTGTAGCCAGGTTGACGTAGGACAGAACGTTGATATTCACCGATGACGAATTATCCGCGAGATTCGACCGCTCGTTACCTGACCACACCTGAGTAGAGAATCGAACTTCATCCAGCATCGATTAGCATTGCAATTTTTCACCAGCAGGCGCCCCAAGTGGAGCGTGCAATAACGAGTTGAACAGTTGATGACCAGCACCGCTCGATTGAAGGTTTCGTGAACGTTGTCGCAGTACCCAACCTACGTTTATCGAAGCGACTGTGTTGTGTATATATTGTGACGAGCATGGATGAGTTACGCGCAGTACCGAAGCTACCGAAGCTACCGAAGCTACCGCGTCGCTCGTGGACAGTAACAACGTCGATGTGACTACCGGCTATTGACGTTCTGCTACGATATGGGGAGGAGTTGAAACGAGGAGTTGAACTACTGCACGTCGAATGGAAAACGATCGATAACAGAAGCGGAACGCAACGAATAGAACCGGGACGGAAATAATATGTAGCGAAGCCCTTTGAGCTGACCGTGAAAGAATGTTGACGACTGTCGCAACTGGCAGAACCACCATTCAAAAGACTCGAACCGAGTTGACCTACGCCTTCACACCTTGTACACGGAAACCGACCACTGCGACGATTTGAGCGTGAGGAACCGTCTTCTTCCAATTCTTGATGGCCGATAGAGGGTTTTGACGTCTTGCCGCCTTGCCGAAGTCGAAGACCAATAAACAACCAACCGACGGTCGGCATTCGATCCATCGTTCGATCCGTGCACGAACACCTTCCATAAAGCGTTGACCATCTAATACACCGACGACGACCAGTTTTATGCCAGAGCGCAGCCATACGTTTTTGAGGACTAGGACCATTTGAAGACCGCTTTGAAGCACGGACCATAGTCGACCTTTCTCACCAAGCCAGGACCCACGGAGTCTTCAGACCTCATTGACCGACCAAACCAGCCATGCCGGGAGCGCCAAGGAAAGTAACCGAAACCATCGAAGCCGGAACCAACGAAATCTTCAAAAACCGTATCGACCGACCAAACCGGAGCGTTGTAAATACCTTGCAAACTTGCAGACCGTACCGTCAAGACGCGCCACTGAACCCAAAAGAAGGTTATAACCACCAAGGGAGTTGAAGCAAAGCACGCTAAAAAGGGATCGCAACCGAAGAAGAGACTTGCAACCTTCAACAGCTTGACGTCCATCCTGGAGTAGGAAAAGACTTGCAATCTTGGACCTCGAAGTCGTCCATCATGGAGGAACGAGAACAAGAGAGGTGAGGACCTCAGCACAGTACGAGCCCTCTTATATAGTCATGAGCGAGTGGCTGACCAAGCCACTGACCAAGCTTCAGCAGCATCATCCGTAATCAAGAACGACGTCGACTCGATCCCGCGAATCACCACCATCGTCCGAAAATACCGAAGCCATACGAGGCGCCATACGAAGCGCTGAGAACCGAGTCTGGCGACCGTCGAGGAGGAAGAGAGACGAACATGATGGTAGGAGGCGTGCTCAATTCTTAGAGTTCGGCACGCCAGTTCAGTTCGTCGACCTCAAATACCAAAGGGACGGCGATGCCGAGCAAATGCCGAGAATTACATAAGCAAATGTGGCTGTTGAGATGTCCGGCAGTTAATTCTAACTTTGGAACATTCCTACATTTCTTGTGTGAATTGCTGCTTGTGTAAACCCCAAATTGCGATGCGGACATCCCTGAAAAGAAGACTGCACACCCAAAATCTTCTCACGGTTTGTGGTGTCCAGCTGCAGACAACCTCGGCGGGGATCACAGTGACGAATGGCTGTGTATCTCACTCCACAAAGTCACAACATAGATGAGGAACAATAATGACATTGACAGCAGCTACTGCATGGTCCTGCATATTGCTGTCATCAAATGTGCTGAGATAGTCTGTGTAATTATTGCTTGGAAGCATTTTAACATTCAGGCTAAGCAACTCTGTGCATACATGTTGCAATCCATGGTAAACCAGAGCACTAGGGAAGGTGCGACGGGAGATGGCAATAAAAATCGAGAAAATGTAAAGCAATCCTTCGGAAATAATCTCGCCACTCCTGTTCCCTGCCTAGCGTTCCCACGAGCCACTTGGCTTACATAATACTCGGCATCTGCTCGGCATCGCCGTCCCCTTGGTATTTGAGGTCGACGAACTGAACTGGCGTGCCGAACTCTAAGAATTGAGCACGCCTGGTGGCAGGTTTCAGCGCAGAATGGCCCTCCTTATATAGCCGCAGCGGACTCGGCTGACAAAGCGGATGAGTCATCCGGACCCGACGCGATGCCCCGAGTTGGGCCGCGGCGGGGCGGGCTGGGCGGATCATTGCACCGCCACGTCACGTGATAAGCCGTCGCGAGGTGGCGGACAACATGTTGATGAGCTCCTCGTCTTCCGTCCTCCTACTGCACCACGCTCAACGTGTTCACTCCCAACCCAATCGCATTGTAATTTGAATCATTCTGGACAGATGTCATTATTGCCACACTGACAGCTCATTTGCGAACAATTTAACTTGTACTGGTTTTCGGAATGCTCATCAACCAAGACACCAACTTCGTCGTTCATTACAAATGCATTCTAGCGTGCGATAAAAGTGTCACGGATAAAAACAATCGGATAACAATAGTCGTACGTTCATAAGCATTTGTATCGTCCGTCAGACCTTAAAACAGGGCGAGTGATCGATTGCAGCATTTACAGAACCAACCCGGCGCCCGCAACAACACCAAGGAGCGCAAACATTATCCCAACTACGCCACCATACACGCTCTGCCCTCCAACCTTCATTCCGGCACTGGAGCTTTTGGCGGCGGCGCTGCTCGCAGCGGAGCTCGCGCTAGACGCAGAACTGGAGGCAGAAGATGACACAGAGGAGACGGCGGAGGACACAGACGCAAGGACGGACGACGCGCTCGAGGCAACACTGGATGCGGATCCGGTGGCGGATGAAGCAGATGCGCTGGCGCTCGCTGTGTGATAACGGAGTAATAATCAGTCTCAATACGTCGACGGGATCCAGGGACAGGAACACGAATTGATAGGGGATGAACTTACCAGCAGCGCACTCCTCGGACTGAAGGGCTTGGGCAGCCGTGATATCAGACGAGGTACAGTTGGCCTCCAAGCAGGAAAGCGCGGCGCTCTGGAATGCAGTAGACGAGCAGACGCAGGAGATGTCCGTGCTGCAAAATAGCTCTGTCAGTAAAATGAAGCAACGAAAACGTGGGTTGGTACACACAAACTGGAGCATCCTCCTGCCGTGGCAGCGCTCTCAACGCAGGACAGAATGCATGGGTCGATGCTTGAAGTGCTGGTTGGGGCTGCAGCTGAGGACGACTGCGCGACGGCGTTGCCTACGAAGGCAGCCACGAGGGCGAGCGGGAAGTATGCCTTGAAGAACATCGCAGCGAGGGTCGAAAGCGTGTCGAAGGTCGGGGGTCGGAAGTAAACTTCCAGCACGGAGCAATTGAGACATCGCGACCTTTTTATATAGGGGCCCGACGCGTGGGTGGCTGAAGGAGAAGGTTCCAGGGGAGCGGTTCTTGGCACGTCATCGCGTCTGTCGCGCATACGTCACGCGTCTGATTCTCTGCGCCCAAATAGGCAGGCGAATTCACAGGACCTCTGTTTTGCTCCCGCATGTTGCTGTTCTTGCCTCGACCGCGCGGAGGAACTCGCCGGCGTGGATGGCCCATCACTCGACGCATGGGAAGGGGCGACCATTGAAGGGTGGCCTTTAGCGCGAGATTTCTGCGTGGTCAGGTGGTCCGCCTGATATCAATGCCGCTCCTCGAATGACGGCTTGCGCATGTGTTTCGGGGACCATGCGCCCCCTGCCCACCCGATGTGAAGAGGCCCTCGTCGCGCGCAACGTTGGAGACTTCTGACAAGCTCGAGCACATGCTAAGCTTTGCTTGGGCTTCGCGAAGATGACGGTGTGTCAACGCTGTCCATACTCATTCCTTCCTCGCGCGATCCGCGGGCCTGGAGCACAGGCGGTTTCGGAAGCTCTCGTTAGAAGTTGCTAAAGGTTCCGCTAAGCTGATGCACGAGCAACCAGGGCGATGTCGGTCACAGTTTCATGTGATCGCCGTACCGTTACGCAAGTGACGTTGAAGCATGGCAACTTATTAGAAAGCTGTCGCCATGCCATTCGCTACTTCCGGTCGAGATTCATGAAAATGATCTTCAAACGTCGATTTAGTGAACGACTACCAGGCCGCGGTAATATATTGAGGGATGCGGCATATGCTACATTCACCGAGTGAGCAACTCCTTCACCTGCTGTTCGCTTTCGCCCACATACTCCTCGACAGCCGGCGACGTGCCCACGGAGCTACTCTAGGGACATGACGGTACTACATGTCGCATAGATAGGCGCGAACGGCGGCCTGCGCCCTCTTCCACCGTGTGTCGGTTGTTCCCGAACCCTTTGTCCTTGGATGCCGTCATCGAGCTCGCGCCTTCCGAGGGTGCTGTGGGTGCCTCCGTGCTATCGGGCGCATGCATACTAGCCTGTATGATGGTGAAGTCATTTGTGGTGAGCGTGTCTGTACCGGTGACGGTCGCCAAGGCTGACCGAAGGCCATCTGTGCGCCAGCCCGTTGAATTGCTGGAATCGGGTCTATGCCGTTTCCGCGAAGTACGCGGTAACGCCCAACAACGTGTTAAGCCCCGCCTACAAGGGGGAAGGGGGAGTTTCGCTGCGTATATGACTCGAGCTTGTGTGCATCGTTGCGCTGATTCATACCGATTTATCTCACGAATGTATGCGTCGCATGCAGCATTCATGACTCTCGCCTATCCATCCAATTACTACGAGGAGCGGTGCCGTCATTGCGAGCTGCACCAAGACCCGAACCTGGTCCAAAAATGCTACTCCACGTTCTGCAGGAATTTGCAACAATTAATGATCGCACAAGATATCAGTATCGCCCGGTGACGCGCCGTCGTCATTTTCGTACCCTCATATGCCACGCCATGGTGCGCCGACTATATTGCAAATTCGTCGACCCACTCTGAACCGCCTTCCCACTAGTGATTAGTGATCGTCGGACCTCAATCCGGTTTGCTGTGAAGGCGCACGAGCTTTCTACCTGGTCATAGACAAACGATAGCCTAAAGGAATTGGGCAAGCAGTGGGCATTGTCAGCTTCCGTCCTTGCTGCTGTGACTTCGCATCATATCATCAACGGATAATGCAACGAACGCTGCACCCGCTTGCGATGGTCAAGTGATGAGGTCCTACTGGACAAAAAAAAGGCAGCTTTATGCTGTAGACACACCTTTCTCGATATCATTTATCCGCCTCGACCCGTTACCTCTCTCGCCATATCGTTGCGTCCTCGCTTACCCATTTGTTCCACTGCAAAGTTTTCCCTAGAAGCCGCCATCGTGGACATGAATTCTGGCGGGAACGTAAATTCGGTCTGATGTCACTACCGTGAATTACGCATCGTTCTCAGTGGCACAGGGCAAGCAGCCCATTTTGGGGATCCTCCCTTAGATGCTGACCCGGACATTATATATGACCGTTGCAATGACGACGGTCACGCTCCAGCGGGGAATGTTTGAGGAACTGAACAGCACGGTAAGAGCGGCATATGGAGGACGTCTAGGATAAAAACTTGCAGCTTTCGATGTCTCGATGATACGATCAGTAAATGCATGTGCATACCGCGTGACGAACTCGAATTGCAATTCAGCAACCATTATAGGTTTGAAGACGGAGTCGTTTCCCAGAATATCCTAGTCACTAACAAGAGGCTACTTCCATGCCAATGCGTCCACCGCTGGTCCGCACAAGACTGTTGTCACCTTTACCTTCGCCTTGAATATTGGAATCCTTAAGTACGCAAACGGTTCTTCGTGGTCGCGATTGTGATAAGTCTCGCACTGGCTGTTTGACCTAAACTTCCCCGGACACCGCGCGCCTGATCACGTGAGGGGTGGCGACTCGAGCTATGCTGCAGTTCCCGCCACAGCGCGCATTCACCTTGACCGTGTAATCCTAGAGGCCATTTTTTTCTTCGCTGACCGACATGGAAGAACATCCTACAGCTCAATGGGAGGCTATGCAAGACGGAAATGTCTTTTATAGGCGGCACCAAATCTACTCGATTCCCGGAAAGCTACCCAATCTGAGCGATTTCATTGTCGCTGGCTGTCACTACGGTGGACCAATAGGTACCTTGTGCATATATGTATACAACCCAATGAATTGTCTGACGTGCATGCTTCGTAGCAATTATGCGCGATACGACGAAGATGGTCGCGTTAGGGGGTGCGACATCCTCGTTCGCCAAATCGCAGATCCAGGTCTATTCTTCAGCTGGGGAGCAACTGCTAGTGTTCAGTGTGGTTATCTTCGTCAACTTGAGGGAGATATGTCTGCTGATGCTTTGACGACCTAGTGGGACCAGGGGAAGATCGTGAGGTTTGGGTGGACTGGCGATGAGCGGTTGGTCGTGCTCAACGAAGAGGGAGTGTATCGTCTTTATGATCTCCAGGGCGACTATCAACAATATTCCCTCGGCACGGAGGCTGGGGAGGTCGGCATTCTTGACGCGCGGATACATGAGAGTGGCGTTGTGGCTTTGACAGGGTCATTAACTCTGTTGGAAGTGAAGGACTGGGAGGGTGGCAAGCCACTCACGCTTGCGAATCCAGGTACGCCTGGTTACCCTGCATCATCTTCTTACTGAACCATGTGGAAGGTCTCTCCCAGCTGCCACACTCATGGACGGTCATCCCTCCCGACTTCACAATATCACGGCACGTCGAGGTGCTACTGTCAGTCGACGCGTCAATATATAGCGTGGACAATCTCGAGAACATCGACCAGCGGGTCTCTCGTGGTCCGTTCACACATGTATCCCCTTCGCCCAACGGCAAGTCGCTTGCGTTGCACACGTATTCTGGGCTGCTTTGGGTAGTTTCCACAGACTTCCAGCGCAGCCTCGCAGAGTTTCATACAACGAACGTCCCTGGAGCGGATGGCGATGTCAGACAGGTTGAATGGTGCGGGAATGACGCTGTGCTGGTGACGTGGGATTCGCTGGTTTTGCTCGTTGGGCCATTCGGCGATACACTACAGTCCGTTCCAGGTTTGTTATTCTCAATTATTTCCTGACTCCTTCGTACAGATACTTTTACTCGGGACCGACATTTGCCATCACCGAGACTGATGGTGTGCGGGTCGTGGGACCGGATAGCTGCGACTTTATACAGAAAGTGCCACGTAAGTAGTCTCTCATACGATGGAGACATCATGGAGACCACCGTCCACCAGCATCTTGTGTTTCTGTATTTCGCCCCGGGTCGACCGCTCCATCTGCCATTCTGTATGATGCATGGGAGAATTTCACACGTCGGTCACCAAAGGCGGACGAGAGCATCAGAAATATTCGCCCTGAGTTGGGCGCTGCTGTCAACGAATGCATTGATGCTGCTGGCCGGGAGTGGGAGCCGTTCTGGCAGAGGCGGCTGTTAAACGTAAGGTCCAATTGCACTGTTCATTGAATGGTACTTATCGAGTGATTTTCAGGCGGCAAAATTTGGACGCGGATTTTTAGATTTGTATGACCCGACGGATTTCGTCCAGATGGGGCAAACGCTCAAAGTGCTCAATGCTGTGCGATTTTATGAGATCGGTATACCCATAACTTACGCCCAGTATGTATCACTCCTCATTGATGATGTTGCTAAAAACTCACGCCTAGAATAGATACATCAAAGTCGGTCCATCACACCTGATCAATCGCCTGACAGCCCGCAACCTACATCTACTTGCTCTTCGTATCTCATCGTATCTATCGCTCAAACCCGATGCAGTGCTCAAGCACTGGGCCTGTGCGAAGATTGTCCGGTCAAAGCCGACAGCCACTGGCTCGGGAAGGGACGCAGAATTAGATGGTGATGATGCTGTTTGCCGTTCCATTGTGGAGAAGTTTGAGAAGCTTGGAGGAGGTGACGTTAGCTACGCTGACATTGCGAAGCGCGCATGGGAAGTGGGGCGAACACAGTTAGCCACGAAAGTAAGATTTTTCTGCTAACATGATCTTCCTTGTTGAACGACTTAGCCTTGCAGCTTCTGGATCATGAGCCCCGGGCATCTGATCAGGTCCCACTGCTGCTTAGCATGAAGGAAGATCGCCTTGCTCTGACAAAGGCTGTGGAAAGTGGGGACACTGACCTCGGTAAGAAAGACCGAATCTACTTGGTTGACTCGCTGATGGTTTCTCCCCCAGTGTATCACGTCCTTCTCCATCTGCAGAAGAGATTGCCACTTGGCTCGTTCTTCCAGCTTATTGAGGAGGGTGGACCGCAGCTCACGCCTGCGATCAAGTTGCTTCAGGTCTATGCACGTGAGCAGAACAGGGATATGCTCCGTGACTTCTACTATTCGGATGATCGGCGCGTCGAGAGCGCTGTTCTCTGTCTGGAGGAAGCTGCAACAATGATGGTCGGTGACGTTGATATTTGTTCCCACTGACAGTCGCGACTCATAATCATTTAGGATCCTAGTTCGAGAATCTCATCTATCAAGGCGGCACATAAATTCTTCTCTGAGGATAAGGAACGTAGTTTCGAAGCAAAAGTATGTCATAATGATGGCCGATTTTGAATGACAGTTCTGATTGCCGGCCGGTTAGATGATGGACGAATATACTAGGCTATTGACAACGCAGCAGCAGCTCGAGAAAGAGTCCGATGGCAAGATCGCTTTCTTTGGCTTGAGCGTAAACGAGACGATTCGAACGTGTCTCATTAATGGTATGATCAAGAGGACGGACAAGCTCAAGTCAGAATTCAAGGTACCGGATAAACGGTACGTCATTGCACTTGCGCCTAGACATGGTTAATCCAATACTGTCTCAGATTCTGGTATGTGAAGCTTCAAGCCCTTACAGCAATACGAGATTTCGAGTCCCTTGAGGCATTTGCACGATCGAAGCGGAGCCCTATTGGCTACGAGGCATTTGTCCGCCATTTGGTGGACAAGGGACATTCCAAAGAGGCCCTTAACTATGTTCCGCGATGCGACGCGCACAAACGCGTGGATCTATATGTGCTCTGTGGCGAATGGAAGATGGCAGCGAAGGAATGCAAAGATAGGGGCGACAAAGCGAAGTTGGAGTACGTTCGTTCATTCTCTCCAGCTTTCGTCCGCATTTCATGGCCCTTTCTTCCAGGCAACTAAGGAAGTCATGTCCCAACACCCTCATTGCAAGAGAGTTAGACCAGGTTGCAGCATCCATGAAGTGACGTTCGTATCTCCATCTCCTTTCTTGCCGGCTATGCGTGCTTCCGTTCCAAAGGCGCACGAGTACCGTTGCGGCTCTTCGACTTATTTCGTGCGAACGACTTCGGATAGTGGAAGCGGATGTTTGTGGAGACAATCGAGTGGGTGTCAATCCGTGGCCGTTTGGCCGAGTCTATTGTACTCTGCTGTGTGTTCTCTGCCATCAATCTGGGAGAAGCGAAGACAGATCTACTATTCCAGGAAGAAACTAGTCTGAGAGATGCGCTGGGTTCGCTTTACCCAAGCTACTGCTCATGATTGTCTTCAACTTCAACTGCTCCCACCGATGGAGTGTTTACCTTCCGCCGACGCCAAGAACGAGTCGAAATGCTAGTTCTTTCCACCTCATCATCTTCATCACCGCCATCCGAGTCGTGACTCTGGTGGTCAAAGGAGTATGGGAGGGGAACTTCTCTTGTAACTCGGTACTGGTCCATGTTACCGATATGTTCGTTCTCAAGCCGCACTACGGAATGTCCAATCTTGTCAGTGCTATGTTGGTACCAATGAGCGGAGTGAATCATACGAAAGTTCCATTGCCATCTCCGCAGCATCTCTAGCATAGCAGCAATGAATGTTCTGATTACGTAGTTCACTCCTTTTTCCGGTATGTACATCAGGAACTCGTAGCGGATTATAATGTTGGCAACCTGTCGACAAACATGAGCATGGAGAATACCCTTGAGGTGCTACTCACTATTGCTACGTAATACAACTGGACAGTACCGTAAGATTCAGCACGGTGAAGATGGAGGATCAGCGAGACGAACTTACGGGTACATGAGAAGTGTAGATAAGCTCTGAGCGGAGAAAGCGATACTTCGCGTGACGTTGCATGAGCGACCAATCCATGAGGATGTCCTGAATACATTAAGTCCAATCGTAGCTCCGTCTGAACACCATAGGACGTACCCAGGCTCCAGCATAGCCAGCATAGAACACGCCCAGAATGCACCATGCGACAAATCTGGGGCCGCGTCCACCTCCTATACGTACATGATTCCATTAGTGACGTCAAACACTGTTTGGACGATCAGCGACGGACCATGCTGCCTCCACAGATAATATGTCAAATAGTAAATAATGCCGGTGCCATATTTACCCGCCTAGTGAACAGGTTCAGCAACCTATTCGCGCAGCTTTTGAAGCAACACTGACGTTGACGAGGTGCATCAGCTGCTTGGAATCCGCCCAGCGCCTGATACTCTGAACGAAGCGGACAAAGAATGGTAGCACCGCTATGGCGAACATTGGTGCCCAATTCGCCCCCGTTGTGCAAATACGCCAATTCTTCAGTGCATGGCTGTATGCGCATCCGACGAACCACAGGTCGCCAAGCGTGAAGACAAGGCTGCAAAACTGATCTCTAAAGAAGGAGTGAGGGATGAATCGTTGAAGGGCGACTGGAGATGCATTCACCCCATCCAGAAGTCCTGAAACTGTCGGGCAGGTCAATACCTGGATATGCGAACATAGTCGGCTTGAGCAGCAAAGGAGAGACCTACCTCAACGCGCCGCACACCAGACGTCAGCTGTCTGTACAAATTCTTCAAAAGCCAGTATCGAGATGACCTGAAAAATATTGGTAACGGATTCAACCATATGAACAATGCCCATGCGAGCCAGAGCAGCGGCCAATCTGATGGTGAGACCGCATGCATGCTAATACGCGAGAAAGACAGCCAAAAAGAGTAACATAATGTTGATAGCAAGAGTGCGGGAAGCTGTCATGGCGAGATTGATTACATTGTTCAGTCGACAGGGTACATCGTTATCATGTTCGGACTCTTACCTCGAAATACTCTCTATGGTCTAAGCGGGTCCGTGGGTCTAACTCTATATGAAGCACGGCGTGATCCAACTGCGCTGTTTAAGCAGGACTTTATACATACCGAAGATGAAGACATAGTTGATCCTCGCATTGTGCCAGACAAGAAGGTTCAGGCCGATGAGGAAACAAAAAAGAATGGGGACGAAGAAGACGCCATAGACAAAGAGCAGGCCGTCCCACGACGGTATTGCTGCGCGTGTCTCGGGCTGGAAGCCTACATCAGAAGTTGTCAGACATTATTGGCATGGTATACATCTCAACATGTTCGGCTAAACGTACTTTTCACCAATCCATCTATGAGAGCAGGTAGACCAAGGCCGATCATCATGCCCGTCCGGAAGGTACTATAGTGATGGCTCTTAAGTTGTGCTCCACCACGCAAACGTGCTTGTGCCTTCTTCTTGTCACCGCGTGCTGCCATAGTACAGAACAGCACTCATCAGACGACCGCATACGCCGTAGGACAGCTCAACATACCAAACCGGGCAGCGAACAGCTCCTCCATCTCACGCAGCATAGCATCGAGCCGAGCACCCGAAGCGAACGCACTCGGCTCGATCTTCTCGACGGTGTATGCTTGCTGCGCGGGAATCTGTGCATCGGGTATAGATTCGTTCGATCAGGATCACAGAGGGAGGCGGGGGTAAGAGAAAAAATTACGAACATGGGTAACCTTCTCAAACTTCTTTAGAGCCTTACGGAAGCCGATAAGGTTGAGCATCTATTGGCTCGTTGAATAGATGGCCAATGTGCAAGTGCAATGAAACAAACACGCACTCGATAGTTGCTCAAAACCTCCAGACCGCTGAAGAGATCATGCGTGAGCGAATAAAGGCGAGGAACGCCAGAAGTCCGGCCAGCTCTGAGAACATCGCTCTTACCGGTAGCACTCCAGCACCGCCTTTCTTAGCTTCTTCTTGGCTTCATGGTACTCTTCAGGGTCGTGCCTGGTAGAGACCCCAGATCCAGTTGTACCATTGTTGTCCACACCACTAAAAGCCTTGTGTCCGGAGCCCTTCCTACCGCCCTCATTAACGCGGAAACGTGCCCGCGGCCGCTGCGACTCCTGGTTCGCACGCGGCTTCCCGAGATTGCTCATGCCCTCGCCGTCCGACGCACGCGAGACAGGCTCGATAGACAGTCGTTTCTCCTCCGCCGGATCGAGGCGCTTCATCGGAATCGCGTCTGTGCCGAGGTCGTCGTGCTCGCCGATGGTCTTCTCCTCCTCGGTTGCGTTGTCGACTTCATCTGGCATTCCCCCGTCAGACGAGTTGGGCCGTTTGCCAAGATGGAGAGAGGGCAGATGCGGCTTTGGGATGGGCCCGTGAACGTGCCGTCGAAGACGGTAGATTGCTGGAGGGAGCGTTACAACAAAATTGAACGGTAGCCAGGTATATTTGGCGGCTGGAGGGGGATGGGCTTCCTGCAGATGCATTTAAATGTTATATTGTGACAGAAATAAGACTTTCCACATGGGGGGATTGCTGAACGAAAAAGGCTCCACATGAGGGCACATACATGAAAAGCACGCCTATGACCTTTGAGCTCTTCCAATTGCTTCTCGACGGCCTGATATCTGTCGGACCGTGGCAGGAATGTCAGCGAGGCTGACAAGAATCGACCGAGCACAGCATAGATCCGTTTTGAGAATACTTGACATGTATATGTCAGGCATGGCAACGCAGCAACGCTATTTCTGGGACCAGTATGATAGCGTAGTGGATCACAGGAGCTACGCAGCCACTCATTGAAGTCTCAGCGGGAACGTATGGATTAGCAGGATCCCAGAAGGATAGTTGACCGCGCAGCTCGACCTGATGCCATCCGGACATGACATACCGTGAACACGTACCTCGCACTCAGCTCTCTCTCCTTTGCACAAAAGAAGCTTTCAACCTTGTCAAGCTCCCCGTCCAGCATATCAAAGAATGCGCGTTGCACAGGCGTAAGCAGCGGGAGCAGCTCGTGGAGAGGCGGGTGTGAGCCGGGAGCCCACGGCGGCGTCGTCATGGCTTTCGCTGTGCCAACTTCGTCCACATGGATTGAGGATGCCTGCGTATAATCAAGGCTCGCGCGCACGAATTCGTCTTCGGAAAGCTTGAGCGGCAGTTCTTGCGGCGAAGGGGACACCTGCGTGCGCATGGTGGACAAGGCGGTGCTTCGCCTGCGCAGACGAGGAAGGACGCTCGTGCTGGTGCTTACAATATTGATTGTCTTCAGAGATGTGGGCGAAGCTGGCTGATCTTCCAACGTGCCGCTGCCTCCCACAGTAGACTGTTGGGTTGCGTCGCGGATAATTACGTGGGAGGTGGACTCGCCATACGCCTCTGAATGCACGGAACGCGGTCCAGATCCAGCGCTGGAATATGGACTGCGCGCGAGCGGCATGGCATCGCCTGGTTCTATGAGTGATTCATCCTGAGCTCGGCGGACTGCAGTGATGCGTTTCTTGAGGCCGCGATAGTCTCTGTACATAATTTTGATTAGACATGCTTTAAATCCAAATCAAACGTGGTTCCGCCAATTCAGGCACAGAGGCCACTTTGAGCCCCATTTCTGTCCCGGTATTCGAGAGTCAACGCTATCACCTCGAATATCGTGGATTATCGTACACACGGTGTGGCCTCGGCGCTGATCATTGGAGTGTAAGAGGACTGTTCGCGACGCACATGTATGCCCTCTTCCATTCCGGGGTCTAGATACACCAGACACGCTTGAATCAGACACCACAGACTATACGAAGATTCCGTTGCAAATCACCTGCGTTTCTTCTAGATATCTGCATCATTTGAATGGCTCCAGTGAGTTGGATGGCCTGATGGCCAAGATTCCAGAAACGTACCGCGCGAACTTCATTATGCGTGGCGCTGGGTCGCGGCAGATATCGAATCAGCTCGCTCTACAGATATCGTATCCCCAAAGAGCATGGGTGAAAGAGAATGTACATGTGAGTCTTGAGAGTGTCAGTTGAGGACCAGCGTCTATTGGCACGCGGCTAGTTAGCAGTGTTTTACCGTTTCGCAACAACCACCGATCGCGACTTCCTCCGCCAGATTGACCGTCCCGCCCGGTTCTGTTTCACTCTTCGCTGTCATACGATCTCTTTCATATAGCTTTTTTCCAAGCCATCCGAGGCGAATAAAACGGCCAGGAGGCCTTAGCAGCACTGCTATCCTTTTTCAGAGTTCGCGTTGAATGCAATTGGGATGGTCCGTCACAAGTTGAACAATATCAATATACGTGAACAATATGATTTTACAACAAGCGAGGTGCTCTAGAAGTCGGATCGTTTCGTCATAAACGTCGGTAGTGAGGGCAATGGCGACCTTGTATCGTCTCTTGCTCACCATGGCTGCTCAGACTGCTCGATGTGGGCGGCTATACATAAACTTTTAGTACAGGTGTTGACCGGCTATTTAAAAGTATACGGATCGGGACCTTGGGGTGAAGACTAATTCGTACACGAGGTCCCGCAATTGATGCAAGACTGTGAAGCGAGTGGCATCTTCGACGTCACCGGAACGGTTCACGGGACGTCTTTCGCTGCTAAGCAACTTGTCGCCTAGGCGATCTGCTGTGGCCAAGGCTAGTTTATATAGGTAAGCATCTGCAAGCCTCGCAGGGTAGCCGTTCTCATCATGAATGGCCCATATAAGTTGCGGGAAGTATATAGCTCGATCTATTTATCGAGCTCCACTGGAACGGCATCGGGGATGTTAAGCGATAGATGCTGAGGAGCAGCCGAGCTATACAGAAGTCACAGAATTTAAAATGCATCCCATATGCATGGTCTCCAGCAATATAACAGCAATGCCCGTGTAGCTCACGAATCTGAGGAGCTCATTCGCATCACTCTGATTGACGTGTACGTCGTGCACGAGTGCGCCGTTGGGACAGCTCTCTTGGGATGCGAGTCAATACTCTCGAGGAGATCGCGGTAATAGTGCTGAAGTGGCCACCCCTGTTTGAAATGCAATCGCGTTTATCGTCTCGTCTATGCGGCGCGGTTGATGTGGCGGCACCCTCCGGCCAAATCCTGCTGTGGCTCTTGAGGTGCCACTCGCGAACACAATATGGCTGTCCTTGGGATGTGGCTGCTTCCGCCACCGCTTAATACAACGTCGTTTTGGCGCAGTTGATTTCAGAGGACAGGCCGTCCTTCGAGCCATATAAATACTGGGATCTTTTCGATTACCTCTCGCTCTCTCTCGTATTTGACTTCACACTAAACATTATCCTTCTCCATTATCCCCAACCGCTGTCGACATGTCTGGCCTATCAATAGGTGCAAGAAAGGAATTGGATGATGCAACGATTGATCTTCTGTCCACCGTGGCATCAGTCTTTCGCTCGAGCGACGAGGGCCACACGTCAGAAATTCAAAGCGTGAGTTCTTGCCCTTGCACCAGAAGGTCGTGGCAAGTCACTCAGCTGTCTATCTCCTAGGTCTCTGACACATTGAAAGATCCGGTAACATCGCCGACGGACCCTCGGGTCTCATTTCACAAAGGCATCGCTTCTATCGTGTTCTCGAGTGTACCCGCGTTGGCCAACTTAACGTCAGAGAACCATCATAATTTACCTCAGTGTATCGACCCTCAGGCCACTCTGATCACCCCCGATCGCCACTTGGGTACTCAAGTCACTGTCCTCGATGATAGCCAGGCCGCCATCAGCACATCAAACTCGACGAAGACAACCTCCTATACCGGCAGTTCCCAATGTGTCGATCGTGTCCTGTCTGGGGATCCACCCTTGGCTACTGCTGCACCCGATCTTCTCCCCTTACCGCCTGCCACAGCCTTCATCAATCGCGACTTGTCGTGCAATGCGCAATTGGCCGTAGCGCTGGAAGCGCATGGGCCTCGCTCATCACAATCACTTGTCATCGCCACAGAGGCCACCATCAAGTCTACGCTTGACGCCGGTCGAGCTACGAGCTCTCAATATTCTGAAAGGGAAGAATTATGGGCGAAAAACAATACGACTCGTGCAAAGCAGCCTTCGTTCTCTGCACAAACTCGTTCCGCAATGGCAATGCCCTCACTAGGCAATATGCTTCATGCTTCGACGAGCCCTGCAATCGCACGCTATGATGGACAAGATCAAGTGCCGGTGGTGGCTTTATCTCAAACGTCAACGACCAGCCTTCCAGGTCGTCCTCCCGGTGTCATTGAACAGGTTGCCTGTGGCTCGCCGATGCTACCTAGTTCCTTCTCGTCTCATCAACGTTCATTCCTCTCGAAACAAGTCGTGAGGCCACGAAAGATTGAGGACCCGGATGGTACAATGTCGCAAGAGCCGGGCCACGCATCTGCGATGATGCCTGACGAAGGGACGGTTACTTTCACGTCGAGCAGCGATGACAATACCAACAATTCACAGATCAATGACAGTAATCATGTGCTCCAACCGCGGTGGTTGGAGCAGCAGCAGCGTACATGGGAAGAAGCAGAAGAGAATATGCACGACGAGCGTGCCAGAAAACGGGAGCAAGAAAGTGGACGGCTGTCTCACGTGAATCATTCCCTTCCTCATTCCAAGTTTGTTGCTGATTGAAGATTGCAGAGTTTCACATCACATGAACAAGAGGGCTCTTTTCAACATCTCAATATAAGTTTCTTATGCAACTTTGATGGTTGTGAAGTAGTATTTAATGCTTTACGCTCCCTCGTACAGCATCGAGTAACCTCCCACCCGCACGCGAACCCCTTCTATAAGGCCATCAATGCCGTTGAATGGTGCTGTCCGGGATGCGAAAGAGTGCTCAGTAGTCAATTCGCTGTCAAACGCCACCTAAAAGCTCGTGATCGTAGGTGTGTAAAGGCGCTCTGCGCACGGTACGGCGTGTCCGAACAGGATATCCCCGAAGCGCGCCTGGCCGAGATTTCGCGACCACTGGAAAGAGCTTCGTACGTGCCCGCCGGCGCCGATAATGCACCCATAGTCTCGAACGGGTCAGAAAATGAAGGCGAACTTTCATTTGGTCGCGCATCGTCGTCGTTCTTCTCCAATCAGCCCACTGTTCCCTGTGCGCCCGGCTACGACAATACCGCGTCTCCTGTTACTTTCGGGACGAAATGGGGCCAGGAATATCTCGGCGAGACTTCTTGCTAGCTGTCTGGTCCAGACACGATGTCTATCTCCAAATCCTCGTCTGGGAATTCGACAGTATCCACGCTCTGTTATGTCAATCATTGTCCGGCTTTGTCTCCAGGGTCCAGGACTTAATCTGCGCATCTTCCCTACATCCGTCGGTCATATCAAGTCATACTTTCATCGTGCCACCTGGTCGTCGCCTTCTGTTCGGCTCTTCCAGATATAATCGCGCGGCCTGCTATCCTGACTGACTATCGTCCAACATCACGCGTATAAGTAATGATCGCTTGCATTTTCCTTCAACCGCTTGTACGTCTGTACTCATGGATACTGATACAACATATCAATGATCATGAGAATTTCGACATACTAGTATATGTTCAGGAGCGGAGTTGTGATATAACAGCAGGTGACGTTGAGATTTTCTCATGGCTGTTCGAAGGCTATGGCGATTCCACGTGCGTCCAATCTCCGAACATCATGCCAAGTCAATGAAAAAACTTATCCTTCTTCTTCAGCGCATGACGTGTGAAGCAAGTTTCGTCTAACTGTTTGAAGCTGTTTGAAGTGGCTGTCGTCAGAATGCGTTAGCTTGCCATCATCCAAAAGAACTGCTGTGGCACTCACGGCAAGTATTGTGGAAGAAAGCAAAAGACCCTTTTTGTCCACGAACAACGTCAAGACGCATGGAACATCCTAGATGGCGTGATCCAAATAAGCATCCACAGAGCGAATGGCCTGTTCAATTGCCTGTATTCACATCATATACTGAATGGGGCATGGCACGATGATGCATGTTTGCAAAAACTCCCACTGGTATGTCTAGGAAATCATTCAAACGTGAATCGCTCAGATTCCCTTTTGAGAGACGTCGGATGCGCATCTCGCGCCCAGCTGCGGACTGATTGTGTTTCTGCTGATAAGGCGACTTTCATGAACCCAGAAGCCATATTCCCTCTCGCTTGCTTGAGTCACAGGTCTCGTCTTTGATTGTAAAGCTGGTGTCTTCAAGCAGCGCTATGTCTACAAGCAATCCAGCATCGTATGTGCTGGTGGTAAGCCTTCGTTCGTTGCGTGTCGCTATGCCTGATATGTGAACGGCTGCCCACAGAATTCTAGCGATTCTCATGCAGAGTCGGATGAGTAGGGAGACTGCCTCTGAATGATATGACTGAGCTGAACATAGCCTTGTGATAACAGTCTTGATACAGTGCACACGGGGCTGGTGGGCTACTTCTGCGGACGACTGACGCTTGCTCCGCTGGAAGAGATGAATCCGAAGAGTATCCTGGAGCTTGGGTGAGTTTCGAAATGTTTGCAATGCACGCCGTCTGACTGTTGACTAGAGCTGGAAGTGGTGCTTGGTAAGTAAGCCCTTTCCTCTGGGTGCCGAAAGCTTACTTCGTCGTGGTTCTCACCCTCTTCGGTAGGGCTATCGATGCAGCTGCCAGATTTCCTCAAGCGCACGTTCTGGCCACGGATCTTTTTCCGATGCCGCCTCGGTGATGAATGACTTTTATTGGCACTTTCAGACGACCCGCCTTCTAATAGGATGTATCTCTTGACAGGGGCTCCATACCGTCCAATTTGCGCTTTATGCAGCTTGACCTATCGAAATCCTATCCTTTCGAAGATGAGAGTTTCGACGTCATACATGGGCGTTTCATCATAATGCATGTCAGTGAGCTCTCGATAAACTCTCCTTACAACGTCGACTGAACGGCCATCCCTGACAGTTAGCCAATGGCCCTGAAGCGCTTAGTCGCATTGTGAAATTGTTGAAGCCAGGAGGATGGCTGCTTCTTGAAGAACCGGATGATGAACTTCTAGATCATAACGGCCGCAACACTGGACTAGCCGGGGCTTCTGCTTTTGCACAGAAATTCCATAACGCTTTGCGTAGGCGTGGCGCCGACCCAGTGATTGGGCCTAAACTCGCAGAGTTGCTGAAGAGGTCGTATCAGTTCATGGAGATCAACGTGAAATTGGTTACGCTACCGCTCTCCGGTCACGATTTCGGTACGCAGCTTTCAGGTGTTTTCGCTTGTTCGCGCGATCACGCAACTTGCTTTAGGTTCCGCGGCGAATGCTCTGGCGAAGGTGTGGAAAGCCCGGTACAAACATCTCGGCAGGACTACTCCCGCAAAGCTTGCAGGCGAAGGCATGACCGAGGAGGATGGAAGGGAGTTCATCGCACGATTGGACGACCCCAACTTCAATCAGACCAGCATGCTGAATATCGTATGGGCTAAGAAGAGGATAGACTATGCACACAGTCCGCGACTAATTCGAGCGAAATATTAGTCTGCACTTTGGTGATAGCATCCATACCATGAGAAATGGAGAATTATGATGGAGCAAGTTGTTGCACGTAAGGTTGAGCTGTACCCCCATGCAGACTGATTCCTTTCTCTGCGGCAGTCGTCTTCAGGTTGAGGAGATATGGGATCCGCCTAGCAGTTATACACGCGTCACATGCACATTCGTTGCAAATGTATTTTATATACATGGTAGAATTTGTGGGATTTGCGCCCAGCCCTCCATGAGAAGAAGCACTGCTGCCGTATGCAAGTAAGCAAGAGGTCCGCGGCCGCCGGCCACAGCGCGGCACCTTTCAAGTTCGGGAACTATTGCAATGATATAATAGAACCCCCAACTTTGACTGTGAGAAAGCAGATAATGATAGCCTCATAGAGTCGGGAAGGGCATTGCCGCTTTGAATTCACTGATGCACCTCACATTCCACATTATTCTGATCAGGGTGTGCTATCTATTCCGATAAGCTTTCCACAACCCACATGATCAAGCTAGAAAAATGACCCAGAGCTCTCCTATCTTCTCCCATCTTCTTGTCTTGCTTGCAGTTCCGATCTCAACTTGCGATTCATTGACACCAGAAGGCCGTCATGTCCAGAACGGTACATAATTTCTTTATGCTTTCAAGAACTTCGCGCTGAACGTTGAGCTCTCACACTGCAGGCATGAAGGCATTTATTCCCGCTGCAAATGCACTGAAAATGTGTTCTAAAGTGTGACCTATGCAACACTATGCCCTAATTAAGCAACTTTATTTCCCAAACAGGCAGTCAATTATACCATTTCGTGTCATTAAGTAACGGTCGCAAATGCTTTCATGTCTGCGGTGTCATACCTAGCTTAACATATTCTTTACATGTAAACAACTCAGACCGCTGCAGATAGCTCCAGCCTAAGGCGACGTAGATTAGGAATGGATACTACGATTATAGACAAGATGATGCGAGTACACGTATCTACATAACTTACAAACATGAAGAGGTATCCAAAGTCCAAATCAAGAGAGGATTACGGGTATCTGATGACAATGCAATCACCGCCGAGCATCCGCACCCATCCCCGCTGCCATCCCCGCCGCCATATTCGCGCCCATCTGCGCGCCGATACCCTCCGTCGGCACGAACACCGTATTGGCGCCGAACGCCTGCACACGCGCCACCTCGACGCGGCGCAGCTCCATCTCTCGCGCGAACTGGTCGCGCACCTCAGCGTCGGCCGCCGCGCGGATGCGGACCGCCTCTGCCTCGGCCTCTGCGGCCATCCGGGTGGCCTGTGCCTGTGCGGCTGCCTCGATCTCGAGCCTTTGCGCTTGCGCTTTGGCGGCGGAGACGATCTTGTAGGCTTCGGCATCCGCGGTGGTCTGGTGGGAGCAGGTATGTCAATGGGGGAACGAAAGAAAAGCATGGGCTGCCACTGACGTTCTGAGCTTGTGCTCTGACGCGCGCCACGGCGTAGGCACCTTCTTCTTGCTTGATCTTGTTGCTGTTTTCTCTGTCAACGTTCTACGGAACATGTGATCTGTCAAGCACAGGTGTAGATTGAGACTGGGGAGACCACTTACAGCAGCCTCGACTTGTGCCTGGAGAGCTCTTGTGGTCAGCTTGTCCATCGTCGTGGCAATTTCACCTGGATGCCAATGTTTAAGTCACGCGAATCAACGATAGCGTTGCTACTTACCCTTGAACTGCCTATCGATGACAGCTACGGGAGACCGTAGAAGACCAATTAGCCCATTGGCTTTCATCAAAAAGGCTAGTACGCACCAAGGTCCTTCACGATGATCCCATACTCCAACGCAGCAATGTGAAGGTCGTCCATCGCTCGTGTCCTCAGAGCATCCAGGAACGCAGTGTTCGCGTCGCTTCCGTCATCGAGATTGTCCGGGCCCAATGAGCGCTGCTTCACCATCGCACTGTAGTCGACTGCAGGAAAGCGTAAGGCATTCAGACGTCACACCATACATGTGAATGTATGCGCTTACGATGTGCGACAATCTGGGTGAGAATGGACTGCGTCTTGTCCCTGTAACCTTGCGGTCAGTCTCGAATTCTGAGCGTCATGATTCAAAAACAGTTGACAAACCGGAGTGCGTCATAGGGCGTGTTGTAGCCGTGCATCGTGAGCTATTGAATAAAATTAGTGAACGACCTAACAGCGCGCTGGAATCAGTTGGTACCTTCAAAGGCTCTGTGATCTGCCTGAGAACTCGGTCAGCAACATATCGCACACCGAAGATATCAGGCGTACCATTTGAGATAGATCGTTAACGACACTGGCACTTGATCTCTCGTGAAGCTGACGTTTCAGAAGGCTCAGCACGACCTCCAGCGCGCGCACGAGCAAGCCAGCTCACATGTCCTTCGTCGGCATCTCCAGCTGGTTCTCGCCGAGCGTGAAGAGCCCGCGCAGCGTGACGTTCGGATTCGTGATGTAGTGCTGCCCGGCGGGGAGCTGCTCGAGGTCATCGCCCTTCTGGAGGATCGCGCAGTTGTTTGCGGGGATGTTCAGGCTGCCGAAATCTCGATGTCAACTGACGCACGGAAGGACGAGTGCGGTGGAGTACGAACAAGAGAGCGACGACGTAATCCTGCTCCTTCCCATCCCGCGTGCTGCTCTTCATGGTCACTTCATGCCTCCTAGACAGAAGTGTTTTGTTAAGAATAGGCAGGTAATAAGGAGATGCGGGGGACTGACGATCCGAGAATGACGCCTGTGATCTTGTCCTTGACGATCGACGGAAGATGGGTCTGATCGACGATGGAGAGGACGTTGTAAGCACCTTCGGCGGCGTACGCTACAAAGCCTGAGTTCTTGATCACAAAAATCTGGTTCTAGTTGCGGGAGAACTGTTATGAGAGGCTCCACTGATATCAAGGATATCGCAGGCAGTACCTGAGGGTCAGAGACAACCGCAGCCTGTGGCATAAACGAAGCATTGAGCACATAACAGCAGGCAGTGTGGATATGAACGAACCTGGTTCTGCGAGACCTGGACGACCGTCAAGCCCTGGAACTCGATGACCGTGTCCGACACTAATCACAAGGTTAAGCCGTTCGGGGTCTTTTTGTAGCGGTAACGAAGTCACATACAGCCCTTGGTGCCAGACCACGTTCGGGCCCACCAGTTGCGCAGCGGGAAGCCGGGATACCTGCCGGGACGCGTCAAGATCTTGGGCAGCGCCCCATGTGTGATCAGGCCGATGCGGCCAGGGCTGACTTCCTTTCCGATCCAGTCCGTGGGGCGCTGTGGACAAAGTTGACGAGTGAGTCGCGCCTGTGGCGCTAAACATGCGCGAGGCGCACCTTGCTTGACAGGATATGCGGTCGACCGGACTGGACGTGCATAGATAGCGACAATAAGCAAAGCTGAAGACGTAGAATGACGCGCGCCACGCGCCTGCTTCAACTGCTGATCCAGCTTCTGGAGCGCTGCAGTCAACCCGTCCTTCCCTATGGTGATGAAGAAGGGGCGGTCTCCCTGGAGATAATTTGCAGCCTTCACAAAATTCCCGCTCGCAACACCCGAGATGCTCCTGCTGGGAGGCTGCTTTGCATCCAAGTAGCTCGCACTCTTCTCTCTATCGGAGAAGTCGGAATCGAAGCGGGGCGCAGTGCTTGGACCGGCAACGGATGCAGGGCCGTTCACAGCGGTGGTGCCGTCTTCGCTGTACGTGTCTTTGATCATGATGCAGCTGGAGGAAGAGATACTGGTAGCTGAGCAGGATTGAGTTTCGATGAGGAGAGTTCTTATATGCACCTATTGTACAAACACGTAGCCACGGAGCAAGGACCGCATCGTCACCTGTTCAGAAGTGGCACTATCAGCGAGAAGCCGCTTGGGCCAGACGGCTCTGCACAGCGCTTCGAGCGCAGCCCTAAAACGAGTTGGCAGGCATGTTAAGCATATGCACTACTTATCAGGGCCGGAAAGTACGCCATGGGCGCACTCTAGCCATATGCCTAGTTGTTCGCTCCCGTATGCGGCAGGGCGGCATCCTGGCATGATCATGGGGAGGCACAGCCTGAAACTGCGCGGAGTATGCAAGCCGTGGACACTGCAGCGCTAAGAAGTGTCGAGGGGAGGGATGCCAATAGGACTCGTCGAGGGATTTCTGCCCGGATCGCGGGCGCTGTCTGTTGACAGCTTTTGTCCGCAAGATTCACCGTTGCTCGTCGGCATCCTTGATGGCGAAAGATACTCCATACGATGCGCGGCGGTAGACGTGGCGCACAGTAGCGCGCCACCTCGGTTGCGAACAATTGTGCATAGCCTCTCCGACGAAGACGGATGGCGATGCAGCTCCGTGTGCGAGAGCTACACTAGCTGGCTGTAGCATAGCTGGTAGCATAGCTGAAAGACACACTTGGAAGGTACATGGCTCAGATGCTTTCGAGGGTCTGCGGGACAGGTTTCAAACACGGCATGCACCTCATGCACTAGAAGGACAGGGAATATCCAGACCAATGATGTATTTCAATCTCCAGTTACTTGAATCTCCCAATGTGCATGCTGTAGTTTGAAAGCACTTATGTTTCATGAGCATTCATCCATAAAGACGGCGATTTATGAAGTATATGACGACGAAGGAGATCTAGTGAGGGTCATGAATCGATTCATTTCTGACATTATGAGCGCTAAACGAAGATGCAGTGGGTAATAGTTTACCGACTGACCGACACAGCCTGCACAGATTTATTTTTCCACGGGAAACCTGATGAAAAAATGGTGAAAATATCTTAAGTCTGAATATGGAAATAGTTTGGAAATTGGGCGGAGACAATTGAATTATGTTACAATTGCTTCCCCGAAACATATCGGTACCACATATTTTTGGACTGAAATATCTTCCTTTGGGAAAAAGTTTCACTATTGCTGATACATTTCGGTAAAACAATCATAACATAATTTAATTGTCTCCGCCCAATTTCCAAACTATTTCCATATCCAGACTTAAGATATTTTCACCATTTTTGCATCAGGTTTCCCGTGGAAAAATAAATCTGTGCAGGCTGTGCGATACTGCACAGTCCTATATGGCGGCGCAGAACATAGTGCTTGATTTGACGGAGCTCCTCTGCAGTACCCTTTCCAGCATGACAAGCTCCCAGGACCTGGATGTTTCACTTATCTCCGCAACAGTTTTCTCACCGGACTTCCGCTGAAGACACGCACGTGAGCGCATTAAAGCAGCGTTGCGTTCGCTGATCACGATGGCGGATCATGGGATGAGCGTGGATGACCTCCAGCACGCACGCATGGTCGGCGTGTCCGCGAGCAAGATAACCGCGCAGCTTGTCCTCTCAGACTTGATGGTCGTGAACACCTAACTTTCTCTCGTGCGAAGTGAACGCGTAGCATCACGACTCGATGGCTGCTGTCAGGTACGATAACAGCGCGCAACGTACGCGTGTATGCGAGTAACGTTGCCTTCAGGTGGCGCCCCGGCCTGGCTCGTAACTCCGCGCGACGCCAGTACCACGACAAGTCCTATGGTTATCGTGAACCTCGACGATTCTCCTTGCCGGACTGTGAGTTATCCCATCTGGCACCCTAGCAATCATTCATGCTGTGGTCGCGTTTGGCATTTTGTTTATGCGTGCATCTAGACAGCCCGACACAGTTGCAGAACAGAACGGCGAACGCGCCTCTCCTCCGCTATGTCGACTCACTGCGCACACATGGGCACCGTGCCGCGCGCATCGACCCTCTAGATCTCCTCCAGCGCGAAGAAGTCGCGGCCCTCAACCCGCGGAGGTATGGCCTCGTCGATGACGCGCAGAAATACGATGTCAACGGCATTGTTTGGACCAATCCCGTTGGCGTGGACGCAGACACGAAGGAGGAATGGACACTCGGCGAGATCACTCAGCACCTACGCGCCCTCTACGTCGGGCGCATCGCATACGAGTACATGCACTCGCCGTCCAAGACCGAGCGGCTGTGGTTTTCGCACCTGCTCGAGTCGCAGAGACCTCATGACGCGAAGCTTGATGTCAGGGAGAAGGCGCGCATACATTCGCTGCTCGCGCGCAGCGAGATGTTCGACCAGTTCCTACAGTTGAAGTTTCCGAACCTGAAGCGATACGGCCTGGAGGGCGGCGAGTCGATGCTTCCTGCGCTCGACGCGTTATTTGCTAGTGCTGCAAGAGGTGCATTCCTAGACTCATCGTGTCGACGTAGCTATGCTCACATTGCGACTGCAGCTGGCGTAGAGAACATTGTCCTGGCTATGCCGCACCGCGGTCGGTTGAACCTCCTCACGGGCCTGCTCGAGTATTCTCCTGCAGCGTTGTTTCACAAGATCAAAGGAGGAGCAGAGTTCCCCGAGGACCTTGGCGCGTCTGGAGACGTCATAAGTCATCTCAGTCAGTTCGATATAACGATATATGCTATTCTCGCACATGCTTACCTTGAATACAATTAGCTGCATCCCCGAGTCTGCAATACGACGGAGCCCCAATCCCGGTCAAGGTGACGCTGCTACCGAACCCTTCACACCTCGGTATGGCACACACTCTCTCGCATCCATCCCTCAGCATCATTACTGATTGCCTGCTTCCTCATTCCTGTCAGAGGCGGTCAACCCGGTCGCCCTCGGCAAGACTCGCGCGAAGCAATTTGCGCTGCTCAAGGAGCTCATACGCAACGGCATGCCACTCGAGGAGTGCTTCCCGGGCGATAAGGTGATGTGTGTGCAGCTGCATGGTGATGGGAGCTTCACGGGCCAGGGCGTGATTATGGAAAGCCTCGGGTTGAGTACGTTGTGTGGCACGATTGTTGTGCAGATCGCATGCTGACGGTATTTGGCAGGTAATTTGCCACACTATACCGTGGGCGGGACGGTACATATTGTGGTCAAGTGAGTATATGCGCGGCATCTCGCCTGGCTTGAGTCTGACTCGTTTTAAATCTTCAATCTGTTATTCAGTAATAGGTACGTATGCAGTCTCTACCTATCTAGCTATTTAGCTCATTCATTACGCCGTCGACAGCATCGGTTACACGACTCCGGCATCTAGTGCTCATTCGGGACTGTATTCGTCGGATATAGGCAAGATGATCAATGCGCCGGTACTGCATGTCAACGGAGACTATCCTGAAGGTGTCTTAACCCGCAGTTTACTTGGCGTACAAAGCTGATTGTTTCCTCCGCCGTAGATGTGGCACGGGCAGTGGAAACGGCGTTCAAGTACAGGAACTACTTCCGCAAGGTCGGCGCATTGAATGTCTAATGAGCCTGCAAACGTGACTGACATGCATCGTGCGATGCACTAAGGACATCATTGTCGATTTGATTGTCTATCGACGCTGGTAAGCTCATTGTCTGATCGAAAGAGACTGATAGTTGATGTGTTTGCAAGGGGCCACAACGAGCTCGACGAGCCCGCGTTCACACAGCCGCTTATGTACGACAAAATCAGGTCTCGCCGCTCGGTGCCCGTCATGTACGAGGACCAGCTCATCGTACGTCCTCCCTCACTGCCGCTCCCTTTCGCTCACTTAGAGCGTGTACGAAGGACGAGGAAGTGCTGTCGAAAGAGGAAGCCACCGACGTCCGCACATCCTACAAGACACACCTCACATCCGAGTTCACCGCCACAGATTCCTACACACCCACCGCCGCGGGCGCGTCAATACTGCAAGAGCAGTGGAGCGGAATGGTGTGGCCCGCGAGCAGCGCCGCTGTCCGGGACCCCGAGACGGGCGTAGGGCATGATGTGCTGCAGCACGTGGGGCGCGCAAGTGTCACCGTGCCTGAGGGATTTGTACGTGCTCCTGCGAACTCGGAGCGATGAGCATGTTTTTGACAGGCGTGTAGGAGATCCATCCTCGTCTGCAGCGACATGTGAACAGCCGCCTGCGCGCCATTGAGAAAGGCGAGGGAATAGATTGGGCGACGGCCGAGGTGAGCGCATACGCCATGATGCGGTCCTGTCAACCCATTGTGTATATCTGCAGGCAATGGTGTTCGGCACGTTGATGCTCGAGGGCCATGATGTGCGAATCTCCGGACAAGACGTTGGACGTGGGACCTTCAGTCAGAGGTTAGCATGGTCATCTGTTGAGTCACGGAGCACAAGTTAAGCGGACACATCTGCGCAGACATGCGATGCTGGTCGACCAGCGCACCGAGGACGTCGTCGTGCCTTTGAATGCCGTACTTCAATGCGAGGGAAAGCTGGAGCTCGCGAACAGTGAGTGGCAAATAGTATAAATATGCATGTTTGCTTGACCATTCATCATGCTGCGTTGCCATAGGCTCGCTCAGCGAACTGGCTGTACTGGGAGTGAGTGAACCATCAACTAATCCTACACAAACGTTTATATCTGAGTATGCAGTTCGAATACGGCGTCAGCTGGGAAAGACCTGGGATTCTGCCGATCTGGGAGGCTCAGGTCAGTAGCAGTGGCTGGTCATGTTCATGTTTCACGCCGTCCGAGGTATTGAATTTATCCTGACAGTTCGGCGACTTCTTCAACGGCGCTCAGGTATCAATTCCCCATATAAGTTACTCACGTCTTGGTGAATCGTCTAATTCGTGGATAGGTCATCATCGACACTTTCATCTCTTCTGCGGAAAGTAAGCGACTGCAGGCACTCTTCTGATCGGATGACGCTGACGCTTCTCGATCGTAGCGAAGTGGCTGAAGCAAAGTGGGATCGTCATGCTACTTCCACATGGGTGCGTCCTAGCAGTCCGCTCGTCATGAAGGAGCCTGCATCCGCTGACTGTGCAATGGCAATGGAACCTACATGCCTGTAAACAGTCTGGACGGTGCTGGTCCAGAACATTCGTCTTCACGGATCGAGCGCATGCTGCAGGTGAATTTCCAAGGGACACTAGAAGATACCTAGCTGACATGACCACAAGCTCACAAACGACCGTTACGACTTTGACGACAAGATGACTAACGTCAACATGCATGTCGTCTTCCCAACCACCCCTGCCCAATACTTCCATCTGTTACGTAGGCAACTCCATCGGAACTACCGGAAGCCCTTGATTGTGGCGTCTCCAAAGGGTCTTCTCCGTCTACCGGTGCGCACATACCTCTCTGCGAAAGCTTCTTGCGCTCATGTGCACTTAGGCTGCTTCATCTGCATTAGCGGATCTCGCACCGGGACAGCGCTTCCAGCCAGTCTTGGACGACGTCGAGGTCGACAAGTCCGTTGTCAAACGTGTCGTCTGTGTGTCCGGCAAGCTATGCTATGACCTCATAAAGGAACGTCAGAAACGGCAGCTATCGAACGTGGCCTTCGTCAGGATCGAGGAATTGTGTCCCTTCCCCTTCGAACAGCTCTCACGGACACTGGGACAATATGAGAACGTGGAAGAGTTCATTTGGCTTCAAGAGGAGCCTCGCAATCAGGGTGCCTGGCCACACATAGAATGCAGGCTGAATGCGGTCCTGGAGCGACTGTCGGTGAAGAGAGGGATTTCATATAGAGGACGAAAACAGGACTCCGTCGCCGCGCCTGGGCAGGCGAAGCTGTATGGTGCCCAGCAGAAAGCGGTTTTAGAGGCTGCATTTGTTGGCCTATGAGGTTGGCGTGGCAACAGGAGCATTATAAGAGTGGTCACACCGTTTTTCCTCGTACAGCTCATTGTCCGAACGCGAGCCTCCCAGTAGATATGACGTCGTCAAGCAATCTATAGCTGGTCAGATACAGTTTCTCGATTTCATGATCCAAGAGATCGCGCGAGTTGCGCTAGCTCTTTGGCCACGTAAATGATTACTCTATCTTCGACAGGAATCCGTGAAGCCCAAAAACAAAAACATCTCCTGTTGGTCAATAGACAATCGTGACACTCCCTTCGACAAATTGACATCACGCCCACATGGCCCGGAATTTCTCGTCGAACTCTTTCGTTACAGCGTCGACAACCTCGTAGACCTTCCAATCGCGGTCCTTTACTCCTGGAGGACGTTTGATCGTCGTCACCGGTCCATCTTCATCCTCGTCCACCTCTGTAGGATCCAAGGTCCCATACCCGCTATCAACGTCCGCATTCTTAATGCCGTCGTCGGTGCTACCCATGGTGGCCTCCGAAGCTTTGATGAGCAGTTGTTCGAGACCAGCTCGGACGGTCTTCAGAGTCAATGTGAAGTCCTCCAGTAGGTACCAGACGTCATTATCCCGGATGCCATTCGCAGCCTTGAGCGCAGCGGGCTGTCCGTGAGTGTAGAAATCGAGGAGGTATGCGTTGAGAGCATAGAAGCCCTCTACGTCGTCTGCATCCGCCGCGAAATGCGCGGCCGACGGGATTGCGTATTGATTCAGGTTAAGACCGTGTCGAGCTGTCCGGGCCAACTCCTCGACAGTATGGAAATTGTCGCCGTGACCCGAGTTCGCAACGAAGGATGAGCGCGCCGTGACTCGAACGGCCGTGGTCTCCAAATACTCGCGGAACAGACCACTGGATTTCAGCTCACTTCCTGCCATCCCCTTGCTGAACGGCAGTTGGACATCAGGGCCCAGCTGTTCCTGGTGCTGTTCAACATACGCCACTGCGTAGCCAATGAAGACATATAAAATTTCGGCATCATGTTCCTTCAGGACCTTCTTGGCTTTTGCGGATAGTGGTGGGAGGATCACTATTGACGGCGACTTTTTGACGAGGTACTGAAGATTCTCGTCCGTGGCATACACCTGTGGAAGATACCGACGGCTAAAGATGTGGCACATTAACACCATGAATTCTCTGCGTGCAGCGAACTGATTGGGTTGAGCGCAAATGCTGTGGATGACTCCGTAACGGAGCAGAGCTATCAGCGCGAGGTTACCAGGTTCGGTATAGTAAAGATGCGCTGCAACGCCAAACAGATTTATCGGATTTCCCGCCTTGTCCATCAGACCTGCGCGGCGGAGGTAATCGATGCTGAATCGCAAGAAGTGAAGCATATGCTGTCTGCCAACGTCTGATGTGAAGCCGACGTGGGGTAATCGCAGGAGAGCCTTTATGGCGTGGACCGCAACAGGTGCATTTTCTGAGCCTTGCAGAAGGTTGAATAACCGAAGGACCATTGTTGATGTCAGAGGGAAGTTGCCTCCTAGTGATGGCAGCCGCGATAAAACCAGTCGTCGACATCTGTCTAAAGCGATGCCGTAGAAGACGACTTTGCCTAGAAGATCGAATCCTCGTCTTCCCGCTGCGAGATCCTCATCAGATTCCTTCATTGAAGCATCACTGACGAGACATACCGCGTCCAGCACATTGTCGATACTGTGAGGGATGTTATTATGCCATCAATCAAGCAGGGTTAGATGACTACTCACCATGAGCGCAGTCAAGAAGGGGGAATCCCCGCAGAAAACGGATGTTCTAGTGGGCGCATTGATTCCGAGGGCCAAGGTACCTGCATTTAACTGCGTGAAGCCAGCGACTTTAATCATGAAGGACATGGCACACCTGTCGCAACAACAACTCTCAGGAATCCCATCCTATAGAGACTGAGGTCGAAATCAGTAGCGGGACAGCATCGACTCTCACAAAAGGCCCACCTCTCAACTAGCGATCTGTAACGTTTGTTCATGCCAGCATGATGAACACCGACTCCGCGACGTAGAGCACGGAACGCCCAGTCAGGAACGCTGGACCATCGTTGGAGTTGTCGGATCTCATCTTCAAGGTCATTCATTGAGTATGCGGTGGATATACTAGCAAAGGAATAATGAGACAAAGGCTCAGATGGATCGAAGGTGCTCTCCCAGCTAGCTGGAGAGTCGGGAGCCCGCGGCTCGTCTTCTCCTTGCTTCTGCCGGAGCTGTCTCTCCAACTGTCGCTCACGGTTCTTTGCCTGTGCCTTCCAGCGTTCCCATTGCTTCAATTTGGCCTGCCATTCAGGGCTTTGTGCACGCCATTCCTCCTCTGCATTCTCCAGGACATCGAGAATTGACTGAGCCATTTTTTCGCAAGCCTTTCGATCAAAATTGAACAACAAGGCAGGCTGAGTGACAATGTGAATGAAGACGAGCCGAAACGTTATCAGAACCTAGAACATACCAGATCTCCGCGCGAATGCAGGTCCGAAACTAGATAGATGACGTTTTCGTAGAAGTCGTCTTTCGCCGGGACAGAGTCATGATTGCCTTGCTTCAATAGGGGGTCAGTTAGATGTAGCACAACGTCGTTGATTACGGAAGGCGACTCTGGGGAGTTGACAGAAGTCAGCAAGGAGGAGACAACTGCCTTCAAGGCATCTTCATATTTAAGAATGTCTTTCTGTCTCAAGAGTTTTACCGGACAGCTTGAAAAGAATCGAGTTGGATCCAAGGCCTCGATATCATAGGAACTATCGCAATGGTCCCTAAGAGCATTGAACAGACTCAGACAATCCGCTGCTTCCAAAGAAAAGTCCGGAGGCAGCTCTGTCGCTCCGAATGACAACAATGAGATGGGATGCAAAAATTTGAGTCGCTCCGTATGCTGGTATTTGCTCAGTCCGCTAAAGGCCGGCGGCTTCTTGCCTTGCAGTATGTACGTAAACTTGCGAAGATGAGAATAGCGATGCGGATGGTGAATGAATGTATGTTCGAAACCGTGTGCTTGTTGGACAGAGGAAAGCCATGCATTGAATTTTTCGGGATGTCCAATAGTAGCTGAAAGACCTCTATAGAGTTCAAATGCAGCAGACTCAGCGGATGTTGCTTGTAATCTAATAGGATGACACGCACATGATCGGGCACGGAGCAAGAAGCAGGATCTGCTCCCAGACGGCTCCTCCTTCTTGTTGACCAATGGTATGGATTTCGTCAAGAATAACTCTGCGCAGGCAATCAACACTTCTGGGTACGGCCAAGGTCAAGACAAGCAAACTGTACCGTTTGATTCTTGGTGTCCAAACTCTAGCGAGTGGTGGCGACAGCAGCATGATTGCAAGCATTTCAGGGACGGTCACAAGAATTTGACAATTTTGAGGATCGTGAATTCTATAATCCCGAGTATGAATCGCCCAGCAGCTCCCTGTATGAGACGTAAGTTGTGTGTTCATGCATACATTGATGACGCTATCCCTCACGTCCGTTGAGATCCTTGCGGAAGCGTGCGTGTACTTCCGCCGCGATCTGGTTTACGAGGGCTTTTGTTGGCGCCACATAGACTAATATGCCATCGTTTGTCTGTCTCAGAATTTGTTCCATTGCGTAATACGAGATAAATGTTTTTCCTGCACTTGTAGGGGCTGCCAACGGAGAACATCAGGAGTGATACGTGCGTCGAATCATCCGAGTGCTTACCAACAGCAAGAACAGATTGGTTCTTGTCTAATGCGTCCAATACATCCCGCTGCCATGCATCAGGTTGGAAAGACACTCGCGGATCGCTCTTGCTGTCCATGGACCGGTCCATGTACTCCCCGAATAAGCGCAATTGCCATACAAAAGGATCCTCGTTGATATGCATGAACTTGTGCAGTGGCGAGCCACTCTTGGACTTGACCAGCTTGACGAACTTGAATGAAGGAGCGCGATCCTCGCTTTCCGGTGCGATCGAAGCCGCTGCCTTTAACTCTTCGATCGCCATTTCGAGGCCCACGACACGGAGGACCATGTCGAGGATGTCCACAGCAGCTTCAAATAGCTCTCGCTGCTGATATGCGTCCTTCACTATTCGCAAAATGGCCACGACGGCAGCGTCTCGGACTGACGGTTCCTCGCGGGAGGGGTGCTCAATCCAGCGGAGAAACTCGAGATGCAACCTATACAATCGCACCTCCACGGCGAGCCAGGTGGACTTCGTGCGTTTGTTTCGCAGGAGCGAGTCTGCAACAAAGATCTGGTGAGTCCGCGATCCATCTTTCAAGCTCTCCAGCTGCTCTTTCCACCAGCTCGTATTAGAGTCATCTTCTTTAAGCTGCTTTTTCGCCAGGTTAGCCTGTCTAATCTTGTCTGCTGACGAAACGTGCGCTGGTTTTCCTTTCTTGCCAGGCTTCGCTTTTGGAGGTTCCTGCCATTGCACCGTTCCCATCAGCATTGTCTCGCCTTTCGTTGAGAAGAACACGATGTACCTGTATGAGACGCGTTTTGGTGTTCTTACTTGGCTGAGGATCATTTGACTTGGCGGACGTGATCACGATGCGCTCAAGAGGCACACCAAAGGCACCCGTCAGCGTCTGCGCCTGCCACTCCATGCTCGCCATAAAGCGCTGATCGCTCCGCAGCTTGCGGCGTCGTTGCCGCTCGTCAAGCGGCCGCGCAACTTCACCTCCTAGATGAGGGGGCAATACCGCCCGGCGATGATTGTGCCAATGGTTAACATCGTTGAAGATCGTGTTGAAGTCGAGGTGGTGGGCCTGCACGGCGTCGGGGGCGCTATCATCCACGTCTACGTGCACCTCAGCCAGCTCTTCGTCAAAAACGGGGTGTGAGAATGGCAGAAGACGGAAGGGTTTGCGTTGAGAAGCGGCCTTCCGACGATCTTTTTTGGATTTTTTTGCTGTTACCACAGAGCTTTCCGCAGGTTTTGAAGGGTGTTGGGGTGCGAGTTCGGCAAAATCGACAGGACGTAGCTGGAGAGATGCCCAGATGCTGTCGAGGCGCACGCTGGTCTCCTCACCAAAGACGTCCTGCCTCGATGCATCGGTGTGTTTCTGCATATAATCGACCAGCGCAACGAACACGCGCCCATCGACATCCAAAGCTACCTCGTCGGAAAGCCCCTTTAGCACAAGGAAAATGCTTGGTAGAAAATCCTCGAGGAGCATATTGACGAGACCCGGGTGCAGATCAGGGAGTGGCCTAGCACGCTCTGCAACGCTTAGCATGGGTAGCAGCAGCAGATGAGCAATAAACGCAAAGAGCAACTCTTCCATGCACTCAAGGCGATGGTTCGTTAGATCGATCACGCGCTGCGCAAACGTTTGCAAAAGTGCATCCTGGCTCGTGAGGGACTGCAGGCCTTGCGGCGCCAAGGCATCAAGGGGCATCGCGGAGCAGCCACGCCATGCCTGGCTCTCCTTGACAGTGAGTGACCTCAGCGCCGCACTGCTTGCGTTCCATAACCAGTTTTCGAAATGTTTCCGCGCGTCATGGTCCAGCCGCTGCTCGTAGACGAAGGTCATGATCTATAGCACCTCTTTGATTAGCATGGTGACTTATTTGCTGCCAAAGGACACCTGCCTTGGAGTCACGGTACTCCGCCCCATGCAAGAGAGATACGGACACGCCTTGGGCGAGAACGTCGAAGATGAATGTTCGCTGTGTCAGGATGCGCTCGGCAGCGAGACGTGGGCTGTTGGCGTCAAGCATGCCTCCGTCGTTCGTCATGATGAACATCGGCTGCCAATGTATTTCAGTAACAGGTCATGAGGTCGAAAGCGTGTGACCTCACCTTGTGGACTCGATGATAGCGACGCCACTCGGGGTCAGTCAGACTCTTGAACGTATGCACCGAGATGTCCAATCGCTTGAGGTGCTTGAAAAGAAGTACGCGCGCGAGATCGCGCGACATGAATACGAATTCCGTGTTGCCCGTCTGCAATGTAAGGTGTCGATTTTCTGCAAAATAGCCACAAGTCAGATGAGATTTCGAGATCGGAGGCTTTGAGCCGCAGCATTACCATTCCAGAACGCGATCTCGAAAGTCGCTGAACGATTTTTAAATTCACTCAACCTTCGCTCTAGTGAGTAGATGGCATGAAGCACCTGGAAACTTGGCTCTGCGGGTGCGATTGCATCAGGTCATATTCCTAGAGGTTCAACGTGACGTACCATCTGCCCTACCCAATGCGAGCAGAGGGTCGTTCAGCACCTCCTGGAACAACGCATCGCCTACAAGGGCGTCAGCAACGTCACGCAGTACAATGGCTGTCAGACCGTACCATCAATCAAGAAAAGCTCGCTGCCTGCATAGTCTCCAATGAGGTCCATCCATCTTCCCCTTCGGTTCGTGAGAGTGTACCACCTTGTATCCAGGTATTTGAGCGCCTTTTCGCACGAATCTGAAGACGGTTTGACGGAAACTTCATCATTTTCATTGATGAGTGCTTGACCCACGCGCTCGAAGTCGTCGAGATCCATGTTGGCGGTTCGAGAAGGGAAAGAGAGGGTACGCGTAAGCTAAAGTGTAAGAGCAACAAGCGCTCTGCTTCGCGAAGCACTCCAGATCTCGCAAACGGCCGAAATGCCGTTTTTCACCTTTTGGAAGGTGCGTTTCCAGTTTGTGTGGCTGTGTGTGAATGTGAGTGTCCGCGGTACATATCATTGCCTCTGCCTCTTGAGCTTCACCTTGTCTCTTATTCTATTGCTCCATGTACACGAGTTGTTGGTGTTTAAGATTGATTTTCGCATGCAGTCCTGACGTGACGGTGCGTCCGATCAGAAAACAAGTCGTATTCTGTCATACATTTCAATACAACATGTCCGGCATATAAGACGCAGAAACCAAACTCTCACCGGGTCGCTGGAATAGTACAGCAAAGAATCGACCAAAGATTGAACGAAGTCTCGGGATCTGGCCTCTGCGACAAAGTCAACAATTCCTCTAGCCCAAATTTTCGCGGTCCTCCCAAGAGAATATTTCGTGCCACGATGCACTCACGTTTTTGTCAATGATAGACCTGCAGCTTCCTGTAGCACAAGTTCGGCGCAACGTCTTAGCGGCGAAAAACGTTACGAAAAAGTGAGCTCTGGGCAAGCCTGAGTGGCCACTGAAAATTCGATCGAAACGGGAGCCCGGGCCGGGCAACTCTGCACGCGGTCCGCTCTTCGCGGGCGCCTCTGCGAGTTGCTTACGTCAGCGTCGCGCGGACCATCAGTCTTGCGGACTTTGTGGTTTTCTTCCTGGCTGCGAGGCTACGCGCTGCCCGTTTGCTGAGCGACACGATGCTCACGATGGACGTGGTCAAGATGCACGCGACCGACCGCAAATATTCACCGCTCCCCTGGCCGGGACGTGAGGGGCAGACGACGTCCATCGAGTCCACCCGACGGCGTCCCACATCGACACAGGCCCCGGCCGCCGGACCGCAAGTCGCAATACTTATAAGACGGCTTGCTCGATGATTCAGCAGTACCCGTCCTCAGTTTATCACCATGCAGTGCCCTAAGGTCAAGCTCAACAATGGTGTCGAGATTCCCATCCTCGGGCTCGGTAATTCAAATTGACTCTGGTGCATGCTATGGACTGTCATTGATTGTTCAACGCATTCTACAGGAACATGGCAGTCAAAGCCTAATGAGGTGACAAACGCGGTGGAGTACGCGCTGAAGGAAGCCGGTTACAGGCACATCGACTGTGCATGGTGCGTGCAGCCAGAATCATCCGCGATCCGGCTCTGCATCTTACAGCGTCTCGCAGGGCGTATGGTAACGAGGAGGAGGTAGGCGAGGGCATTAAGAGGTCAGGCGTGCCGCGGTCAGAGATATTTGTGCGTACCTACCACTCTATGCGAGATGTCTACTGATGTCCATGCAGATCACGAGCAAACTCTGGTGCACACACCACCACCGCGTCGAAGCCGCGCTGGACGAGTCTCTCGCCAAGCTTGATACTGACTACCTCGATCGTGCGTTTTCCTTACCCTCTCGCAGCTCCGGTCATTCTTCTGAGTATCTCGATAGTATATCTTGTCCACTGGCCGATCCACCTGAACCCAAACGGGAACCACCCGGTGTTCCCTACGCGCCCTGACGGGACCCGCGATATTCTTCTAGACTGGAAGCAGAGGGACACGTGGGCGCAGATGGAGGCGGTCCTGAAGAAGGGTGCGCCAACATGATCTCTCACATCTTTCGATGCTGATAACGTCTCGCAGGCAAGGTCCGCGCGATCGGCGTGTCCAATTTCTCACAGTGCGTCCTCGAGCAGGAGATCCTTCCTTACGCTCAGGTGGTCCCCGCCGTTGACCAGGTACGCAAATCCAGCTCTCATTTGTCGTCTTCACGCCTAACGGTGTCATATGTGCCAGCTCGAAATCCACCTGTACAACCCGCAGCACAAGCTCGTCGAATGGCTCCGCTCAAAGGGCATCGAGCCACAGGCTTATTCGCCCCTCGGCTCGACCAACTCCCCGCTACTCTCGGATGAGACCGCCTCGGCGATCGCGGGCAGGTACGAGTTACAGACGACAGACGTGCTTCTTGGGTATCTCGGTCAGTGTCTTCGTATGTGTGGGTCTTACGATGACAGCCTGATCAGTCCGACATGTGCAGTGGCCAAGGACATCGTCACCCTCCCAAAGTCGGTCACCCCTGCACGCATCGCGTCGAACTACCGTGGCGCCCTCACTGCTGCTGCGAAGCTCACAAAGGAGGACATTGAGGCGCTGGATGGTGTCGCTGCGGCGGGAAAGCAGAAGCGGTGAGTGTCGTGTGCGTCTCGGATCTGAGCTCACGCTGACGACGGGTTGGTCTGTCAGGATGATCGCGCCGCCTTGGGGCATTGACCTTGGGTTTGATAACTGGCCGTGAGACGGCTCCTAGACGGAATACGCTCAGTCACATGTGTCAAATAAGTGCTGCAGCTAGACTTGATAACCGGCTCGATATCTTTTTTTCATTCTGAGTCCCTTCGGGGAGCGAAACTCGGATTATGTATGTACACAAAAGAGTGGGACCAACAGCCACCAGCGCCAGCGCGGCCATTCAGGATGAAGGCACCATCAGCGGCGTCAGAGTAGCAACTTTCCAACTTGACAGGTGGATCGGATCGTCGCTGGATCGTACAGAAGCCGGACCCACGTCGATCAAGAACTTGAAAGGATAATGCTCTGCCAGGTGGAGCGGTGCCGCGGAGGGCACGGCAGGAAAGTTAAAGAAGGTCGTTGCCCTTCCGACCATCGTGCTGAGCATTGCGCTGGGCTCTGAGCCCGAACCTCCGTCTCGAGTGTGCACATGGTCGCGCTCATGTACACGGGATGTGACGAGTCGGTAGGCACCTTTGATGGCGATCTTGTCACCGCAGACATAAAGCAATTTGCACATGTGGCAAATGCTTAGCAAATGTCGACAGGTTTTTTGCCTTTGTGATCTCAATTTGCTACAGTTCCTTCCCACATTCCATATTAAGTATTTGCATATTATATGTTGGAGGCCGAAATTTAATATCATATATTTAAGAAATGACACCATTTTCAAACTCACCAAATGCATTTAGAATTTGAGCACTGTTGAATGTAATCATACCTTTCGAATTTCAAACTATGACATGTATAAAATATCCAGTAGCAGATGAAGGTGTAATTACGGTGAATGACTTTCATTCTAGTAATCTTGGCTAGAATGACTTCAGTAGGGAAGTAGAATGTAGGCATAATCACACCTTCATCTGCTACTGGATATTTTATACATGTCATAGTTTGAAATTCAAAAATGTATGATTACATTCGGTGCACTCAAATTCTAAATTTATTTGGTGAGTTTGAAAATGGTGTCATTTCTTAAATATATGATATTAAATTTCTGCCTC